TGAATCGCGGCCAAATCTTTAATAAACAAACAAACGTATTTATGAGGAGAGAGAGAAATGAAAAACACCAAAATTATCGATTTGATAAGATTCAAACATTTATATACTACATATTGATGACTGATTTTTTTCGGTTTTTTTTCTGCTGCTTATTCACCGGTATTCACCGGTGATTATTGAGTAGGAAAAAAAACATGTGGCCAGATTTTCTATAAATAATACGAAATGGTGAAAAAAAAATCCAAATCAAATGATTATTTTGGAATATGAATGGACAAATATATAAGCCAGAATCAATCGCAAAATCTGTTTATATAAAAAAGTTTAATGTTTTAAGTTTTTTTTTCACTGTTGTTTTTTACCAATAAAAATTACATTGAACTACAGGACAACAACAAAAAAATGGAATAATTTTGTTCTATTAATCTCAATGAATTTTCATCATCAAATCTTGATTTTGTTCATATTCAAACGAATCTACTTTCACCAATTTTTTTATTGAAAAAACTATACATAATGATGTGCATATGTGGATTTCAATCATCATCGTTAACATTAATCTTGAAATGAAAATGAAAAAATCAAAATGACAGCCCGTGTGTGTGTGTGTGTTGCTACTTGAAATACTCGGTTTTTTTTCTATTTCGTTCCAAAATCTCTAATGTTTCTTCATCCGTCTTGTCAGAAATTGAATGAAAAAAAAGAAGAAGAAGAAAAAAATTCAAATGAACTTGCTCACAATTTATGTAACCAGATCAAGTTGAATTGAAAAGAAAACAAATGGGCAAAAAATCAATGTTGATTGCTTCTAAGTACAATTTTGAAAACAAAACAAAAAAAAATCAAATCCATCACCTTGTTTCGAACATTTCTTTTTCATTATTCAATTTTTTCCATATTTTTTTTTAATAAACAAATTGACAAAAACAAACACTTGTTGAACAATTCATAAGAAGGTGATGAATTTTTTTTTCTTTGTTTTGGCTACCTACGATTATCGGCTGAAATTTTTTTTTTCATTTATTTTAAATACACAACAAGCTAGATTTGGTGATGAGACATTGAACATCATCATCATCATCATCATAATAATCTCAGGCTTTTCACTAATCGCATCAGTAACATTCTGAATTATTGATTTGATCAAACAAAAATGTTGTTGTCTGTTTCGTTTTTTTTTCGCTTTCGCTAAATATAGCGCCCAAAACAGCAACAGCTTTACCGATGGATGGTTTCGTTTTTTATCATACATCGAACACTTACTTACTCACTTTTTTTGTGGAAAAAATTCTTCGACCAAACATTTAGAAACCCAAAAAAAGAAACAAAAATCAACATTCGTACACCGTTAACTAGAAATAGTCAACAAATCGTTATTTCACCGTTGAAATGTCCAACATACATACACACTCACTAACGGGATTTTTAGGGATTTTCATTGCATTTTCTTTTTTTTTTTTTTACTTTACTTTATCACTATCCTTGATCATTGGGCCAAATGACGAAATGTTGAATAAAAAAAAAACAAAAAAATTGATCAACATGAACATTTTCATTCGCATCTCTCTTATTTAGTTTACTAAAATAAAATGAATCTATTTTTTGCAATTCAATTTTTAAACCTTAAATCTTGATTAACATTGATATAAACATAATCAACTGATCTTTTTTTTTCTATACCACCATGATCATCAAATACCGATGAGCCATCCACTGTTGTCAAATACAGAAATAAAAAGAAAGATTCGTCGACCAAAGTCAAATGATTTATCAATTGCATCGTATATCAATGCCGATGGCTGAATATAATATACAACATTGACATTATCCTCTTTACCAGTGTCCATCTCTCATCATCATCATCATCGCTTTTCTGCTCTCTCGATTTTGATTTAACCTGAATTTAATTTTGGTCAATGACCACATTGATCCACATTTTTTTTTTTTTTTAATTTGAATTTAGATTTCATTTTTTTTTAGAAAAAAAACGATAATTTTCTTTTTCAACAATAAAGAATTTTTATCAAAAAAATAAATAAAATAAAATTTATATCGAAAAACAAAAACAAAAAAATTTTTTTTAGTTACATCCACATTCAATTTAATCATCAATTGTGTGTGTGTTTAGTGAAGACAAAAAATAAAATTTTCATTTCTCAATTGGAAAATGCTGATGCTGATGATGATGATGATGGTGATTTGGATGAAAATCGATTGGAAAAAAATACCTAGCCTTTGGTTTCATTTTTTTTTCTCAAATATTGCCGTTATACATGCAAACACACACATACGATGTTCACGATCGGCAATTTTTTTCTCATTCATTGACTAATCAATGATTAACAAAATCAGAAAAAAATGAATGAATGAATGGAATCGACCTGGATTTTCATTTTCCGAATCGATTTTCCTTTTTTTTGTTCGCTCACATTTATCCTAATTAATAATCGAATTTTTTTTTTAATTTATTGATTTATAATGTAAATGTGGGTAATCGAGATAATATTTTCGTTTTTCATTTTTTTTTCGATTTTGTTTTTGTTTTTGTTGTTTTTTTATTTTGAAAAAAATTGGGCCACTTTCTAATGTTTTTCGTTCTTTTCTTTTCGTTGTTGTTGTTGTTGTTGTTGTTGTTGTTGCTGCTACAGCACATTCATTCATTTTATTATAACCAGACTGTACAATTATCGTTTCGGGTGAAAAAAAAATCATCATAAACATAAATGAAATGAAATGACTAGACCATATATAAATGATATTATTATTATTGATGAATTTAGAAACTTTACGAATTCATTTTTTTTCGTATGGCCATCTCAGGTATTTGGGAATATTTGTATATATGCCAGAAAAAGCAGCAGAAGAAGAAGAAAAGAAAAAGAAAAAAGAAAAACGTGAATATTTTAAAAATTAGTTCACAATTATGTATCGGGCAACACGAAGAAGAAGTAAAAAAAAAATGAAATGAAATGATGAAATAAATGAATGAATGAATGTATCGAAATGAAAATGGCCCTACAAAACTGTTTGGTTTTTTTTATGTTCAATCATCGAAAATGATCATCATCATTGTGAGGCTCGTTATTTCTTATTATTTTTTTTTTGCCTCCAGTCAATATATTAGTATTGGAAGAGTTGAAATATATTTTTGGTTTCGTTTTGTTTTTGTTTTTCGTTTTTTCGTTTTCCTTACCATTCAATCCATATAACATTCTTTCATTTTTGGCATACCAATTTCGTGATTGCCATAAGATAACCACCAGCAGCAACTACTACTGATTCGATAATGATGTTGAACATCTTATATTGGATCTTTTGGTTTGTCATTGAAACAAAATGAAAATAATGGGCAACAAAACAACACGGTTAACATGTCAATTTCAATTGATTTTGATTTTTGACATTCAAATTGAATTTGTATATCCGATACATACATGACTAGATATTCTGACATTTACATACAAACAGAAAAACCAAACAACCATATGATATAAACATCAACTTGAAGATCATTAACACTGAAACATTGAATGTATTCAACAGGCGTGCACAAATTGTTTACATATAAAATGAATAAGACACAAAAAAAAACTAATTTGAATATCATGAATATCATCTATAGGCATCAATACAAAAGATAAGATAATTTTTTTTTGGCGTTCAATGTTCTTTCATTTCGATTGTTTGTATCGAACATCAATTTACCATCAATTAAAACGACTATCAAATTTTTTTCCTTCAATAAACGAATGAATCACTTGTAATTTCTTTCTCGTGGATTATTTCTTAGCACAAATCATCATCAGACATATATAATCTATATATTGATTCATTCATTCATTTAAACATTGAATCACGACATCATCATCATCATGAAAACGGCAAATTGTTGTACAAATTTTAATCATTTCTCAATGTACGATATATAACAACAAAAGACGGTTAACCCTTTTTTCTGTTTATCTCTCTTCTCTCTCTTCTGGAAATAATGACCATGATGATGATTATGATGTATACAGAAACATAAATAAACAAGTAAAAAAAAAACAAAACTACAACCACACCTCTATTGGCGAATTGAACAACGAATACACACATATTTGATGAAAAGAAAAGCGAAAAAAAAACAAATTTTTAATCATTTTTTTATTTATTTATTTTGTTTAAAAAAATATTATCATTGTGTGTAATGTATCGAAGAATTTTATAGATAAAATCTTTACCATCAATCGCCATTATAAATCTTTTCATATATATTCTCTCTTCTCTCTTTCTATCTCACTGTGTGTTTGTATGTGTATATATTGTGGTTGTTTTGGTATGATTGAAATGATCATGATGATAATGATAATGATGATGATGATGACGATGATGATGATGATGATTGAAGATGAATTGCTAAAATTTTTATTTCACCAGAAAAAAATGATGTTTTTTTTGGACAGAAAAAAAAGAAAAAATTCATACAAATAATAATTATCGATAATCAACATAAGACAAAAATGAACCAAAAATAATTTTTTTTTCTCAGTCGGATGTGTGTGTTGGTGTGTATGACATATCAAACATTGGTAAATTTTTCAGTTTTTTTTTTAATACTTTGAAATGAAATTTTAGCTTTTGATGACGATGATGATGATGATGATGATGATGAAGGTTGTCTGATGAAGGCATAATTTTTTTTTTCATTTACTTTATTTTTGTCAAAAATTGGCCTAGATTTTATGTTTCATATACGTATATGTTTAATGTGAAAACAAAATTAAGGATCTCGGTTGATTTTTGTTTTTTATCTTCTGAAATTAAATTCAGTCATTTTTTTGTTTTGTATAATAGGATAGTGGTGGATGTGTGTATGTATGATTATAATTAAGAATTGATTAGCTCACAATCAGGATCACAATAATTTTGTATCAATACCTAATAATGGTGTTTAAGAATAATCAATTGTTAATTGTTTTTCATATAAATCGGAATGAATTTCCAATCGAATTTTCTTTTTCTTCTTCTTCTTCTTCTTCTTCTTGGATAATTGGTTGTGTCTAATGGGTTTTTTTTACTTTCTATTCATCATCATCATCATCATCTGATTTGATCAATAAAATGGCATTCGAATTGACAGTATTTTGCACGGTAATCGAATCGATCGATTCATTTGAACCATTCTTTTTATGTTTTTTCATTGTAGAATCTAATGTTGTGGCTATATTGAAATCGACAGTTGATGAACTTTGATTATTTATATCTCTTGATCTAGATTTATTATTAATTTTTTTGTTTCGTTTCGATGATGATGACGATGATGACGATGAGGATAATGATGATTTGGATTTAGGTTTTGGTTTTGGTCCAGGTGCCGGACAGAAACAGCAAAGTTTTCGTCGGATTTTTTCAAAACTTTCTGGACTTTCTTTATACCATTTAACTAAAGCCAATACAATAACACATGAACAGATGAGGCAGGCTCCCAGAATAGACGTCCATTCAATATCTTCATTTAAAAGCATCACTTCCCACAAAAATGAAAGGACAATATTGAATGTTCGCACCACCGATATTGGTCCAGCCTTTTCATACTGAAATGCTAATGTAATACAATATTGATCGAGAATGCCACAAATACCAATAGCAATAAGCAGACTCCATATTTGTGTAGTGTTTGGCATTATCCATTTATTTGCAATTGTCAAATAGGTTGAGCCACATACAACCAATGTAAATGAATACCACATTACTACCACAGCAACAGGTGTAGTTTTCAATTTTCTCAAAGCAATCATTGAAAATGCAGCTGTCATTGATGCAATTACTGACAATACAATTCCTTCTAATCGCATTTCATGTATTACATCGGATTCTGATCCAAATATAAATTCTGGTTTAGCAATAATAAATACACCAGTAAGAGTGATTGTTCCAGTAATAATTTGCAACTTGCTTAATGGTTCTTTCAGTAAGAAATAAGCAAAAACTGTCACGAATACAGGTGAAGCAAAATGAATTGTAGAGGCATCGGACAATGGTATCAATCGATAAGCAATATATACGGCCGATAATGATATTGTTCCAGAGATTGAACGATAAAAACAAATCTAATCGGTGTCCCGGTTGTCCAAAAAAGATTATAGCCATAAACCGGAGGTCGTTGCAAAATATACGACAAATTGACATAATGATCTTTATCGTAATAAAATAATATAAAAATCATTATCATTAATCAATATATAAATATAACGAGAAAATTAATTTGATTATCATACCTCCAGACAAGAATTTCTATGGTAGGTAATGAAACCAATATTCTAACAATGACAGAAGCGATTGAAAAGCAGAATACAGATAGATTCGCCATAAGCAAACCAAATGCTGGTATACGTTCTGGAATGCTTTTAAGTTTGTTGTTTGTATTAGACGTTCGAATATCGATCGATGATTGTGATGACGCCAATGTTGATGGCATATTATTTATTTTGGCTTCAGCCAAACCAAATCGTGATAGTTCAGGTGTGGACTATGTATTATAACATCAATCAATAAATCAATTGATTAGTTAAACAATAAATATCAAAGGTTACAAACCAGAATATCGCTCTGGCGATGTTCGGCTTTAGTAGAGGCATCTTGACCGCGGTTAATGGCAATTTTGTTCGTTCAAATAACTATTTGGGTGATTTCTATGATTCATTGAAAAAAAAATAAACATGATGAAATAGTTTGAAATTATTACATAAAACTTACGATTCTGATGATGAATGGGCAGGCAAAAAAAAAAAAAACACGGCCAACATTTGAATGACTAATTATTCGTTTTATTTTGTAGGAAAAAGAAACTGAGGAATCCGTTCCCAAATTTCAACTATTTATTGTCGACTAAATAAATGTCATATGTGAAGATGATCATTTATTAATAATAATAACAATAATTTAATTATATTTACACAATTAAAAAATGGATAAAAATAAAATTAAATCTCACAAAACGTCTTATCAAAGATAGAAATCAAGAACAACATTGCCGAAGCCCAAAAAGCTAAATGTTTGGGCTTCAAAATTTATATTCATCATTGTAGTAAATTGGCACCTAAAAAGTATATCACTTTTAGGTGCCAAATGAATAATATCAATAGGTCAACACTGTAATAGTGATAGTGATGATGATGAATTTATGTTTCTAGTTGTAATTAATCGATGATTAACCATTTAGTGAAATAGCTAAAAATTCATTTCATTCTCTTCTTTTCACTACTCACGATTAGTCAGTCCATTGGTAACATTGAAAAATCAACAGAATAAAAGTTCCAATTGCTCTTGTAGAGGGAGCAATTGTATATATATACACTGTCATCATAAACTATATAATAATGTTGATGATTTGAAAATAACGCAATAGAACTGAAATTCTGAAAGAAAATCCATAATAAAATAACTGATATGTCGTTAGAATCGAATTCAATGGAAAAAAATAAGGCTTCCCACAACACATGCTCAAAAAGAAGACAACAAGAATTCTTGAAACTTTCTATTGAATATATAATAATAATAATAATACAAATATATAAATGAGATGAAAACTCTTTTTGTCATGCACTTTTTCTGTCTGTCTCTGTTTAGCGACAAATTGTAAAATAAAATGAATCTTAATGAAAAATCAATAAGTCAATATAAAAAATTATTCCATTGATCACGTTCATTTACGATTGTTTGCACAAGTATTTTATAAATGTGTGTGTGTGTGTGTGGCGTGTACAAACTATAAATTGTTTAACAACGAAAAAAATAGAAAAAATTACCAACCGAAAATTGTGGCGTAATCTACTCACCGGAAAAACAAACAAAAACAACTGACGATTATTTCCAAGTTTAAGGACACAAAACAATTAATATTGTGTGTTCAATAACATTGGATAACATATACACATTGGATAACAAAACACAGTGCAAAATATTCTGATAAAAGGACACAGGAGCAAATAATTATGTATTCACTATTTATACACTAATACAGAATTATTTTTTTTTTTATATATACACGATAATAACTGAATCATCAGAATATTATTAATGACGCAGTAGTTTTTTTTTGTTTCAATGAAAAAGAGAAATTCTACAATGGAAAATGTTTTCATTGTTTTTTTTTTCTAACTCAACATCGTAGTATATATATGTGATCATAATATTTTTGTTGTACATAGACAATGACGTATGTACTTTTTCAATCATTTTCAGAATCTATTCAATCAAATTAAGGATGGCAGCTATTTATTTTTCTTCAATTTGTACATACATACACTACCACACAAACACACACTCCCTATAACCTTCGTAAAACAAACAACAACAACAACAAAATATCCTGATCAGTGTGATGAACTTTTAAGGAAAAAACAAAGGAATTTTATTCATTTCATTTCATTGTAGAAAATTGATCATTGGATTAAAAAAAAGAAGAATAAGGAAACGACAAACAAAAATTGTCAAATAGGTTGAGCCACATACAACCAATGTAAATGAATACCACATTACTACCACAGCAACAGGTGTAGTTTTCAATTTTCTCAAAGCAATCATTGAAAATGCAGCTGTCATTGATGCAATTACTGACAATACAATTCCTTCTAATCGCATTTCATGTATTACATCGGATTCTGATCCAAATATAAATTCTGGTTTAGCAATAATAAATACACCAGTAAGAGTGATTGTTCCAGTAATAATTTGCAACTTGCTTAATGGTTCTTTCAGTAAGAAATAAGCAAAAACTGTCACGAATACAGGTGAAGCAAAATGAATTGTAGAGGCATCGGACAATGGTATCAATCGATAAGCAATATATACGGCCGATAATGATATTGTTCCAGAGATTGAACGATAAAACAAATCTAATCGGTGTCCTGGTTGTCCAAAAAAATTATAGCCATAAACCAAGGTCGTTGCAAAATATACGACAAATTGACATAATGATCTTTATCGTAATAAAAATAATATAAAATCATTATCATTAATCAATATATAAATATAACGAGAAAATTAATTTGATTATCATACCTCCAGACAAGAATTTCTATGGTAGGTAATGAAACCAATATTCTAACAATGACAGAAGCGATTGAAAAGCAGAATACAGATAGAATTGCCATAAGCAAACCAAATGCTGGTATACGTTCTGGAATGCTTTTAAGTTTGCTGTTTGTATTAGACGTTCGAATATCGATCGATGATTGTGATGACGCCAATGTTGATGGCATATTTATTTTGGCTTCAGCCAAACCAAATCGTGATAGTTCAGGTGTGGACTATGTATTATAACATCAATCAATAAATCAATTGATTAGTTAAACAATAAATATCAAGGTTACAAACCAGAATATCGCTCATGATGTTCGGCTTTAGTAGAGGCATCTTGACCGCGGTTAATGGCAATTTTGTTCGTTCAAATAACTATTTGGAGTGATTTCTATGATTCATTGAAAAAAAATAAACATGATGAAATAGTTTGAAATTATTACATAAAAACTTACGATTCTGATGATGAATGGGCAGGCAAAAAAACACGGCCAACATTTGAATGACTAATTATTCGTTTTATTTTGTAGGAAAAAAGAAATCCGAGGAATCCGTTCTAAATTTCAACTATTTATTGTCGACTAAATAAATGTCATATGTGAAGATGATCATTTATTAATAATAATAACAATAATTTAATTATATTTACACAATTAAAAATGGATAAAAATAAAAATTAAATCTCACAAAACGTCTTATCAAAGATAGAAATCAAGAACAACATTGCCGAAGCCCAAAAGCTAAATGTTTGGGCTTCAAAATTTATATTCATCATTGCAGTAAATTGGCACCTAAAAAAGTATATCACTTTTAGGTGCCAAATGAATAATATCAATAGGTCAACACTGTAATAGTGATAGTGATGATGATGAATTTATGTTTCTAGTTGTAATTAATCGATGATTAACCATTTAGTGAAATAGCTAAAAAATTCATTTCATTCTCTTCTTTTCACTACTCACGATTAGTCAGTCCATTGGTAACATTGAAAAATCAACAGAATAAAGTTCCAATTGCTCTTGTAGAGGGCAATTGTATATATATACACTGTCATCATAAACTATATAATAATGTTGATGATTTGAAAATAACGCAATAGAACTGAAATTCTGAAAGAAAATCCATAATAAAATAACTGATATGTCGTTAGAATCGAATTCAATGGAAAAAAATGGCTTCCACAACACATGCTCAAAAGAAGACAACAAGAATTCTTGAAACTTTCTATTGAATATATAATAATAATAATAATACAAATATATAAATGAGATGAAAACTCTTTTTGTCATGCACTTTTTCTGTCTGTCTCTGTTTAGCGACAAATTGCAAAATAAAATGAATCTTAATGAAAAATCAATAAGTCAATATACAAAAATTATTCCATTGATCACGTTCATTTACGATTGTTTGCACAAGTATTTTATAAATGTGTGTGTGTGTGTGTGTACAAAATATAATTGTTTAACAACGAAAAAAAAAATGAAAAAATTACCAACCGAAAATTGTGGCGTAATCTACTCACCGGAAAAAAACACTAAAACAACTGACGATTATTTCCAAGTTTAAGGACACAAAACAATTAATATTGTGTGTTCAATAACATTGGATAACATACACATTGGATAACAAAAAACATTGTGCAAAATATTCTGATAAAAAGGACACAGGAGCAACAATTATGTATTCACTATTTATACACTATACAGAATTATTATTTTTTATATATACACGATAATAACTGAATCATCAGAATATTATAATGACGCAGTAGTTTTTTTTTTTTTGTTTCAATGAAAAAGAGAAATTCTACAATGGAAAATGTTTTCATTGTTTTTTTTTCTAATTCAACATCGTAGTATATATATGATCATAATATTTTTGTTGTACATAGACAATGACGTATGTACTTTTTCAATCATTTTCAGAATCTATTCAATCAAATTAAGGATGACAGCTATTTCTTTTTCTTCAATTTGTACATACATACACTACACAAACACACACTTATAACCTTCGTAAAACAACAACAACAACAACAAAATATCCTGATCAGTGTGATGAACTTTTAAGGAAAAAACAAAGAATTTTATTCATTTCATTTCATTGTAGAAAATTGATCATTGGATTAAAAAAAAAGAATAAGGAAACGACAAACAAAACAAATAGTAAATGGAATCATTATTTGAAAGAATAATAAAAACAAGGCAACAATAAATTAGGAAAAAAAGAGGAATTTAAATTCAAGCCATTAGGATTTTATTTATGTGTGTGTGTGTGTGTATTTTTGAGTTTATTTCATCAATGCTCGTACAACAGCACGAGCATTTAGCTGTTTTAAATCTCGATATGTTTGTCCAACACCGACAAACACAATTGGCTGGCCAGTTATATAAGTCATTGAAATAGCAGCACCAACTTGATCATCAATTGTATCGAATTTTGTCAAAACAATACCGTTGATAGCTGATACGCTATCATTTGCAGCACTACGGCATCCATTGTCCAATAAAGCTCGATTAAAATTGACCAATTGATCAACAGCTTCATTACCAACAAGAGCTTCACCAACGAATAATGTCAAATCAGGTTCATTCACTTTGATCAATTTAGCCAACTGTTTCATCAATGGTTCATTTCCTTGCATTCGGCCAGCCGTGTCAACCAAACAAACATCATAGCCATTGTTACTAGCATAACGTATACCTTCCATAGCAATACCTGTAGCATCTTTTCCATATCCTTTCTCATAAAGATCAATTTTCGATGATGAACCACCACCATTTGAGTTTTCATGAATATTTTTCAAAGCATGAATATGTGTTCGAAGTTGTTCAATGGCTCCGGCACGAAAAGTATCGCAAGCAATCACCAGTACTCTTTTATCATTGAGCAATAGCCAATTTGCTATTTTAGCCAAATTAGTAGATTTACCAACACCGTTGACGCCACAAAAAACAATCACATATGGATTAGCGGAATCATTTTTCATTTGTACTTCACGTAAAATATTCAAATTACGATTTGGCGACAAGATTCGTAGAATAGATTCTTCAAGGGCATTCTTGACGAATGATTTCAAGCCAATCCAAGTATTAACATTTTGACCGATTAATTTATTAGATACGCTATCACAAAGTTTTGTAGCGATTTCAGCAGCAACATTTTTTGCTATCAAATGATCACGTAGATTAGCCAGGATTGGATCTAAATCCGCTTTACTCAATGTTTTGTTATACGAAAATGTATTCATAATGGAGCCAAAAAACCCGGATTGTGTAGGCATTGGTTTATCCACGGCAACATTTTCATCATAATCATTATCGTCATCATCATCATCGCTAACGTTAAAATCCAAATCTGGTTGCATATCAAGATCTTTGCCAATCATATCCGAATTTGCCATATTACGTATGACCGATGATTCTGGACGATCATCTGCATCTTTTTTACTGAAATCCAGATTGGAATCATTTTTGCCACCAAACTCCCATACAGTCGGTTTTTTTACTTTCTTTTTAGGCTCCGGTTTAGATGGTTTTTTTGATTTAGGTGATCCAATTTTGGCCGATTTGGCAGCCAATTTTTTCAATATTTCATCTTTATCCAATGTTTTTGCTTCAATATCACCGTTAGTGTGATTCGATTGATTTTTATTTGTTTCAGATTTGTTTGGATGATTTTTTGATTGAATGATCATTGAAGCAACAGTTTTCTTTGATTTTTGGCTCTGTTCAAATGTTCGCATTTCAGCCGCATGCGGACGTGATCCAGCTTGTTGATGATAACGATTACAAGAAGAATAAATGTTTTGAAATTCATTGATAAAATCGATTAAATTTGTATCGACAGATTGAATACTTTGGTCCAGATAAATTTTTCCTTTTCCACTTTCATTCTGTTTTTTATTCGAAATCTGCCGCTGATTTGTATAAAGCCAATGTAAATTTTTTGAATCAAAATTTTTATACTTATCGCGAAATGCAAGTTGAATATCATTCAAAAATTTGTCAATATAAGACAATGAAAGCATCTTTTGATAGCCAACGACAAACACCAATTCGAATTCATTATCAAGATAGAATTGTAATAAAAGTGTATCGATTTGAAATTTATCCACACGATCCTCTAGAATCACATTACGTATGATACGATTCAAGTATGAATTAAAATCTTGAACCGATGAATTTACGGCAGCAAATAAGACGATACCGCCTTTGCTGAATATGGCAAAAAGATCCAACATGATCGTTGATGATTAAGAATGAACGAACGAAAAACCTGTTCACAAAGAAAAGTAAAAAAACTTAAAATTGCAAAATAGAATTAATAAAATTCACATTACCATGGAAAAAATAATAAATTTCAAATTGAATTTAGTAAAAAAAAAGAACACAATGTGAATTTAATTTTGACAAAAAAAAATGTAAAATTCTTGTTTACGTGGACCTAAAAATTGTTTATGAACGTTGTTTGCGTAATCATTTTTTTTCTCTTTTTTCTTTTTGGCCAATCATTCATGTTCGTTCATATATGAGAGGACAGAAATTTTTTTTTTTTTTTGGTCCTCTATTTCATTTTACGGCGCGCAAAATTTCTTTTAAATTTATCATTAAAAAAAAATTTCAATTTTTTTTAGTTCAATTTTCTTTTTATTTCTTTCGAGAAAAAAAACATTTTCAAAGATTATCCATTTATTTATTTATGGATTCATTCATATAACGTTGTTCAATCGATGTGTATGGCGTATGATATTATTATGTTTGTGGCAAATGATGAGATAAAAAGAAATGAAAAAAAAAACTTAAATACAAATACAAATCAGTATTATTATTATTATCATTACAATGAAAATTGTTTCGTGTGTTTTTTTTTTTTTTTTTTTTTTGATTGATTCCTTGTTTTTTTAACACAATGTGTATTATATATTATAAATTTATCTGTTATAACTAATTATCAATGATAATAAATGAATGAATGATGAATTAAATGAACAAAAAAAAATGAATTACAGGCCAAATACGATAAAAAACAAAATAAAAAACACGCGAAGCAAAAAAAGTAAAACGAATTAAACGACAACTTTGTTGCATGTATATGTGAAATGAGTGTTTGATTTTTTTTTTTTTTAGTTTCTTTTAAATAAGTGAAACCGAAGAAATATTTGGATAGAAGATAAAAAATAACGTTGAAAAACTCTCGCTAATCGAGAGTCATTGAGAGTGATAATATCAATCTCAGATTAAAGGATGTACTTAAAAATATATATAGAAAGAAGAGGCGATAATAGCATCAGCAACAACAATGACAATGACAATAGAAATGAACCATACATATTTTGTTGCAGTTGTTGTTGTTGTTTTTGTCAACATTTTGTTTTCAATCAAATTGATCATCAGAATTCTAATTTATCCATCCTCCCGGTAGACGTGTGTATGAATGTTATTTGTTGGATGAAACACAGAACCAAAAAAAAAGACTATGAATGTTGTTGTTTTTTTTCACTGCTTGCTTGAAATAAGCTAAAAATCAAAATACCAGTTCAATAATTCAAGGTATTCCATCTATGAATGAATACCAAGCAATATAAACGAATTTATATCATTATTATAAAAAACAAAAGGCGAATCGGTTGTTTGTTTTTTTCTCGAAAAGTTTGATGAATATGAAATGGCCATTCTTATAGAGTTGAAAAAAAATCTAGATAAAAATAAATAATTCAAGATTTATCAAATGCATAAAATTGTCAACAAAAAAAAAATACCTGGTTGATTTAATTGTAAACAGACACAAAATGCTAGAATTTTTTAATTTTCAACTGAATTTGCCACAATAACATTTGGTCGCTGAATTTGAATAATTTGAGGTCTTGTTGTGGTCGATGAAGGTGATGATGAATTGGCTGTTGATATTGTATGATAGATACGTGATGCTGCCGTATTCGAAACACCAGATACAGTTACAATCTTGGCATTTGATGATATATTATTCAATATAACGTTTGCTTTGGATTTCGGTAATGAATCGGAAGCATTTCGTTTGGCCGATTCCGAATTATCATTTTCATTTTCGGTCTTGAGCATTATTTTTTTATTAGCTTGATCTGAATCATCTTGTGTTTCATTTTTATTAACCGTTTTACTATTATTGTCTGCGGATTCATTGAAATAACCACCTTCTACATGTCGAATGGCTTCGACAATGGTATTCAAATTTTGACGAGAAGTATTGGCCTGTTCATTCAAAGATTCTTTTTTGATTGTAATCAATTTACAATCGTTGCCCATAGTTAAATTTGAATGTTTGGCCGTCAATATTGTTGGACCACCATGTTTAGAGCTCGAATTATTTGGGACTAATTGTAAAATTCGTGTTTTTTGACCAGCATTTGTTGATGAATTGGAAGCCGAATTAGTATTGGCGGCCTGCATATTTCGATTCGATTCGACAAGCATAACATTCGAATCGACCAAAACAACGACCGATCCATTCGAAGTGTTTTTAATGTTATTCGATTCAGTCGGACTGTCAACTTCATGTGGAGCAACAAAAGGAACATCGATTGGCAAAGCAATGGCATTTTGTTTCTGAACACGTTGCTGTTGTTGACCAATATCGATTTGTTGTGATTGAAAATGGCCGGTTGGAAAAATTGTCGTACCGCTTGTTGTTATCACCTGTTCATTTGCAGCAATTACCATGTCTGGAGGACTAGCCGGACAGCTTTGCATTTCAATTTCGATTGATTCGCTAGCTACTTCCACTTCATCGGTTATTTGTTCCAATGCAGAGGATGAATGATTATGGTAATGTCGATTGCCATTCAATGTTTTTCCTGTTTGATATTGCAATTCTTCTTGAAGCATTATTCGTAATCGACGTTCATCTTCTAGCTCTTTTTCAATACGACAAAGCTGTTTTCGAAGAGCCGATGCATCTGTAGATAATCGTGAATTGCCATTTTGTTTGCTTTTTGAACGATTAAATTTATTGGAATTAAGTTCATGTTCCGATGAAGATTCGGTTGATGAACCATCACCATTGATAGGGCTTGAATCAATATCTAATCGATGATTATTTTCATATTTACGTCGTTTACAGCTTGGACAATCCGGTGGCTGTGATTGTAATCGTTTCATCCAATCAGGTGAATTTATATTGGTATTTGAATTAGTTGCCGATACACCGGCCAAAGTTTTCAATTCAGAATTTTGTGATAACAATTTATTAATCTCTTGTTCCAATTGATAAATATATGTTGCCGTATGTTGAAGTATGGCAGCTTTGCTTAATTTTTCACCATCATGTTTTTGAGGTAGTAATGTTCGTAATGAATGAAAACCAGCATTTATATTCTGCATACGTCGCCTTTCATTCATATTGGCTATTTCACGTTTTGCACGTTTCTCATCCATATTATGTTCCATTCCATCCATTGATGACATTTTCGTTCAATTATTGATTTCTAAACAAAAAAAAAAAACATTTTATTCATCAAAATGGTAAAAGAACTAGTTAACTACTTACCGGAAAAAAAAGAAAAGCACTGGTTAAATCAGTTGTTTTTCAATCAAACGTGAGGATGTGAATGAAAAAACCTCATTCCTTAGATACAAAAAAAACAATCATTAATTAATATATAATGATAATAAACATTCAATATTTAAAATACATTACAATTAATTAAGAGGCCATACAGATGTCATGAATTATGAAAATATGATTGTAATTGTAACACATATATATAATTCTTAAACAATGTGATGATAAAACGACGATGGCAACACCAAATGAAATGATGATGAAAACATGCGGTCAATTCAATAACAAAAGCAGTAATCACCCAAACACACACACACACACACACAAGCACGGTACGTTCAATTGGGTGTGACAAAAAAAATCCACAATTATAAAAAAAAAAATTAATCAATGACAACGATGATTTTGTTCAAATAAACAATTAATGTCATCAATGAATAATCATTAAGAATTGTTGGAATATTTATTATAATGTTTAAATGTTTTAATTTTACAGATATTCTTTCAAAAAAAAAAAAAAAATTACACATTCAAGATAATAATAATAATAATAACGGATGATGATACAATTTAGCACGAGCTTTTTTTTTACATACACATTTATGCATATAAAATACACATACGGAGAAAAAGAGAGAGAGAGTGAAAAAAACGACGAAACACCAACGGTGTGCTTTTTTCTCTCTCTCTCTCTCTTCATTTGATCATCAGTCAGTCGGTCGGGATCGGGTGTTGAGGGTGAGAAATATTAAGGAGGAGGATGAATTTTACATGTGAGAATTAATGAATCGATGATGATGATGAGCGATAGATATTACAAGTATATGAGTGACACAGACGCAGCTGAATTTTTTTTTTTTTTTTTTTTTGATTGAATAATATACTGCTGTAAAGCAGCTGTGAACGGTGGAGTTGATTTATATATATATATATATATATATATATGTGAGGAATTCACAGACAGGTGGCGCTAATAGAATCCGCGCGCTACTGATCATATGTTTGTATTGTTATGGTAGTGGTATTATATGATTTTTTTTCTCATCACATTCTTTTAATTCACCAACGATAGATGGCAACCAATGTTTGTTATAATTGTTTTTTCATTTTAAATTCATGCAACAAGCTACAGACAAACAAAACAACAACAACAACAACAACAACAAAAAAATTCAATCGAATGGAATTATCATTAATCTTGAAATTTATTTATCATTGATCTAAATAATTATAATATATAATATCATCATTCTTCTATGTGATTACAATTTGGAAAAAAAAGGAAAAAACGGTTATTTTTTTCATGGAAAATTGTTATTTAAATAAAAAAGAAAAGTTTAAAATAGATATAAATCGATATGGTAAATGTGTGTGTGTGTGATCGATTTGTGAATCTATGATCGACAAAAGGTTTGCACATAATACATTTGTATGGATTTTGATTTTGTTGTTTTGTTTAATTTTTACTACTACTACTACTAGTGAACATAAATGGAGCATATTGAACGGCAAGTTTTGAGATCGTATTCTCTGCCGGTTTAGTACCAGATTTTGGTTTGGCCGCATTCATCACTCGTTTACATGATGATGAACCACCAGGAAAAACATCAAATGGACAGAATAGATCAGTCAATGGTCCAACGGTATTATTATGGAATTCACGTGCAACACGTGCACCTTCAGCCGTACATTCACGTTTGATCATAGAATTAGAACATTCAAACCACGTGTTGAATCCACAACATAATGCTTCATGTACATCATCAGTACGTAAATGATTCATATCAATTTTTCCGGCAACATGTAAAAATGGATCATTACAGCTGGCTTTGAAATCATTTGTACGCAATACTTTTGAATGGAAACAAGGTGAATGTTTGAGGAATCCTATATATTCGATGAAAAATATCAATCAAACATGACAAAAAAGACACACACCACATATATTACATGCACATAATGTCAAAAAAAAAAAAATTTAATAATAAAAAAAGGGGGACAATGACAAATAAAATTATGAAATAAAAATTGAACGCGATTGGAACCGATCAATCGTCAATGTCATTTGAAAATAAATTAAACTTAATAATAATGATATATTAAACACGGACACTCACTTGATTTTTGTTGACTATTGTCACAAAATCTGGTGACACGATGCATAATGACATCCATGACCAAATCGCTTAATTCACGATGTAATGGTGTGCCACATTTTTTAAAATATGCTTTTGCACATTTCATTGTATCATCCTTGATTGTCCTAAAATAGAAGGACAATAAATAACAACAAAAGAAAAATCAGTTTCGATAACAATGATTGAGTTTCGTGTGTCTGTATGTGTGTATGAAACTTACTTGCAAATTCTATTCAATCCTTGTGATGTTGTAATGATCGATGTTGGATCATTTTCTTTACCTAATGATGTTAATTTATCTAAACATTTAACCATCTCTTTTTGATGACATTGATCGGCACCATTTTTATTCTTATTACGATTACGACGTTTTTTCTGTGCATCAACCAATTCCGTAATGAACAATACGATAAGTAATCCGATACAGATGAAAAAATCTTCAAAAGAGAAAATTAATTAATTAAAAAAAAAAAAATTTCTTTAATTGACACAAGTAAAAAAAAAATAGACGAAATACTTACAAACTTTTCGGTCGGCCAATTTCATGTTCAATGTGCACGAGACTCTTTATATTTCCAAAAAAAAAAAAAAAAAATGAAATGAAATGAAATGAAATGAAATGTGTTGAAATGATCAATGAAAATGAAATGAAGAGGAAACGATTGCTAATAATGGAAAAAAAATATCATTTGGCTAAATTGCAATTTGGTGAAAAAAAAAAATAAAAATGAAATTTAAACCATGAAAAATTGAAAAATCTTTATTAAACATCATTTATTCGTCTAATAGCCTTCATCGATTATCGATGAAATTTTTTTTCAGAAAATAAAAATAATAAACAATTAGGAGGTATATGGTTAAAAAATTTTTTTTTCTAGAAATAACCCGTACATCATCAATATCATCATCATCATCATCATCATCATCATCGTTAATGAATTATTATGATGACGATAATCATATGTATCAAGTACAATATAATGAAATTTACCTGAAGAAAAATTATAAACAACAATCGACAAATATTGAATGACAACGGTATTGTGACAACACACACACACAACACACAAACACAAACAAACAGAACAAAAATTCTAAAAATAAAAAATTGAAGATTGATGAATTTCAAATGAAAACAAAACAGCAACAACAACAACAACAAAAGTTTTCAATATTGAACCGGATGTTTGATAATTATTTTTGGTGCTGATCAATGAATTTATAATCAAATTATTAAATTGTCTATATTATTTGTTGTTGTACTGTGTATCAGACAGGTAGACACTAAACACAAATGACTAACTTCCTTCAAATGGAGGTGAAAAAAAAATTTTTTTTTTTTTTTTTTTGAAAAATGATCGATGCTTGAGCAAAAGATCAAGTGTTTATGTGTGTTTGTGTGTCTGTGTGTCTTGTTTGTTTGTTTGTTTATGGACCAATCCGAACCGAAAAAAAAGATTCAAAGATTTAGAGAAAAAAATCACGCACACACACACATACAAACATTTGAACAAAAAAAAAGAGAGAAAAGATATTTCCATACAGCAACGACGGAAAAACAGTCAGTATATATGTGTGCCAAAGTATTTTTTTATTTTTTTTATCGATTATAAAAATTCGCTGCTTTAAATAAAACGAAAACGAAAACGAAAATATTCAAAATAGATAAAATGGCAAATGGATCGAAAAATAAAACATTTGACAGGTGGCCTGTGGTGGTATATCTTGTACATGTTGTGTCCAGTCCAAAGCACACACACACACACACAGATGATGCACAGAGATATACGGAAAAAAAAGATGAAACAAACCCAACGGACAGAGTATCTTAGTGTATAGAGAAACAAAAAACTAAATCCATAGATATGATGATGATGATGATGATGATAATTTTTTTTTCGTCTGAAATCTAGTTTTAAGCAAAAAATAATAATCATATTTTCAGGTAATCAGGATGGATTCGTAATTTGTTTGTTTTCAAAATTTTTTTTTTTTTTTGAAAAAAAAAAAACAAAAATCATTTTCACTCTCTCTTTATCACTCACTCTCTCTCTCTCTCTCTCTCACTTACTCTCAGTGATGATAATGAAAAAAATCGAATCCTTTAGAATATGAGGCCAATTTCATCATCGTAAACATTTCGATTGATATGTTATATCGGCAATAATGTCTGTGAAAAGGGCGAAAAGAAAAGAAAAGAAAAAATTAAGAGTTTTGACCCAATCATTTTGACATGACTTTAGAACGAATGCATTTTTTTTTTTTTTGTTTGTTTGTTTCGCTGATAAAAAAAAAGAGATTGACAAACCTGAGGAATTATCAATTAAAATCAATAGTGTGTGTGTAGGTGTGTGTGTGTGTGTGTGCTAGTTAGTTTTTTTTGTTCCAAAATTTTTTCCCCATTTTCTTTGTTATCTACACAATTTTCTTATATATTGAGAAAGAAGAGAAAAAAAAAATTTTTTTTTATTGAATTGCATGAACCAGTTGAATGATTGACGACTATTGTATAGGATTGTATTTTCATTTCAAATAAAACAAAACAATCCAAAACAATTATAAGGATGTTGGCCACCACCATCATATGTATATCGTATTGGCCATTTGTTCCAAAAAAAACATGAACAAAAACGTCATGTTCCAATTATCAAGCGTTTATTTATTTATTTTTTTTTTTTGTCTATGTGTGTCCGCCACATTTGTCAAATTTTTTTTTTGTCAGATAATCAGACAAACAACAACAACAACAAAAAAAAAATCGGACTTTTAAGAGACAATTTTTGGTACTTTTTTTTCTTTCAAAATTCAAAGCTCTCTATACACTTGACACACCACTGGATAAAATATATGAAAAAATTACATTATAGACCAAAATAAACTGATAGATAGATAGATGTCCAGAAAAAAATAAGATATCTAATGGTGTTTTTCTTTTTCATTTTGTGTGTGTGTCTCTCTCTCTCTCTCTGTTTTCAATGTCATCGACATTCAATATTTGAATACGTGTATGAAAATGATAGAGAGAGAGAGAGAGACGCACACACACACAATTAATGTTCAATGTCTTTGAATTATTTGAAATTTTGCTTTCATTTCTTGATTTTTTTTATCTGAATCTGAATTTTTTTTAAATATTTAAATGAATCTTCTTTATTTTATTTTTTTTTTTTTTTTTTTAATTCAACCACATTTTTCAATCATTATAAAATAACTTGTGTTAGAATGTGAACAGATATAGATAGATAGATAGATAATGTTTAATATCACAAGAGATATATTAACAAACACACATATACAAACATATAAACAAAACAAAACAAACAAACAAACAAACAAAAAAAATCAAGGACATGATCCATCAGGACTGGAATGCTGCTGTTGTTGTTGGACAAATTGGACATCCTAATATATATAAAAAAGAGAGTGAATGCGGACATATCAATTTGATCTTCAATAACTTTTTTTCGAGGACATTCTAGGCCATTTATTTCAATTTTCATCATTATCTTGCCGGACACATCAAGAACAGTATCAACAACAACAACAACAACAACAACAAAAAACAAAATGAGAACTTTTGATCGAATTAAATATTATCAACAACAACAACAACAACGAAAAAAATCTCGAGCTCGCGCGTTTATTTAGAAACAAGTTTTTTTTCGAATTGTATTCTATTACACTGTTCAACACTATCACCATCTATCGGTATGATAATTTAATTTTTCGTTTATTCCATACAAATAAAACGTAGAATATTTTGATCAATAAATATACAAGTTGGATCATTTGTTAATTTTCGTGTTGAAAGAATCGTTGTTAAATCGTATGTATTATCGGTAGGAAAATCGAATCCTTCATTATCATTTGTTTCTTTTCCATATGTTTTCCAATTCGAATGAATAGATATGAATAAATGATTATGGGCAATAAATTTTAGCATCTGTGTTTGTTGACTAGCGATGGATTGTTGGCCATTATTGTTGTTTTCTTCATTATCGATCATCATGGATTTTGTCATCAATTCATCGATTAAATCTTCATACAATGGTGAATGTTTTCGATCAAATATCGTATATTGTTGATAACAATGTCGACTATTTTCGATTAAATCGTATTTATAATAAATTTTACCAACATTATTAAACGGTATCATTGATCGTGACCAAGTTGCCATTATTTTCAATTTAAATGTTGAAATTGTTGGCATTGAAAAATTGGCTACGATTAATTGATCGCCGATTATGCATGCGATTGGCAAAAGACCATAGATTTGTTTGATTAAATTTCTAATAATATCATCGTCTTCGGGTAAATTTGCCAATTTCATTTCATTGTGGCCAGATAATAAAAATACTTTTGTAGGCATTAATATTTTCATGCATAATAAATAGATAAGACAATCAAGATTATCAAGATTTTGCAAATAATTTCCCATGAACAATAATACACCTGGAACGATGAATGGAAATGTTTTGAAAATGTTTCGATTGAACATAAATAAATCTTCTATGGATCCATTTAGATAACCGAAAATATATGCCGGTGATTGTAATTCCAAAATTGGTGATTCATTTTCGAATAAACGTTTTGCGAATTCCAGAATCATTCGTAAATAATGTAACATTATTGATCTGTTTTCAAAATAATAATTTTCTATTGATTCCAAATTAGATTCTAATTGATCTTTACATGTTTGAATTTTTCCAATACGATTAATAAATTCATTGGCCAAATTGAAAATGTTTCGATTTTGAATATCATCAATGAATGTCATTACCGATTCAGATTGAGCAAAATTCGGTTTAAATTTCAATACTTTTATGATTTCACCAGATTTTCCAATATGAGTAAGCAACGATGAAATATTATATTTTGGAAATTCTGTATCCAGAATGTAGAATAAACAAGAATCACATCTGCCATAATAAATTGTATTATCAACTAATTTTTGCTGTACAGTTGTAGCAATATTTCGACAATTGAATTTTTTATAAATTTCTTCAAAAAATGGAAAATCACTGAAAGGATTTTCATCAGTTTTACGTAAATTGAACTCTGCCAAACCGTTTAGAAGATCACGATATTCAAGGTAACCACGATTTTGTCTATCCAAATGTCTGAAAATTTTTATTCTACTTTCTTTATACCAGGTACCAACGAACCAATCAAGTTTATCACAAAATAAATGAAATGAAGCCAGGCTCATCGTACTGGAAGGATGGCATTGAATGAAAAATTCATTGTACAAATATTCAGCCGCAATTGATAGATTGATAGCACAATCGCTTTGCCATGATTGTTCAATTTTAGGCAATTCTTCTTCGATAATTTCTTCATAATTAACTTCAATAAAATTCATTGTCCAAAAGTTTTTATCATTATTGAAATATTGGATAATTTCACCACCCCAAACAGTAGTGAAAATTGATGGCAATTTAGCAATTGGTAACCAGGTTATTTCGTCATTACTGGTACTTGATATAGTATCATCATCATTAACATTACAAATGCATGTATTATTTGAATTAATTAATTGTGAATAATATATCCATTTTGTTATAAATCGACGAATTTTTGGCACTTTTATTCGATACATGTGTACAAGATCCGAATGAATCATCATTTGTTTGTTTGTATCGATATTATTGTTATTTTTAAAAATCATTAAATCAAATAGCGATGAAATTGTTTCACTAATCGATTGATTTGGCTGTGTTAATGGTGTGGATGGAAAATAATAATAATCAATAATCTGTTGCAATGCAATTGTCTGATGTTGTGGACATATTAAAATGATGCATAAAATATCTTTAGGTATATCATGATTTTCACAATGACAAATCATTGGTGTCATTGATTGTTCGTTGGAATTTGATGATGTTGATAATGATGATGATGGTAAAATACTTTCTGTTGATTTTACATTAATATTATGATGATTATTATTATTACTATTATTTGCAATTTGTTCATCTTCAATTTCACGATCACAGGTAGCAAAACCAATACTAGTAAGACTTTTACTCATTGTCAATGATGGTTCTGTTGCATTAGCAACAACATCATCATCAGTGGTGGATGATGCTTTTGGTTGTTGTTGTTGTTGTTGTTTCGAGGGATCACTAGCCATATTATTTAACCGATTCAACTGTCTAATCAAATAAATTTTACAAAAAATCAACAAATTTTCTATACACAAAATTTAAGCCCATTTTATTATTCTTTTTTATTATTCATATTCATTACTATTGTTTTTTTTTTTGCATAAGTTCGGTAATTATATTATCAATAATAATCATAATGTCGTTATATCGTGATTGAAAAAAACAAAGCAGAATAATCTGTGTGTGTGTCAAAGAAACAAAAAAAAAATTTTAAAAGAAAACAATGAAAATTCGGGGATAATCGGCAAATATATATCAGAATTATGATTCGTTGATCAAAAAAAAAAAAAAAAAAAAAAAAAAATAAAATCCAGTCAAATAAAATATTCTGTTCATTCTGTCATTGAATTAGCATTAAATTGTGTATATATGTAGTCAATGGAAGAAATAATTGTAATCTCTAATCAAGAGAAATAATGAAAAATGAAAAAAAAGAAATCTATTGTGAATCCAAAATGTGAACGAAACTATAGAAAACAAATTATATTATTGCATTAGATCTGTATGAAAAAAAAAATTGCTGTTGTCAGATTAATAAACGGATTTAACCGGAAATAAAACTGTGAATATGTGTAAATTAAATGGGCACATATAATAATTGATTGATCAAACATTGATCAATTCATTACATGAATGAATGATGGATTTCTGACAAGGATAGAATTTGATTGATGTAAATTTGAATAGAATTTTTCAATAAAATCAAATGAATCATGTGTATATAAAGAATTGTGAATGTGAGTGGTGTATACAAGTATAACAATTAAGAAAAAAAAACGATGATGATGATGATGATGATGATAATGAAATACAAATTAGAAAAAAAAATGAAAAGACAGATTCAAAGAGAGAGAGAGAATCATCGTTGTATAATCTCTTCCAAAATTAAATTAAATGATGATGATGATGATGGGTAGGCATATGAATAATGTTGAACAATTTAATGTTTGTGTACGTGTGTAACAATCAATATAATGATATATAATAGTAATAAATAGAATATATATTCTTCCCCAAAAAATATTGAATCATCAATTTTGTTGATGAATCCAAAAATTTGATAAATTATTCATGTTGATGGTGATAATTTGGGACACATATATATCATTTCATATGTTGTGGTGGGTGTGTGTAGAAAATTAACCAGTATATATTAATCATCACCATCATTTTAGAACTATTTTTTTTTTTTTAAAACACAGGCTTCGAATATAAGAATTCGGTGTTTTTTTTCTTACTGAAAATGATCAAAAAAAAAAGATGGAGAACAAGAATGTTGAATTGAAAGAGAAACAAGAGAAAAAAAAATTTGATACAAGAACAACAGAAAAAAGGTGTGTATAGATCACAAATAAAAATGAAACGATATTCAATTACATCATCGTCATCATCATCAATATCGTATTCAATTCGTTGTTTTGATGTTAAAATGTGTTCATTTTAAAAAAAAGCTCGAGAAAAATAAACAAAAAGAAAAAGAAAAAAAAATAATAGGAAGAGAAAAAAAAATATTCGAATATGGAAACTTAATGAAATTATATATGTTTTGTTTTTTAATTGCACTTGGTCGATTGTTGTTGTTGTTGTTGTTTTTCATTCATTTCTATCTTTTTTTCCCATTGAATTTTTTTTTTTTGATCTGATCTATAAAACCAGCACTTGATAATTGATAATTCAAACTATAGTGGATTATTGAATTGATTGTGTGTGGGGGCGAAGATGTAGATGAATAATTGATTGAATCTTTTTTTTTATTGGATGTTTGGCATTTATCGAGTTTTTGCTGATTAATCTTGAGCAACAATAAAATGATGAAGGATTCATGACAGACGAATTCATATGGATTTCTGTGTGTGTGTGTGTTTGTGTGTAGGTGTGTTTAGGTATTATGAGCAATATGAAAAAGCAGATTTTATTTCTAATTTGATTTTGAATAAATTTTCAATTGAATAAATTCCGAATTAAAGTTGCATTATTATATCTTATGATCATTTTTTGTTGAAGGGGCCTACTATTGTCATTGAATAGATTGAGGTATGAAATTGATTAGAAAATAATTTCAAGATTCTGGTTTTGTGGAATCGGATATTGGCTCAGTCGCCGTCGTCGTATCAGTAGCAATATTCGATGATGATAAAGAGGCAGTGTTTTTATTGTTCGCAGTTGATGATATTATTGCGGAAGTTGTCACCGTCGTCGTACTACTAGTTTTAGTATCATCAACACTTGACGACGATTGTTGATCTTTTATCGTTGATGTTCCATCACTTGGTTTAGATGATTGAGATTCAACAGATGATTTTGTCGTCAACTCACTACTACTTGCGGTTGTTGTTGTTGTCGTCGTCGTTGTTGTTAATGGCTGACTACTCGTCGTTGTCGATGTTGCGGAAGAAGGCACAGACAATGTTGATGGAGCAGTAGCTGTTGTTGACGATGATGATGATGATGGAGCTGTAATTGATCGATGTACAATAAAACGAATCTGTCTTTGAGCATTGAATGATGAATAAAAATCACCAATTATAAAAACCGAAGTCTGATCTTGCTGTTGTTCACTAATTGTCGTCGTCGATGATGATGATGTTAACGGTTGTTGATGTTGTTGGCTTAATTTTTCCGTAACTGTCGTTCCATCGCCACCATTCGGTGATGATGGTTCTTCTGGTGATGTTACTGATGATTTTACTGTCGTCGTCGCTGTGGTTGTTATCGTTGGCTGTGATGATGATGATGTTGAAGACGTTGTTGAATCACTTCTACTTTCTTTTGATAATTTGATTGTAGCGCCCGATGTTCGCTGTAATTCGGTAATAACGGAACCACCTTTTCCAATAATACGTCGAACTTGATTCGTGGGCACCATTATTTCTACTTTTAAAATGGCCGGATCACCATAAGGACAAATAGTTGCAGGGCTGGCAGTCATTGATAATTGATTGGATAATTCTGTATAAACTTTTTGAAATACAAAAAATTGTGCTTGATTCTGTGAAAATGCATTTCCGTAAATCGTTACACGACGTTCTAAAGGCTTGCTAATAGCACTACTGCTGCTTTCAATAGCAGTCGATGAACTTGTATCTTCTTCATTCATTTGAGCAACCTGTATTGGAAATAAATAACAGTTAATTTGGTAGTATTAGAATCAATAAATCAAACCTTGATTACGGCTCCAGAATTGTTCATCATTTCACGAATGGTCGATCCACCACGTCCAATAATGGCACCAACCACAGAATTCGGTATGTATATCGTGACTGTTTCTTTAACATTATCCAAATTTGGCAGCATTGATGAATATAAATAAGTACTCATGTATGGCGATGGAACATTCTGTGTCCCAGATCCAGCGCCAATAAATGGAGCAGTAGGTGCACCAAAACTACTTTGTGGACCGTGAGGTGAATACATGAAAGGTGCAAAATTATATGGATTGTAAAATGCTGTTGTAGCTGCTGGCCCTTGCGTTGAAGAAGAAGGTAACTGATGTGGCTGGGAACCACCCGGAACTGGTCCAGTGGCACTGGTTGTTGGCGATGTGACTGACGAACTGCCCATAACGGCAGATGATCGACCAATCAAAGCAGATGGTGGTATATTCGTACAGGTGGGCGATGCACCTAATGGTGGATAAGACATTGGCTGTGGCTGCTGTTGTGGATGTGATCCTGGACCCAACGAATATGGTATACCCAGTGGTCCGGTTGTAGCTGATTGACCAGGTGTTAATAACGATGAAGGAGGTAACGAGGAATGATGAAAACCAGTTGGATGATGATACATTAAAGATTGTTGATATTGCATGCAATCACTTTCAAAACATTGGCGTAACTTTTGACTAATCATCACTTCGGCTTTACACATACTTTCTAACTGACCCGAGATTGATATGATTCTCTCTAGTTGATATTGCGAAGCAAGATTGGCACTAAAATCATTTTCAAAAAAAAATAAATGAATAGATTAGCACAATTAAATAGAATAATGAATCACATACCTGTTAATTGTGATTTTAGTGTCAGTCTGTTGCATAATACGTCTAATTGTGTTACCACCTTTACCAATTATACGGCCAATAAGATTGTTGGAAGCAAGTATCTTTAATTGAATCTCATCAGGACGATTCAATGATTTGGCCTCTTGTTGCATGACTTCCAATATGCGGCGACATGCTTGTGAACAATTGTCTGGATTACCATAAATCATAATGATATTTTCGTTTGCCGATGAACTTTCCTTTCGATGAACATCGACACGGGCATGTGTTTCTTGTGTGATTTGTCTGATGGTTCCACCGCCACGGCCAATGATTGCGCCAACTAAATCCTTTAACACTAATATTCTAAATAAAAATAAATCAATTATAAGATTAATGTTGAAAAATTAACTTGTCGTTTATTATTTATTACCTTAATGGTAATGTGGTGGCAAAACGAAATTGAGGCCAAGATGCAGCCGTTGATGAAGCTCCAGGCGTTGGCAATGATGATGACGTTGATGAAGATGGTGTTGCTGGACCACCCATTACACTAGGACCACCAATACCGGTTGTTGAAATTTTCGAAGTTCGATGTTTGGCTGATGAACCATTCTGATGATGAACACCACCACCACCACCACCAATACCGCCTGTTCCTCCCGTACGATTGCCAATGGTTGAACCAACAAGACCACCACTACCGGTACTAGCTGCTGCTGCTGAACCATTCTGTTGCTGTGTGGTTGTTGATGTACCAGAAGCTATTCCAGGAGTCTTCGGCATCTTTCCATTACCAGAAGTTTCCATTTTCAATCTCATTTAGATGGATTTGGAATATTTTTGTTTTTTTTTTTTCACTTTTGTTTTATATATTTTAAATAATGGCAGTATATATCAATCAATCAATCAATGAAGAGTGAAAAAAAATCAATGTAATCAAAGTATTTTTCGTGTATAATAATGAAATAATAATAGTATAGTAATTGTGGTGGTGAATGTAAATATGAAGCTCAAATTGTAATTAAAAACAAAAAGAAGCGAGCAAAAAAAAATAAAAATAAATTCAAACCAACAAACAATGATAAATATATATATAATCTCAATTGAATACACAATAATAATAATGAAATGAAATGATAAGCACGAGCTTGAATTTGAATTTTGTTTTTTTCGTTTTTTTTTCAAAAATATCTCCTAATTTTGCTTGTATGAATAAATATATGTGTAAATGTTAATAATAATAGAATAGAAAAATAAAAGATTCAAATTGAATAACAGCAAGTATAATATGAGAATGTGTGTATAATAATAATAATGTATAATGTATAACGATTTCAAAAATTTTTTTTCTCTTCAACAAACGTTTACTATAACAATAATGGATGATGATGAATCAATCAATTTTGATGATGAAACAATCATCGTTTCGTTGGTTGGCTGTATAAATTCTTCTCTTCAATGATCAGAGAGGTTAATGATTTACGCGTGTCATATATACACACACACACAAAAACACCGGAAATCTGTGATTTAAAAATGAAAAGAAAAAAATCAATTTTTTTAGTTGTTAAAAAATGATCATCAAATGATTTATAATAATAATAATAATGAAAACAACATTTCACAAAACAATAACGGCAAAAAAAAATTGGCCATCGATCGATCGTCATAATCACAAGATGATGATGATGATGATTTTAACGACAACATTAATCAATAATAATGAAAAAATATATGAAAAGGATAAAGACGAGAAAAAAAATCAATTCAGTGATTCGGGCAACAACAACACCAACACACATTAATGATGATCATGATTTCATCATTATTTCAAAAATTTTATAATGTTATTAATGATGATGATGATTACAAGATGTGCGTGTGTGTGTATGCGACAAAAAAACTATCCAGGTAATAAATTTATCCAAAATCAAAGTGGAAAAAAATGATTATAATAATTTTTTTTTCGATCAAAATCAATTGTCATGAATAATTGATGAATGGTGTAGATTTTTCAATTAAAATTTATAAACTTTATCGATATGAATTTTTGTTTTTTTTTTGAATTCTGCATGATTTTCAACTAAAAAAAAAAAAAGAGATGAAAGGTGAATGAATCACAAAACATGTGAGACGAGTGAGAGAAAAAAGGGCAATGTCACTTTTGGCTAGACGATTGGCTGACTGCCGGGTTAATATTTTTTTTTTCTTGTTTACAGATTATTCACTTGTCCGACAACTGTGTGGCCAAAATAATTATCATCACTTTATATTATATGTGTATGAGAATGAAATAATTTTTTTTTCATCATCAAGTGAATGAATATATAAGTTAATCAAAAGTTTATTCGATTTTGTTTTTTATCACCACCATGTTCAACAAACAACGTCACTATTAAGTTTCAAAGTAATATTTCAAAGGTATTTTATCAATGAATAACGTTTTTTTTCTTCCTTGAATATAAAAAAAACAGGCAATACACCATTCATAAAGTATAATTGAAAATGATATTCCATCACCGATATTTTCAAAAAAAAAAAAAAAAAAAAAAACACAGAGCTAAACATATGAACATGAGATGATGACGAACGAAATGCAGACTCGAAAACTAAACTCAGCAAGTCGAAGGAGAGAGAGAGAGAAAGGGAGCGAGAAGTAGAGAGCAGCCTATCGCTAGACGCCATTAAAACAATGTAAAGAATGTATTGATATGTGTGTGTTTGTTATGTGTGTGTGTTTATGTTCAAAGGAGCGACAAAATAAAATCAGCAAAGATAGAAATAAAGGTAGAGATGTATAACAAAATCCGTAACAACAATACGGATGGATAGATGAATGAATGTATAAATGAAACGGTCTTAAAAATAACCCTCAAATCTTTCTCTTTTCAAAAAAAAGATTACCTATAATGTTTTCACTGTTTTAATCACATTCATTTCGGTCATCATCTTCATCATGATCATCATCATCGACGTCATACATTCATACACACACACAGGAAATTCCAATCATAATTGTCGTTCTTTTCTTTCGTTCATTCAAATTTTTTTCAACATCCTGTTGAATAGTCAAATGGATGGCCACTAAAAAAAACATACAGATAATACAGACATTTGAAGACACTGATAGGGTATTGAATAAATCAGTGATCACGTAAGCTGATTATAGTTTGGGGGCATGAACGAAGTAAAAAAAAAAATTGAATCAAAATTTTTTTTTCATGTTCATTACATCATAAGTGCAAAGAAATCAAATGTTGAAAATAAAAAAAAAATCCATATGAAAAACAATTGATCGGTTTTATTTCTAATCAAAAGTAGCTACCGTTATGATCATTGGCCAGGATGATGATGGTCATCATCCTGCATACATTAATGGTGATGATTGAGAAAAAAAAACTGATACAAAGTTGATACGAAAGAATGAACAAAAAAAAATATCATTGCAAAAAGGCACTTGAATCATAATCATTAAATATATGAATGCCGTAATCACCATAGCCATCGGCCATCGTCATCATTTAGATCAATTTTTTTACGAATGAATTTATGATCTAAAATAAAATGAATGAATGAATGATCAGCATCATTGATAAAATAAACCAGGGATTATGATCAACACCACTATCGTACACAAGTTTTTTTCTTAAAAAAAACAGCTCCCATTTTGGATATTTTCAACATGTGTTTGAATTGTTCGAGAGAAAAATAAAAGGGTTAAAAGTCTCAATGATTTTTTTTTCTGGGAATTGCAATGCATGTAAATGTATGTGGAAAAAAAAAAAGATAAATTGTAGCAAAAAATAAGAATTTTGTCTCTCTAACTGTCTGGCTTCCAAAGAAATTTATAACTGTGATGAAAAAATGATGATCAAAAAAAAATGGCAATCATTCTACGGCTCAAACCTAATCATCAATCATCCACTGTTTCGTTATTTTTTTCCTCATTCACATTGTATCAAAACATGAACATAATTAACCATAAAAAAATGAAAATCCTGTCCGGAAACGAAGAAAAAACCCAAAAAAAAAAATTTTTTTCATCATCGTTACGAATTAATCAGAGAATAGAGACTAACAAACAGAGAAATAAAAATGATGATCTTCAACTCTTACTCATTGATTCATTCATTAAAAAAATTTTTTTTTTCTTCATTGAGTCAATGTCGCATAATTCAACATCATCATCATCATCATTTGCATTTATTATCAATCGAAAAATTAAAAAAAAATGATGATCTAACCGGACAATTATGAATGGAATTTTTGCATTAATGAAAAAAAAAGTTTGGCGCGTAAAATCCCGTGAAGAAAAAAAAAGATAAATTAAAGGTAAAATATTTGAGCAAAAAGAAAAAAAAACCCGACAACGATGACGACATTAGATTGGCATTGCAAAATGAAGGAGAGAGAGAGAAAGAAAAAAAACTAGATACAGACTATGGAAATTATTCAGTGGGGAAGAAATTGGATAAAAAAAAACCTAATGCAATCACATCAACAATCATCATGAAGAAATATATTTTTTTTTCTTCGAATTAGAAATTCAACCGAAACAGCAACAACAAAGATGACTAATAAGACAAAATCGAGGACGATGAACATTTTTTTTCGTTTCGTTTAGTTTCGTTTCGTTTCTCATTCATCTCATATTATTTTTTTTTCTTTTCACCCGACGGTCAAATGTCCGACAAAACAACATGCACAAATACCAGACCATAATCTTTCGTACTTTCAACAAAAAATAATAATATTAGCCATCACAGTTATAAAAATTCAGAGGTTTTCAGAACTCGATTGCTTAGTTTTTTTTTCGTTGAAGTGTGTGTGTGTAAGTGTGTGTGTGGGTGGGTGTATGTTTATGTTCGTGTGAGGGAAAGAAAAAGAGAGAGAGAGAGAGAGATGATATTCATTAGAAACGAACTTTTGACATCAATTTCTCAGGTGTTACCTGGTTTTCTACATTTTTTCTCTGATAAAAAAAATTTTTCTTCTTCTACTAAATAACCAAAATCATCATCATGATCTTGATATTGCATCTTCTTGTTATTTCGAGAGGAAAAAAAATTGACTTTTTTTTAGCAGCAAAATATTTGAAGAATTTTGTTTTTCTCTTTTTTTTTATTTTTATTTTCCTATTTATTTCAATCGTGAGAAACAACTATAACTAAAACAACAACAACAACAGCAGCAGCAACAACAACAACAACATAAAATAAATACACAAAGACATTAAATCGATCGATTCAAATTATTATTCAAACAAACAAATTAGCAAAAATCGTAAATATCGGCAAAATAATTTGTTTGTTTGAACAATGTCATCATATTTTCATTCAAATCCGATTAGATTAAATCAGATTATTATTAGATAAAAAACATTCAAAATTTGAGCAAAATAAATGATTAAAATTACCATACCTTTGTCTTCAAACACACACACACACACCAATTGAAATTTATGTCCAATTATTTTGTGAAATATCACACACACACACACACACACACTGTTTTTTGGACATACACCGAAACAGATCAATATAAAAAACAAACAATTTATAGAATCTGGATCTTCAAAATCTATCGTGAACAATAACCGATAGACGGCAGTGTAGATTGGTGAAAAAAAATTTTCGAATCAATAAAAAAAAATTCTTTCTATTATTGAATGGCGCGAAAAGTTTGAAAATTTAAATAAAAAAAGCTCACACGTTTATGTTTCGAATGTAAAAACTTGATTAAACTTGTAGACGAGTAAATGGTTCGGATCGGTTTTTTTTTAATTTTCGATGAATTTTATTTCATTTTTTTTATTGCAAAACAATATCAATTTTTGGCAGTGATCAGTATCTTCATGAGATTCAATAATCAGAAAAAAAAATTTCAAGATTCATTCATATCTCTTGTAAATTTAGAGATGTAATAAAGATGAGATGTGTAAATTCTTCGAAAAAAATGCAAAAAAACGTGAAATGTAACAAATATTATCAGAATTTTTATTTTCTTGCTGATTAATTGCTGAATTTATATTCGTTTCAATCAATAATATCAAGAATTATTTTCTCAGCCCAGTCTGGATCGCATTGAATTTGTATATTGTTTAAAATCAATATCGATGATCAAGAATTTTGAATAAAGAGAAAAAAGAACACAGTTTTCTTTACCAGAATCCAAACACACACACACAAATCAAATAACAAAAAAAAATTGTCAAATAGAATTGGAAATGAAATTTTTCATATTTGTTGTTGAATCATTGATTCAGATGGATGGAAAAATATTACAGAACAAAATAAAGATAAACATTGATTAATTTTTTAGTTGTAAATGATGATGAACAAAAAAAAATTAATTTTGATGAAAGGCATTAAATAATTTCATTCATTCAAATATTTTTCAATCAGAAATTCATCATGGTTTATGTATGTGTGTGTGTTTGTATGTATTCATCATGATTTCTTTATTCGATGTTCGAGGTTTGAATTCTCGTGGTCATATAAATATTTTGGCGTCTGTTGTTGTACAGCCATTCACGAATTCAAACACAAACACACACAGACACACACGTTTACATGGAACATGCACAAGATATGTTCCAAAATACTTGCATTAACTATATATACTGTGTGTGTATATATAGGATCAAATGTTGATCACAATTCCATTCACATTTGTTTTGGTATGTGTTTATATATATAAATATAAAATGTTTGAATGTAATCGTCATCATCATCATCATCATCGTTATTATTATTATTATTATTATTAAACTCGTAGATTCCTCATCCGTATACTCTCATCATCATGATCATCACTAAACTGGAAGTTTAAAACTGGTTAAAAATGATAACGGTCATAACTAATGGTGGTGGTAGCATTGAAAATTAAAGAAAATAAAAATGATGGACACACAATCCTAGCACATCACATACATACACACACACACACAAGAGAGATGTTTGAATGTGTAACCATCATCATCATTGAATATATTTTCAGAATGAAAAAAATCATTCGGTTATTTCATTGAAAAAATAACCGTGTGTATGTCTCTCTCTCTCTCGCTCTCTTTCATATCTTTAGACACACATAGAGGAAAGGTTGGTTAAGATTTTTCTGAACGAATGCACAAAGAGAAAAAAAAATTACAACGATGATGATATATTCCTGTCAAACGTGTGTGCGCACAAACACACAAACACTTGTGATTCAAATAAACGTATAGATAGCAAGGATTTTTTTTTTCGTTCATTCATAAAATCTTTTCATGCTTTCATTGCTTTTTTTCTTGTAAAGAATTCCACTATTTCTGCTAGCAGCAGCATTCATATATCTGCTATATATATGAATGTGTGCTGTTTTTTTTGATCCAAAATAAAACAAAAAAAAATTCAAATAAATTTAATGGCGCCATATGTAATGTTATTTTTTGTCCATAACATTGGCCCACAGCCTATTCTGTAACATACATGCACCTACCATAAAATCGAATGATAGAGAAAAAAACTGTGTCGATGGTGTTATTATTCTAGAATTCTAGATTCTATAAATTGTATTGCATTTACACAATGAACCTAATTTATTTGTTGTCGTGTGAGAATGATCATCATCATCATCATCATCAACCATACACAATATTTTCAATGATCATCATCAATAACGAAAAGAAAAAAAAAACGAAATGAGTACCATATACTGATTGACGTCATTCGAAATAAACTAGAGCTAAAATGAAAGAAAAAAAAATGAACTAAAAGAGAACCAAAGAAACCTATTGACGTCATTCGGTGTCATTCATGACCATCGCATTCCCCATCAATCCATATAGAATGAATAGCTTTCACACTGTTGGCCATTATCATTATCACCAATTACATTTTGCCCCTTTACTTACTAAATAACAAAAAAAAATCAAAAAAAAACCAAAATAAACACAAAAAAGTTTCTGTATGTATGTATTCAATGATCGATAAGTTCAAATTGATTTAATGATTGAATGATGACAAAAAATAAATTGATTATCTATTTTTATCCGACCAAAAAGGTAGGAATTTCGTTATTATAATTCCAATAGAATTTTTAAATTTTCTTTAATTTTGAATAATAAATTGAATTATTGTAACATTCATTTGATCGATCAAATTGATGATTGGCATAAAAACATGTTATTTGTTTTAAAAAATTTAATTTTTTTCTACTGTTGTTGTTGTTGTTCAAATCAGTCAATTGGTTGTGGTAGAAACCAAAGAAAGAATAAAACAAAATTCTTTGTCGATCAATGGTGAAACATGCATACAAACACAAGACAGGCAGATTGAATAATAAAGAATGAAAAAAAGAAAGAGAGGTCAATCGTAATTTGCGTCATCAAAGACGTCATCAGATGTACAGACAATTCCAATACACAGATCAGAATCCAAGAATGAAAAGATTCAAAAAAGAATTTATGCATGTGAGTGTGTGAGAATGTATGGCATAAAGACAACATGATTCCAAGGATATTTGTTCACTTGAATTCAAATGAATGAAAAAAAACAAATTCAATGCGTGTGTGTGTATGTGATAGATAGAAAATATGAATGAAAAAAAGTAGGTCACAAGTTCGAAACAGTTCTGGGCTTTCGGGGTAGTTTATTCACACACACACACAATGTGGCCACCCATTACTCTATTCACTATCACTTCAAAATTCATATACAAGACAAGAATTTCAAAATAGTAAAGAGACCCAAAAATATATACAACAGCAACAAAAACAAAAACAAAAAAAAACAACGAAAAAAAAATCTACTATATTGCACACGGTGTAAAACAGTTTTTTTCTTGTGGTTATATATATATATTGGCCTTAAAATAGTACTTCAGTCTAGGTCATTCCAACGTATCAACAACGAAAAAAAAAACAGCAAACACATATATAGTGAGAGTGAGAAAGAATGAAAAGAAAAGCAAATTAAGCAAAGCACAAAGGACGAAGGCAAAAAAAAAGAAAAGAATCAAGCAATTAAATTCTGAATGAATGAAACGACAACAACAACAACAACAACAAAAAAAACAACATCAAACTAAACTGAATTGATAGGATGCTGTTGTTGTTGTTGTTGCAACGATGATGATGACGACGACGATGAACCAAAACCAAAAAAAAAAAAATCCAAAAAAAGTATAACTATAGTTGGAAATGCGTGTGTGTGTGTGTGTTTCTATAAATAGAATCAGTTTTTTTTTCTTCGATTCATGTTTTTCACATATATTCTATTAGTTCAACAGAATATTTTGAACCATAGAAAATGGCTATATATTCTTTACACACACACACACACATGGATTCTTATTCGACGCATGTCTTTATAAATAGCACACCTGATTTCTCTCTCGTCATATCATATCATAGGAATCTAAACAAAGCACAACAGAAGACAAAGAAAAAATTCGGCGCCAATTGATAATAGTTTGGACAGTTTTTTTTCCCCCAAATAAAATTCTTCATTTATATTTTTACTCAAAATTATCGATCCAAAATATCATTATATGATGATAATGATTATTATTAAATTGATGGATAAATAAATGATCAAAAAAAAAATGAAAAAAAAAATTTAGGCCACACAATTTCAGAAATAGAATCTTAGTGTTCCAAAAAATCAGCATCAGCATCATCATCAACAGCGACGTCATGATGATGATGTTCTATTTTTAGAACAAACCAAATTCTGTAGATTGTTTTTTTTTCATTTGGTTGAGATCGACATTGTCAGCATCATCATCACCATCATCATCATGATGATGGTCGAATAAAAATCATGGTCATTCAATAGTATATATTGTTATTATAAGATAAACGAAGAGAGAGAGAGAGAGAGAAAAAAACAATACAAAAATAAAAAACGGAAATATCTTACCTTTTTTTTCTGAGTGCAAATTCTTTAAAAATGGTAATAATAATACAATTCAATTATGTTATTTTTGTTGTTGTTATTGTTGTTGATGTTGATGATGAGTCAAATGAAAGACAATATATCATCTTAGTAACAAATTTTTTTTTCTTTTCGTAGCAATAATCGATGATGATGATGATGATGATTATGTGATATAGATAGTGGTGATGATGATGATTATTCGATTGACAATGTCACAAATGCATTCATATACAATTTATGATAACAAAATATTATATAAAGATATGAAAAAGTGATGAAAAAAAAAACATATCAAATGCTGAGGATTTGTCCTTGTATCGGTATTTTTTCTTCAAGCTTCTTTTAGCTTGATTGATTATCGATCAATGATCATCGACGACGATGAAGAAGTAGAAGAAAAAAATCCACTGTAGTTTTTTTTTCAATTCAAATATTATGGTTGCAATTTGATGATGATGATGACATATATTCGATTCAAATTTCTAATTTCAATTTTTTTTTTCGTTTCTCATCAATTGATTATTTTGACGATTAATGTACAGACATTGATCACACTATAGGTGTAATGATGATGATGATTCGATAGTTGATGATTTTATATAACACGTATATATATATATCGTCTGTATATTAGTGGTTGAATCAGATTTATTGGATTTATTATTTCACATGGAATTCGATTGAGTCCATAAGATATATATAGCAGCACATAGAATAAAAAGGGAACAAAATATGAATGTAAAAGAAAAAAAATAAATCAAGATACATACCTGCTGCTGCTGCTGCTGCTGTCCAGTTCACAGATACACACACACACACAGTAAAAATTGAGTATATGCGATATTTTTCACATTCTTGGCTCCATTGATTCAATACACTATAAAATGTGTGATAAAATTAAATGATGAAATTAGTTGAATGTTTTTATTTTTGCTTCACAGAAAAAAAACTGGAATATATGATCATGATCGACATGGATTTTGAAATGGTAAAACAAAACAAAAAAATTCAATTATCCAAAGCTAAAATTTCCGATACTAACACATGTGTTTTTTTTCATATTCAAACATCCGATATCTTTAGTGTAATAATAATTTATTATTATATATATAGATTCATTCACAAACAAATTTTACAAATAAAAAAAAACAATTTCAAATAAATGTTTGTCTGGCATGCATGCATAGATCTATATCCTTATCCTGTTTTTATGTGAATGCACATTTTATAATAAACTTTGGCAGCAGCTACAACAACAACAACAACAACAAAACAGTAGGAAATGATTTGATTGAGACACGCCAAACTACACTAAAGAACAAAAAAAAAAATCATCAATTATTTTCATTGAAATTGTATTTTGAAAAATGAAACATTGTTTCATTCAGTTTTTCAATGTATAAAAATTGAATAAGGTAAAACAAACGTATAACTCAACACTGATATTATCATAAATTGACCACTTTGGATATATAGAGCGGTGGATTTTTTTGCACACATTTTTCGTCCACACATTCATCTATGAAACATATAAATCTGTCTTTTTTTTGCATTTATATACCTTGTGACCAATGATCGATGACGGTGATGATTAGTCATTCGGATTTCATTCAAAATCGATGATGATGATGATGATCAAATTGATAATTTGATTTGAATGAAAATTAAATTCACTTATAAATGCCGGTTAATATATTGCTATAAATATGAAATTTAGAAAAAAGAGAAGAATAGAGAAATATATATAGAGATTAATTTTCATTGTAAATTGTAAATGATTTCCGAAACGGAAAAAAAAGGTCGAAATCAAATTCGAATTCGAACTTGAATTGTCTTTGTGTAAAAGTGTGTGTGTTATAAAAACGGTTGTACGGGATAGATGTAATATATTTATATATAAACTAAGCTCAGATCAGAATTGGTGGCATGTAATGTATTTTGTTGTCATCATTACCATCATCATCATCATTGTCATAATCAATCGTTGATGTTGATGTTGTTGTCGTGGATATTATCGTCGTAGTTGTCGTCGTCGTCGTCGTCGTCGTCTTACACAGAGAGTATCGGGATGAAAAAAAATGATAATTTTTTTTTTTTCGCTTCCTTTTCGATGAGCAGCACAATGTTATTGTGTGTGTGTGTGTGTGTGTGTGTGTGTGTATACGTGGCGTTGTTTGAATTATTTTTTTTCATCATCAAAAAAAATTTCATTCAAAAAAAAGAGTGAATTAGAGTGAACGAACAGGAAAAAAAATTCGCAATAAAAACTAATCAAACGAAGAAACATCGAGCAATTCATAGAAACCTAATGATGAGCAACAAATAATAATTCTGAATTGGTTTGATTCTAAAAACAAAAATATCATCATCAACAACTGCAGGCAACAACAAACAAAAAAAAGTTGTCCATAATAAACACACACACACACGCATACAGCTCTTTAAAAAAAAATGCTAAAGATATTTTTTGACGATCCTGTTGTTGTTGTTGTTGTTGTTACCACCATCGACATCTTCGTAGTTGAACCACTACCATCATCATCAATGGTTGTTCATCAACTTTTTTTTTCTTTCTCTCTCTCTCTCTCTTTCTATTCCCTATATAAATTTCAATTGTTTTCTCTCAGTTTTCGACAATCATCAACATCATCATCATCATTCATTATCATCATCAACAACAACAACAACAACAACAAAAACAACATCGCGTCCTCGATAAAATGAATGGCGGTATCAAAAAAACTCAGTAGATTTTTACAGCAATGATAACAGACGCAACAAGCGATATATCGCTTTTTTTTCCTTTGGTTGTATAGCAACTGAAATCATCATCATTATTACAACTATAGTGCGTCCGCTAGTTTGATTTTTCATTTTTTTTTGTGTGCGAAAATATTATGAAAAATGAAAAAAAAATCTTTTCATTTTCTAGTATTTGTTGTTATTGCAATATTATTAGAAAGATTATATTAAAATTCTTGTTATTTAGGAATTATGATTTCAGCATTTCACTTACAAACTTCAGATATTTGTGTGTTTTCACTTTTTTTTAAATTTGGTTGTGAAGGATAACAACAACATCAACATCAACGAAATCAAATTATTGCTCACCTTTTTAGCACTGTAAATGAAACCTTCTAATATATTGTTAGGCATCAATCATTGAATTGAATTGAGTTATCTTATCTTTGTTTTGTTTTCCATTTTCTTTATTATGGCTGTCATAGTCAAAATATTTTTTGATCAATATAGTTGCTTTGATTATTATTATTATTATTATGTGTATGTTAAGGTTGTAAAGAATTTTGATTTATACACACAAACACATTGTAATTGAGGTATATTGAGATAAGAGAAATTATTTCACATAGAATTTTAAAGTCTCAAAATTCTTTTCTTCACACACGTTACCAATTAAGAATCATATTTTTTTTCATTTGGACCGATTTTTATATACTCTGAGTTCAAAACAAAAGTGTGTGTATGTTTGGTGTTTTCAATTTCATCATTACATGTCAAGATTTTTGTTTTTGTTTTTGTTTTTGTTTTGTTTCATTCCCCTTTTTCTTTATTCTATAGATTTAACGCCCAATCTTGGATTTGATTTCTGTCTCCGTCTCTCTCTCTCTCTTACTTTCTTTTAACAATATCATTATTTAATGACAAGTTTATTTTTCTTCATCAAATCTTTTTATTTTTGTCTTTTTATATTTGATTAAATCACATTGTAAAATATCAACATTTTGAAATATCACCAAATTCTACATGATGAATGTTGAATGTCAAGTTTATTCAAACAAACAGTTTATTTTGATTTTGTTTTTCTTTGTTTTTTTTTGTCCATTAACATTAGCTATTATTATTAACAATACAGACGTATCACAATACAATAACGTAGTAAATCACGAAATGATATTTTCAATGAACATCATCATCATCATCATTATTATGGACACAATATGATGGTGATGATGATGACGATGATTATTCTTGTTGCATTTTTTTTTTTTTTTTTTGGATTTGTTTTCTTTATTAACCACGAAACAAAACAGAAAAAAAAATTCAAGGCATATCGAAAAAAAAAATTCCGTGGATAGTTGCTGTTTTCATGAATGATATACTTTTTTTTCTTGTTCTTTACGTAAGAAAATGGTTTAACCTGCAAAAATTTTTCTGCCCCACACTCACGTATTCACATACACATTCAGATTTGTATTCTACATTCTGTGAATGAATCAGAATTAAAATGAAGAATGAACGAATATCTTTTACATATGGATATACAGAATATTCTATTCTTTATCAAGCGCGCGAAAACAATGAAAAAAAAAAAATTCTGAATATGACATGAGCCACCACCATCGACCAATCAACCAACTAACTAACCAACCGCCAACAAAAAAGGCAAGAAGAAAAAAATCTTGTATAATGCCAATCGCCATCATAAACCAACAAAAAAAAAAAAAAAAAAAAAAATAAATAAAAATAAACGTAACACTATATCATTCATTTAATTCATGTATATATATACATGGAGTATTTATCCATCTTTTCTATCTATATATAAATTCGCGGTCAAGATAACGTCATGATGTGACGTAAATATGGCACACAAATCTAAATACAAGAACCGACAACAACAACAACATCACCATCATATAGAACAAATGGAGAGAATATACAATATACAACACACCAGAAAAAAAATCATAATCAAAAGATACAAGAAATTTTTTTTTTATTGAGAAAAATCTAACGCACACAATGTAAAAAAAAAAAAAAGAAAATTCTCTATATGTCGGTTGTTTCATTATATGAATTGAATACATGATACACCTTGTTTGTCTGTGTGTGGTTTGTGTGTGTGTGTGTGTGTTGGAAATTCGTGGATCCATCTGGCGAGTATTGAATTGAAATTTTTTGAATCCAAAATAAATAAATCGATTCTACTATTTGTGAAAATTTTTTTTTACAATTTTTGACAAATATACTGTGGATAGATTGAATAAAAACAAATATATAGACAGTGCAGTTAACATATATATATAAATTATATCACCAATCATAATTCTCGAATGTTCAATGTTTTTAATTTTTTATTTTCTATTTTCAACCATTAATGTGAAATTTAAATTGAAGAATTTAAATTGAATTTTTATTTTTAGATTTTTCATATTTTTCTATCATTATATTGCAACATTTGTGACAAAACAAATGAAACGAAAAACACAGAAAAGCTTATTTTTTTCCAAATTCTATTTTACACAAACAAACAAAATATATATTAAAAAAAAACATCTCGAACATTCTAAATAACTTGAGACAGAAGGGGAAAAAAAAATTGAGCCATCATTTTATGTTTGTACGTGTGTAAGTGTGTGTGTGTGTGTGTGTGTGTGTGTGTTTTAAAAAGTACAAAAAATTGATAAATTTTTGGTCAACACAAAACCAAATTGAACAAAAGAAAAAGAGCGAGAATGAGAGAATATAAAAATGAAGAATAAAAGAAATAGAAATTAAAATTAAATTCATGTTTGTGTCGAGTGTTGAATGATGATCCAATAGAATGATGTGGATGATGATGATGATGATGACAATTTGTTTAATATTTACAAAACTCATGATAATTTTTGTGCTCGGTGTGTGTGTGTGTGTGTGCGAGTGGAAGTTGTACTTATTTACAGATACACACACGCACATTTTTATTTTATTTACAAAGAGATTCATGTTTGTACAATATTTTTTTTCTGTTTCTTTTTCACTTATATATTGTTATTATTATCCTTATTCTATTGATATATTATATATGTTGACATCTTTACGAAGGCAGGATGACAACAAAAAAAACAAATTTAAAAAAAAGAATGAAAAGAAAACCGGATCGCCGACTCGGAATAATTTTTTTTTTTTCTTTGTGATGATTAATTGATTTGCGAGAATAATTTGAATTCGAGATATATTTGCTCTGTGATCGTTAGATGGCGTTAGTTGACAGTTTTGTTTTGATTTTTTTGAAATAAAATTTTTTTGTTGTTGTTGTTGTTGTTTTGTTGTTTTTTTTTCATAAATTTGACGTTGTGAATGCACATCTCATAACATTTTCATTCTTTCTTTTCCTATTAGTTTGACGAAAAAAAATTATTATTATCATTCGTAAAGAGAATGTAAATAAGACATACCTTCGTGAATTTTTTGTTCTAAACGTACATTCAAGACCTTCATCACATGGACAAAGTTCATTGAGGCTATAATCAAGACCACCAAGAGGAACGAAACATTGTTGACCATGTTTTAATTTTGGTTTACAGATATATTCACCATTTTGACGAGCACAACAAAGACCAGCATTACAATCATCAGAATCCTTGCAACGAGCACCAGGATGTCCAGTTTCGAATGGTTTTTCACATTGGCCAAACATACAGATCAATCCATTGTCACATTGGCTATCATAACGACATAGTTCACCAATTTGTCTAAAATAATCACAATAACTATAATGTTGATCACAATACATCATTGGACCATTTTCTGGTCCATTATCATCAATACAATCAGAATCTTGTCGGCATTTTATTCTATTATTATTCGAAAATTTTTGTTGTTGCTGATTATGATGTTGAAAAGAAATGGAATTTTTCTTTCCTTTGTTGCTGAAATTATTATCATCATCATCATCATCGATTGTCTCATAACGATGATTTCTACTTTGATCTGGCACTGGCGATGATAATAAATGATGATGTAAAGAATTTTTTAATCCAAGATCATCCGGTATCGGATTATGAAGAACTAAACCATAAATATAGACACAGTAACATTGTCTATTCATATTAATAATGGTGATGATTAATAATAATGAAATTGCGGAGGTTATTGATTGATGTTTATCCATATTGATTATCAATTGATATTTTATTTTCAAATTATGATGATATTGTTAAACACATTGAATTTGCAAACATATGAAACAAACAAACAAAAAAAATATTCCAACATTTGTCAGACGATTGTCAAGAACTAAAATGAATTTTAACTCGATATTTGCAATGAATTTTATGCAATATAACCAATACATTGTTCTGTTGTTGTTGAAGAAAAAAAAAATTCTACAAAACATACATACTAGAGATTATCTATAAACTAGTTAACAAAATAAATCTTGAGAAAAACATTGCACTTGTATATGGTATATGTATCCACCCTATATAATAATACATAATGACAATGATGATCATCTGTTAGCCAATCATCACATATATTCACGAGGAAGCCATGCATCAATCTCACTGACCATTGTGGTAATTGTTTTTTTTCCATTATTACATTGTGTATTGAATATATATAATGGTTTTAGTTTTTTGTATGTAACAATAACAATATTCAATAAAAAAAATTATCTATTTTGGTCAAGTTAATTTGTCATATTTAAGTCAATTTTGTTACTGGTAAAATAATGGTATTCGAGTAGAAAATCCATAAAAACACCATGTCAAGAACAGAACAAAACAAAAAAAAAAATAGATAAATAAAATATATGAAATACATTTAAACAACTGAGGACAATGTTTCATTAGCATATATTATCTATTAGCTAATGACCACAGGTGTACAAAAATCATAGATTTTTTTTCTACTTCTTCAAATTTTCATTTTCATTTTCAATATATAGGACTTACAGGTTTAGAAATTAGAAAACACACATACAGGACCATAAAGTTGTTGTGATTTGGTACTTCTATAGAGAGCTCCTTGGGGATAATAACAACAAGTGTAATATTGTGAATAATAATAATAGATAGATGTTGCAATTCGTTAATCTTTGGCCAACAAATAATGAAAATCAGATATTCTCAACGTAAGTTAGACTATTTTTTAAACATAATGAAATTGCTAGCCCAAAATACTTCTAAGGGGTGGCATTACCCACCCAAAAAAGTCGATATGTTGGCAAGTGTCTAGTCATTCATTGCTTAACTGCTTAAATTATTTTATACATTTTTCCAAACATATAATGAATGATAAGAAAGATAGAAAATCCAGATTTTGACAACGTGAACATGCAAACACACATTATCTCATCGAAACTCTAAATTGAGAAATCAGAAAAATTTTATTTTTTTTTTTGCATACATTCATATGTGAAGATAACTACAAACACCCGCAGACATTATTGATCAATAGTCATTCAAAGATCTAAAATGATCTAAAATAAATAGATTTCAAAGATTAAAATCAAACCAAATCACAAACACACGCAGATTCCTATTATTATTACTTAGTGTATTTTATTTCCAACCATTTTCAATTCTTGGAATAATAATGAAAAATAAAAATAAATTTTTTTTTTATAGCTACAAGAAAAATCATTAAATTGATCAATCGCTGAAAAAAAAGTGAAAGTTAGATCTACACCATGTTGATGATGGGTATGTGTCTGCTTTACCTTGACCTAATTGCTGAAATCCATATCAATGGGTACCTGTTTTCGATTTCATACCTATGGTCGTGTACAAACATAAACAGGTCCTCATCACAAAACCTTGTTTTTCTTGATTATCAAGGCCAACAACTTTGATTCATTTTCTTTTTTTTTTTTATTGAATTTTATTCGTTTATCTTGGTTTTGTAATCAAGGTCAATTTATTTAGCAAATTTTGCAATTTACGATTGTGAAAGTATTAAATGAAATAATATATCAAATTGAAATTTTTTTAAATTCGGTTCGAATCATATGATCATGTGTTTGAAATTGAGGTAGCGACCGAAAAAAAGTTGACAATCAATTTGCATTTAATCAAAATTTTCTTCATTAGTTTCTTCCATTCGTTGTTGTTGTGTATGTTCAACAATTATAGGAACTGTATATCGTTCATGTGCTATTTGAATGTTGGAATCTGGTTCATGAATTTGAACAATCGGAACCTCTTGTTGTTGAACTGGAAATCGTTGCTCTTCAGGTAGCTGAACAACGGGCTTTGAAAAAATTGGTTTAATTATTGATGGTAAATCGGGCAATTTTGGCAATATTGGAGGAATCGGCAAAATCCAATCACGGTTAACATGATCACCACTCAATTGTTTGTTTGTTTGTTGTCCTTTCGGTACAAGAACGTTAATTTTTTCAATAACCGGTCTGATTTCTTGAGTAACCTGTCGATATGGCTGAATAGTTTCTCGTAATTCTTGGACAACTGGTTTGAAAACTTCATGTCGAATAACATGTGGTGGTTCTTCCGATCGGGTAGTTTCATAAAATGAACGTTCACCCGGACTGTGTTGTTGATGGATCGATACAGGGCTGCTTACAGATTTGAATACTAAATGTACGGCCTGGGAACTTGGTTCGACTGCAATCACTTGTGATTGTTGTATTGGAGCTTCAACCGTAACTGGAATAAATTGTATATCATGAGATGAGATCACAGGAACATTTAATGGTTCACTGAATGATCGAATTGGTTGGAATGGTTGACGGATAACTGTCTGGATAGGATTCTGTACCTGTTGAATTGGTTGAACAGGAACAATGTTTCGAAGTCTAGTATTTTTCACCGGAGATTTAACTACAATTCGGTCTGGAGTGACTTTTGTTCGAAAAAGCATTGCCGAAGAAGTGACAACAAAAATTGCCAAAACAAATGCTAAAGTCTTTCAACAACAACAACAACAACAAAAAAATTAAATGAATCAAAAATTTCCATGTATCAATTTATTACAAATATCTTACCAATTTCATTTTTCTTCAATTTAGATATTCAATTGACGGTACAAATTTATAAATGAATATGAGCGAATCTCATCTTTGGACTTTTATACTAACAAAATTTTCTACCTATCGACGCCAAATATTCTCGACTTTTACTTTTGTTGATGATCGAAAACAACATGAGAGATGTGGTTGAACATCATCACATTGAATCATTTCAACTAGAATTTTTATTTGATTGCAATATTCGTTTGATCATCATCATCAGTTTTGTTGAAATTAAGAAGATTTAAATCCGATAAGCAGACCAAACAATTTTTTTAATCATTCCAAGGACGTTTTTTTTCATCCTAATGGGTCGTGGCCAACTCTAAATGTTCAACTTTTGTAGAGTTTTGTTTGACTTTTCAACAGCAGCATTTTTTTTTTTTTTTTCACTTTTAACATGCTCTATTATTGAATGACTGGATGATGTTTTTCTTACATTCATTCACTCATTGAAATCAAATCATCAAATCAAAAAATAATAAATCGGAAATTTTTTTTATCGAATGAAAATAGGCGATGTCTAGTTCCTATCTTTATAACTTTGAATTTTTATTAGGTTTCTAAATTTTATCTATTATCGAACAACATCTTTGGGTCATAGGTCAACCAAAGATGTTTTTTTCATTCATCTTGCTTCGAGTATAAATTGTTAGTAGACCAGATTTTTAGCCATCATTTGTCGTTCGACTACTTTAGTGGATTGATGGTGAAAAAATCGTTGAAAATCTCATACGGACCACCTACAACAGTCTAAAAAAAATGATAGAGACCTTGATCATCGGTTTGTGTATTTTTATGACCACATCGTATGCTATGACTGATATCAAGATAGTTTCCTCCAATGGATATCAGTCAAAAACACCAATCCAGACATATGTTTCCAGTCACCGAAATAAACCACCATTTACAAGGAATAAAATTCAGCAATCATCTACAGTTCAACCAACGCCGATTCCAATCAATAATCGTAATCGATTTTCAAACGATGGTGAATTGATTCAATCATCATCATATGTTGCTCCATCACTTGCCGCTGCTATTCAAAGTAAACGATATCTAGAATTAGTTTCTTATTCAAATCAAATGGAAGCTCCAATTCAACCACAAATAATTGAAGTAGATGCAATCACTGCACCGGTACAATTTGTTTTTCGTTCAGCTTCTGGACCGTTGCTATTTCAACAAGTTCATGTTCCATCTTTACGTAATGAACCACAGCATACAAAATCAGAAGAGCCAGCACAATTATTAACGCATGAAGTTTATAAACCAATAATCCAGGAGCTTAGAGAAATCATACAACCATATCGTCATGTTTCACAAGAAATTAAACCTGTAATCGAAGAGGTAAGAACAGTTGTAGCACATTCCGATAAACAATCAATAATGACACCGGAAGAAGTGGAAATGAAACAACAAGAACAACCACAACCTTCGTTAAATTCGAATGTCGAATCTAATCAACAACCAAATTTACAGACAATAGCCATTTCTAATCGTCCACATATTGGAATCAAAACTATTCAACAAGTTGCCGATACTAAACAAGGAACAATGAATTTTACCTGATTAGACCTATTTATTTATAATATATAAAATTATTCATTTTTTCATCCCATATAACACTATATATATCCATTCATATGTCCACAAATGCCCAATATGTCTTTTTTTTACTATTTTTTCATTTTTTGGCCAAATATTTGCAATATAATCAATCAAAATCTAATTTTTTTTTTGAAATTTATTGTATTTCTATCTATAATAATAATCAAATGTCCAAAAATCAAAATTCCTGAAATGTTTTATTAATTAATCAATATTAATAATAATATAATGATAATAAGGTCCAATCGTCAAATGTCAAATACAGTAGATTGAAATATAAATGAAAAAAAAATGATGATATAATTATTCAGCCAAAATCACAGTTAATGACGATGATAATGATTAGATGATTAGATGATGTTTGTATTGAAAAGTAGATAAAAAAATAGATCTAAAATATGAAATCTAATCACAAAAAAAACATATATTCAAATTCATTTCATTATCCGTATTATATAAATATACATACTTTGAAATTTATATATAAATTATGTAATTGCATATATATTTGATAATGATAATTCACAGTAAATTTTTATTGAACTGATTGTGTTCAAAATAATTATAATAATAATAATAATAATGTGTTTCAAAATATGAAAACGACAAATGATCGGTTATTCATTGTTGTTGTTGTGTTTAACTTGTTTTTTTATTTTTAGCTCGTATACCACGAAATAAACCGATATGTCGTTTTTTATCGTCTAATTTTTTTCTATCAAATTTTTTTCGATGATCGATTTCATTATTAGCTCCATTTCCATTGCCATTAATGTTGATGAGATCGTGGCCATTATAGTTTGAAGATTCGGTATTGATATTGATATTTGAATCATTCGAATCGGAAGAGAATGTTTCATCATTTGATTCATGGTTGTTGAATAATAAATCTTTTGTTCGCATCGTTATCGAATCAATTGAGTTGTTAGTTTCATCGTGGCTAGTCGGGAAATAAGCACTTGTGATAGAACTAGTATCGAATGACATGATCGAATTAGATATATTTGGTTGTGAACAAACATTTGAATGTTGATCATTGATAATTGATTGATTCTCTTCAAAATGTCTTTGAACGCCGTCACTGCTACTTCGTATATTGGACAATTGATGTGCTTTTGTTTGTAATGATAATTTTCTGAATGAATGATGATGTAGAGAAGTTTTTCTAGTTGAACACCAAGAACACCATGTTGAGACAGAAAACTTACTTTCGATTAATTGGAAGACTTGATCGACCACCACCAGCCCCATTCGTGATTTGTTGTGAATCCTCACCAATGTAAAAGATATTATCGGTGCTATTTTCGTCACTTATTGAGCTTTTTTGTGGATGTTGGTATATCGATTGAATTGATGACTACAAAAAAATGTTGTTGTCAATTAAATTATGTATTTAATAATTTTTTTTCCACTAAACTAACCATTTTAATAGGAAGAGGATTAGTAGAAATCTGATGATTCTGCCACCTTTCTATAGCTTGAACAGCCTGTATGGTTGAATGCCAAGGACTATATGGTTTTGATTGAGCTTGAAAACATAAAATTGAATTCTTTAGAACAATATGAAGATTTATCAAAGGAATACATACCGGAAACTATGGAAATGGCGTCTTCTTCAGCTATGGTAGCTTCACTACCTCGACGTAACAATTTTGACATTGAAGTTGTTGATGCTGATGTTTTCATTTGACTTGATGCATTACTTATTCCGGTTGTTCCATATAGGTATTGTTCTAAATGACTTAATCCTGGATTGTGTATAATTTCAAAACCGCAAAACAATTCAATCTGTTTCCATCGTTTGATACGTTCATGCATTTCTTGTGTTAATTCAGCAAGTAATGTTCGTGCCTGAATTATTGTATTATCAACATAATCAATAGCCGAACCATGTGCCATACGAAATGCTCCGAATATGGATGAACGTTTTCGTTTTAATTTATCACACTGAAAAAGGGATAAAATAGAAATTAATGATAGTATTATCAAGATATATTTGAATCAAATACATACACCTTCACGTGCCGCTTGCAATTGATGTTCAGCATTAGCTTTTTTCATATTATAATAACGGTTCTCAATTTCATATGTAAATTGCAGATAAAGTTGTAAAGCTCGCGGCGGTATCCATTGTCGACTTTCATATGCTTGTTGTACACGTTGTAATTCACATTTAGTTTCCTGCAATTCTTCCTCCATTTCTCTAATACGATCATCAGTATCGGATGCCAATGTTCCAATATCAAAATATTCTCCCTTATTTGCTTTGATCAATTCATTAGCTCTAAGTTTACGTTCCATTTCCTCTTTTTCCTTGGATGTTTCTTGCTGTTCTTGTTTTAATTTATCCAATTCACTTTGCATTGATTCAATTTGTTTTTCATAAATAGATAAGGTTTCAATATCTTTTGTCATTTTTCGAATATGTTCTTTGGAATATTCATGTTGTCGATAGGCGTAATAACCAACAACTGTGGCAAAAATGCAAAGAAAACCCATTATAAAATCCTTATTGGAGCTTTTTGACTTTGGTTCACCAAACAATACAACATCCATCGCTTTCAATGCAATCTTTTGTTTGTGTATGGGGTTATTAATGCCCAATATGGAAAACATTTGTGGATTGGCAGCTAAACGTGGAAGCGCTATACCATTGATTGCATTCGTTTCGAATATTCTTTGATATTTAGGTAGTTCAACAATTTCAGTTAACCATTCTACAGTCTGATCGATTGTCCAATTATGTACAGTCGATATACGCCATGCACGCCATAATTCATCAACAGTAATATGTTTATCATTTCCATGGAATGCTTTTTGTCGTTCGGCACCATTTTCATATTTTAATTCATCACGAATAAATTCATCAGATTCTGCTATATCAATATCACCATTTGCATCTTCATCCAATTGATGATGAAGATAAAGGATGGCTTCGAAACCAGGACGATCATCACAGAAATTCAATTGTTCACAATCGAAATCTATAATATTGAAAAGCAACAGGTTAAATGAAAATAATTCTATTTGAAAACATTTGACTGTACCATTGATTGTTTGCGCAGGTTGTATTGGCTGAATTTCATTTGTCGATTTTGCAACCTGTAGCTGACATTGTATATAATTATTATTATCACTATTATCAGGCACTGAACTCTTGATTGGCACAGGATTTTGTTGAATATTTGTAGTCGATTCTTTATTCTTATGTGGATGATGATATTTTTTATTCTGCACATGAGATGTTGAGACACATGATGGCGATACAGTCTGATGTTGTTGTTGTAGACATGATGATGAAGATGTTGGCAACTGTGCTGCTGATGGTGGTAGGGAAGATAATTCTGCTCGACAATCACCAAGTAATAAAAATGATGATGATGAAATAAGTAACAATGAAATACTATTGAACAATATGATTGCCATCAAAAATATGAGCATTCGTCGAAATATGTTGAATGACACGTCAAATATTTTGCTTATATTCTTCATGGTTTAATTATTACAATGATGATGATAATTTTGATTTTTGTAATTAAAAAAAATGAAATTTATTTAAGATCGAATCACAACAACAAAGTGATCAAAGGAAGACAAGTATTGAAGAATTATTTTTCAAATATTGCTGACAACAGAATACATTCACATCACATTCAAATCAATTGTCATCGAGAATGAATATAGTCATAGAGATGAATATTCATTGAAAATCACTGGAATTCACATTGACAAACATGAAGAACACAAATTATATATCTTGATGATTGATTATTGAGCCATATTTACATTTTTACAATTATAATTGTCGTTTTTATCCGTTTCTTATAAATTAACATCATTATGATTCAATAAACCGAATTACAAATTCACTTGTTCATCCATTTATAATGATGATTAAAGCAATTTTTGAATGCAAAAAAATGAGGAAATCAAACACACCGGCGTTTTAGAGAATGAATTAAGAACAGACACACACACATATACAAAACACAGGAGAATTTTTAATAAATAAAACTCAACACTTAAATTGAAGGTCAATCAATTCGGTAGAATCAACAGGACAGGTTTTCGTTTCTTTTTCACCATAATTCATTAATTTTCTTCAACAGTTTTTTTTTCGTTGGTTTGTTATTTTGTAAACACACATATAGAATTACACTGTGTAATTGAATTGAAAAATGAACTTACGATGAAAACCAAAAAAAGGTACACAAGAAAATGGAATGAAATGGAAAAAAAGAATCAAAAAAAAAATATCATTAGAATTATTGATTAATCAATCAATCAAAAAAATATGCAGGCAAACATTAAAAAAAAAAAAAAAATTTCTCGACATATGTATGAGAGTGTATCATCAAAATGGTTTATATGTCTGTCTATTTATGATCTTCAAAATGACATCTGCAAAAATTACTCTTTGACAGATATCCACGGTGTTAATTATAATAATTAAATGTAAATCAAAAAAAAAAAAAATTTTTTTCTATCACAATAAAACAATTTGTTATTATATGATTTCATATGAATAAAATCTCAGTGAAAAGTAAATATTGAAAGAGGATGTACATTTCTCTCGCTCTCACTTGAATTGAATACGAGGAAATCCTGAATACTGTTTTTTTCAATTTCGATTGCAAAAAAACCGAAAAAAATGATTGTCTAAATGGATCACTTTTTTGTTTGTTTGGCAATGATATCCAAAATCGAATATCTCAATCCAAAAAAAAGACAAGGACGATTTTTTTTTTTTTTGCTGGATTTCAACAATGCAATAAAACACACAAGATACAAGATAAATCACAGACTAATTTTTTTTCAAAAATAAAAAAAAAATATCAAGGATTATCATAAAATAGCTATTAATAATGATATAATGATGTCATTTATTATACCCAAATAAAATGACAATTATCATGATTACCGTGATTGTTATTCATGGTAGATTGAGATTATTATTAACATTTAATAATAAAGGTTAATTTTTTGTGATATTTAAAAAAAAAATTAAATTCAAGATTTTTTTGACAGATGGCACAAAAAAATTAAGATGGTCAAAGATGGGATTATCAAATGTTGAAATGATATAATTACACAAGTGATGATGATGATTAGATTTGAATCGAATTAATTAATTATATTTGGGGGCTAATCAATCAAAGATTTTTTATCATTTACAAACGAGCAAAAGAAAGCATTGATGATGGCCAATCAATACTCTCTCTCTCGAAATCATCAAATTCACTCTTTATTGTTACTCACTATGGATTGTGGATACAATGTTGATATACATTATTTGTTTGATGACATAGTGTATGTATTTGATGATGGCAGAGGCTTAATTTATCTACTATAGTAGATTAATAACAAAAAAATGTACATACAATGAAAGAATGTCTATCCATTTGTGTTTATGTGTAATGAAAAACAAATAAAATTATCAACAAACTCAGCGACAACTACGACGACAACTTCAATCGTCGATGGATAAATAATGGTGAAGGATAATATCGACAAACATGTAGTGGAATGGTAATAGATGAAACTCACAATTTTGATGATGATGATGATGATGATGACGACTGTATACAACAACAAGTATCCATGGATTTGAGAAATCACAATTCTATGTATACATTATTTTATCATAATCAGCATGGCAAGCAATTTCACCGCATCAAAGAAAAATTTATTTTGTTGAATCCCCACTATCATCATCTGTACAATGGCTATTGTTGATCTCTATTAACAAAAAAATTGCATTTTCATAAAACGTACAATGGCTATTGTTGATGTACAATAATTACATATTTGCAAAACAAAATGTTGCTATTTAATAGTTTTATTTATTTATTTATTAGTTAAAAATTAAACGAATTCTCCTACAAAAAAAAATGGGGAATAGAAGCAATAAATAAAGCTTGATTCATGCGCAGTTGCTCATTAGTTGACTTGCTATAACAATATTTTCAAATTTTTTTTTTGAATATGAAACAAAACAAAACAATAATCAACAACAACAACAACAACAACAATGATTAAACAAATTATTATTATCATCATAATAGAATAGATTATTCATAAAATACCACAGTGTATAGTGGACATTTATCATCATATCGGTGAATCAATCAGTGTAGATCTATTGTTGATCTCTATTAACAAAAAAATTGCATTTTCATAAAACGATGATGATGATGAAAAACGTATCCAAAAGTTATGATGACAATAACAAATTCCTAAAGACGTCATCTATGAATAAAACATAACATTTTTTTTTAAGTATTCAAGAATTGTTTGGCGGTCATTTACATATTTTAGAATTTAATAGTTTTATTTATTTATTTATTAGTTAAAAATTAAACGAATTCTCCTACAAAAAAAAAACAATAAATAAAGTTGCTATAACAATATTTTCAAATTTTTTTAATATGAAACAAAACAAAACAATAATCAACAACAACAACAACAACAACAATGATTAAACAAATTATTATTATCATCATAATAGAATAGATTATTCATAAAATACCACAGTGTATAGTGGTTAACAAATATGAATATGTGAACATATATATATATTCACCGGATATTTATCACGAATTCAATTTTTTTTTTCTGTCTTTTTTCTTTATGTTGATGTTGTGTGTATGCAATAGCGTTTTTTTTTCTCCAGATGTATAATAGCTTCCGTTATTAAAGCAGATCTTTATGGTAGATCCATTTTTTGTTTATATTCAAAAAACTATGTGTTAGCCATTGTTGTTCAAGTATACGATATCGTTCGTTACATAGAAACAATGGTTTTCCCCGCCTGTTCGTAATTGAGGATTTAGAATTGAATTAATTTTGCAATCCATCAAGTTCATTAGTACTCACTTTAAATCACGATCTTCTTCACCGAATTCATCTAGATAGACCGATCCCCAAGCACATGCTTTACGACCACGAATCAGAATGATTGTCGATGAATTGATTGCCAAATATAAAGCAGTTCCAGCTCCACATTTTCGTGAATGCTAAATAATAAATTATGAATCAATGTTTTAATGCTGATACAAATTTACAGATTTAAAGAAAACATACATGAACACCTTCAAATGAATTTGCATTCCTGCAACAGGCTTCACGGATGCAAATTAACTGACCACAAATAAGACAAAGGGAAGGATCTTTTGGGACATTATTGCAAGTTTCACATGGCCGTTTATGATAGAACATGAACAATTGTTCATATACTTTTGGTAAACGTAAGAGTTTTGGTTGCGATGATATAACGCAATTTTCCTTAATTAAGCTCTGTATTAAAGGATTTAATTTATTATGTTAATTTATCAATTGATAATCATTAAAATTCTTACCGAAGCTGCCATAGGATTCGTTTGAATCAATTTATCTAATTCACTATACCAAGTCGTAATCAAACTGGACGGATTACACATCCAATTTATATAAGGTTTAAAAAATGTATCATCAGTATCGCCCACTAATGATTTTGATGACTCCAATTCATTTTTCATTGTAGATGATGACATTGAATTCAGACAAAGGTAATCAGCCAATGTCGTAAATTCATCTAAAATTGGTAAATCGTTTATTTCGGGAAGTGTTGTTTGATTGAATAACAAATGAAATATCATTGCAGCTAAACGCAAAAACGGTAGACAAACTTGAGACAATGATTCCAATATCGATTGTTTGCAAATTGATTTACGATTTTCCTGAAAATAGAAATTTATAATCAAATAAAAAAAATTCAAACCAAAAGTAGTAGTGCTTACTATTCCAATAATGCTGGAATTCAAGATGGTTGCTTCGAAACTATTTATGATGAATCCAACATAATCGAGATAGCCGTTAAATCCACCGTTATTTTTCGTTTCAAAAAGAGTCTTTATGTTGAGCTTTTCATCCGGTGAAAACAAAAAGGTCATCATGACGATTGCTTGTATGAAATTCAGATTCAATAATGCTTTCACGATTGATAGAAAATAAGCTAAACAAACAAATCAAATTTAGTACTTTTGGATCACATTAAAGCTCAATCTAAACAATCAAACCTTTGTCAATGTTGAATGGTAATGCATAAAGAAATTGCAATAAAATGGCCGAAACATCTTTGATCAATAAAGGAACTTGTTTCTCGTACGGCATTAAATGAGATCCAATTTCATCGGCATCTACACCAGTGATTTGAGCCCATAATTTCATGTAGTACATGGGTAATACTAATTTTGCATTCAACGATAATGCATGAAATAGAGGCACTGTGATTATAAAAAGAATATAAACGTTAAAATGTTAAATACAATGATGACTACAGTTTCATACCAAGACATGAAGCATTTTGGTTCAATGGGAGAGATTTTCGCCACAGAACAATATTGTACTCAAGATTAGTTCGCGAAATTGATGATAAAAATAGAAATAATGATTGTGGACAAGGATCCACACGAATGTTACGATATTGTGGTTCGGTGGCTTTCAACACATCTTCGATTGCCATCGCTAAAACTTTCAAAAATTTCGAATCATCTTCGGTAGTATTTGCTAAACGGGCTTGATCACAATTGGATAATAGATTAAGAATTTCAACAGCAACACCACTTGGATCATCATTTTTACGTGATTGTACCAAAGGAAAATGTGGTAAATTTGGAATAATTGGAAGTACCGAATTTGCTACCTTTCGACACAATGGACATGGATATTCAATCAGATCGTTACCTAAGTAGTATTTGAGGAAAAAAAGAAAATTATATTATGAAAACACACGAATTATATTATTCAATTTGCTTACTATCTCTATCTTGATAGACGGATGAAATATATGATTGATAACAATCCATGTGCATGAAATGACCGCAAGATTGTGCATGAACACCTCCACACCAACCAATATTGAATGAACTGAGCCATGAATCTAATGCAAACGATGGAAACAATCGATCGATTTTATGTTCGAAATAATGAGCAAAGGTTTTCCGTTCTTTAAATATACAATAATCATCTTTAGTCGTTGGAATTGTTGTCAATTTTTCTATATTTTCAGATACAAAACGACTGTTGACAAATTCATCCGCCAACGTGTGGGCAAAAGCATTGTTCAATATTGATGATGATTGCAAAAGAACCATTTGAACGAATGGTCGTTCAAGAATTGAAGCTCCAGTATCCATACAGATTACACATTGATAAGTTTTTGGTTGATATTTTACATTTGAAGTATTTTCCAAATGATCAGAATTTCTCGAATGATTATCTTCTGTAGGTAGATCAACGTTTGATCCAGCAGCAGTATTAGATGAAAACGAATATTCTTGTTCTGATTCATCAGCATTAAATTTTTCGAAAGTACTTTTATTATTCTTGATAAATTCATTTTGTAGCAAACAGAATTTACTCATTATTTGTTTTTTACGTTCTAAAGCTTTACGCTTCTTTTCAGAACGTTGTAATTCATCCTGATCAATATCCATAGAATTTATACCATCGCTATAAATATCTGCATTCGTGCTTGTTGTGGGAATCGGTGAAGCTGCTTTATTGATAGTTGGCCAAATTGAACGCCTAGTATGATCTATAAATTCAATAACTTTATTCAAACATGAACCAGCTTGTAATGAATGGCGAGATTCCAAACACTCGGCACAAGTATAAATGAAACGCTTCAATAGACAACCAATAAAGTATGGACCATCACCAATGCGTGAATTGAGATCATATTTCTCTAAACTTTTTGAGTCTGTTTTGAAAGAATCTCTTTTCTCGCTCAATTTTGAATGTAATCGCAGCAACAATGTTAAAATAGATTCATTCACATCCAATTTAAATTTGAAAGGTTTTGTTTTAATTATCAATCGTTTTTCTGCAGGTAGATGTTGCTGCTGTTGTTGCGAACTGGTTGAAGGTTCATTCGATAATTGATTTGAAAAGTATTCCAAACTGGATGGTTGTGAAGAATCAATCGAACTCAATTCATCGGCACTATCGGTGGTGGTGTTGTTACGTGTATTAGTATTATCATTCATTAGTCTATCTAAATGTTTTGCTTCACGAATGATGACATCAGGAATTTCTTCACCATCAATATAAAACGATAACATTGGAGCAATGCTGCTCGGATTGATTTGAAAAAGTACATTTGAATCAGCAACAGTGTTGTTATTATTAGACGAATCGTTTCTAGTGATTCTTGAATCGTGATCAGGATCACCAGATTCATTTTCCGATTCATTCACATTAATTACATTTTCATTGTCATCTTCATTGTCGATTGCAATGATTGGACCATTGTCGTATTCTTCTAAATGACTAAAAGGATTAAGTTGATCATCGGGCATTAATAAACTGAATAAAGATGCTATAATTTTTGTTTTGATTTGATCACTATTTTTTGTCAAAGATAATTCAGTTTTTCGTATAATCGTAATGAAATTGCTTAAAATATCAGCTGATGGATACCATGAACTGAATTCAAATTCATTGACGGATTTGACATAAATATTTTCTGGTTTTTCTAAATCAGACAAACATAGACAGGAATCTGATTTCATTGATTCATTCAATGTCAATTCGATCAAATGTATGACAATCGACATTAAATGTTGTGTGATAGAAACAGTATCGTTTAAAGACCGATAAAGTATTGAAAAGAAATAGGCGTGTAATGTTTTGCTTTTCAATATAATACGAGGGTCGATGAATCTATCATCAATCAGTGGTGGTATACGAAACGGTGGCCATGGAAGACTATTCGATTCATATTTACCCGATTGTTTAGCAAAGGATGCAAAACGTTCCAATGATGCTTGAAATTCACGTCGTTGAGCATTACGATACAGAACGAACAATGGATCGTATTCATTTTGCCATACATCATTTTTTGGATAGAAATAACCTTGAACAAGGCTACCATTAACTTCGACTTCAGGTGATTTGTATTCGGCAATATTCTGAAGAATCTCAATAAAAGCATTGTTCGGTAGTGTTCCCCAACGACGAGGCATCATATCTTGAATTTGTGAATGTGTTTTATCAGAAACAGCCAATAAAGAGACCATTTCTTTTCGTGTAACTTCACATGCCGATAAACCAAGATTTAGCTGGACACCGAGTATAGTAGCAAATAGACCGAAGCCATTTTCGAGAAAAATGATTAAACGATTTTTGTCTATATCATTCTCTGGTAATGGTGTTAGATTCAGATGTTCATTAAGGCCATATATACAGAAAAACATTTTGACAAATTCATCCGGATCAAGTTGTGCGGCAATCTGTTGTACAAGAAAAAGATCGGCATCGATTTTTGAATTGCAAAAATGTGGATGCATATAATTTAAAGCTTGTGTTTTGATGTGTGGACCGGAACTGAACCATGTGTTGGCCATAATATGATTCGAAACAATGAGTGTTTGAAGTGGATGTACCATGAAATCTTTCAATTCATGTCGATCGGTGGGAAGTAGTCCTTTTAGACTAGCATTTTGGTTAACAGCATGATTGAGAAATATAGAATAATAACGATGAAGTGGCAGATGAAAGGTACATCGATCGGTATCGATCAAATTAATGTCAAACGAAATCGAATAAAGCCATTTTCTAAGCCAATTTATAGAACGTTGAATGAAATTGATAGTCAATGGGATTGTATCTTCGTCATTCAATTGTGAAATTAAGGTCCACATTTGTGATGATGCAATCTCAACTTCGGCCGGAAATGAACTTTTATAATTCTGATTTGTATCATCGGCTTTTGTCGATTTTAGATTCAAATTCATTGTCTGAAATGCCATGATAAATTCAAGCCAAACATCGATCAGGTCATTATCCTTAAGAAACATATGAGCAATTCGTTTATGAGTGAAAAGATTATTAAGATCACTATTCAATGGCCAAAATCGATGATAACGTAGTATAGGATGGTCACATCTGACTACACGATGAACATTTGGTCGTTTGTCTTTATTGTTTTCGGTTTCTATATCATTATTCTGTTCGAAATCTAATTCCGAATTTACTTTGAGTATTCCCCAGAAATTTTTACCATCACCACATATTGCGAATTTCAATGAAAGAATTATTATATACAGTAGATAAGATTTTTCACATAATTCACGAGCCAAATTTTCATTGCTGAACAATTGAACGCTGATGTGCACTATAGCGTTAGCCAATTTATTATTAGCAATATCTTTATCGTTCATGCTGTTAAATCTTCTTGTCGGATGTAAAATGAGCATAGAGATACGGAAATAATGTTTGACAAAGCAATGGGCAAAATGTGCCTTATAATCATCATTTGGCAACATTTTTAATAGAAAAGTAACGAGATTGCTAGGAAATTCATAGTATATTACCCAGAAAATTATTTCATCTAAATATGTTTCATGTTTTATGTCTGATTTAAAGGATTCAATTTGATCGACAATACTGAGATCGGATATTTTCAAATCACCTAAATCCGGAAATATTGACGATAATTCCAATTCCTGTACAGCATTACGATAATTTTTAGACAATGTTTTCAGATAGTGCTGGTAATCAAGATCATCTTCTTTGTTTACTAAAGAGAAAAAATTATTAGTTTCAAAGAAAGCAAAAAGATAATAATAATATCTTACATTTCAGAAAAGATTTATATGAATTCGGATCAGTAAGTGAATTGCAAATGATAGTTTGCATAAGAGTTCCGAGATCACACAAATAAATTAAAATGTCATTGATCAATGCGTTAGCTTTTTTATTATCTAGAAAAATGATTATAATAAGATTAAATTAGATTTCATTTTAGTCGAACGTACTTGTAAAATTATTTCCGCGAAGATATAGGAGAAGATAATGGAGTAAACGTGGAACAGTTTCATTCGCAATACAAAGAAGACTGTTTGGTGGAATTTTTTTCTTCAATTGAACGTCGTCTGAATCGGAATCACGTGGCTGATGTTTTCGACAGAATCCTTCCGGTTTCAAAACGGTTGAATCACCACAATCACAGGCGCCGCCAGCTTGTGAACGAAACATATTAAAATCATGTCCCTTATGGTATCCATAAAAAAAACAATCAGCACACAATGACATGCATAAAGAAATTGCACAAGTCCGACAACGATAGGCGACAAAATTATTTGTCCAAACCAATGTGCATTTAGATGTCCTATCATATTGTTTTACTTGTTTATCAAATAAAAGTATTGATTGATATTAGTGTTTATATATATGAATAGAAAAAGCTTACCATCTTTCGCAAAATTAATCGGCAATCGACGACCACAAATTAAATATTTGACCCATTCAATAAGCTCTTCCGATGTATAATTTTGACGAAAATCGAACAAATAATCGATTACTTGATTGATACGTCTATGATCATGTTCACTGATGTGTTTCTCCAACAAACTTTGTTCATCCAAAGAATTAATTGTGGATGTATCTTGATCATAACAGCCAGCTGTAACATAATGGCAAACATAATGTTTGCCTTTATTCAACAAAGAATCTATATCTTTCTTGTACATTTTGGTAAATGATTTGAATATCAATGAAAAACATGAAAAAATTCTTGCATAAAGATCATCTTTGAATTTTTAAACAAATGAGAGAAACTATAATGGATAACAAAAACAAAAATTTTAATTTGATTTTTTTTTTCCCAGAGAAAATTAGTTGGATTATTTAGTTATTATTGTTGGATCACTCTATATATATTGTGAAATCAATAACAAACAAACACAAAAAATCTTGATATATAAACTCGAATGTTGTTGTGTACAGTAATGTAAATGTAAATATATATATGAGCTTCAGAGGCATATGTGTGTTGTTTTTTTTTTTCATTCTATTTCCACTTAAATGGTAGAGATTTTTTCAACTCGATATAGTCTCCACATTATACAGTGCTGCCGCCGTTTCAATATCTTTTTTTTCAATTTAATTTAATGAAATATATATAAAAAACAACAAAATTATTTGAAAATTTTAAAAATTGGAAAAAGAAACTATTTCATGTTCATTTTATTTTTTGTTTATATATATATTGATTGAAAAAATTATTAACAACATAAATTATTGATATATAAATTATCGAATTCGTGAGCAAGAAATATAGAAAAGGATATATAGAAGTTCAATGATTGTTGAGAAATGTTGATTGAAGAGTTGAATTGTTTGTTGGATTTTTGTCACAAAAAAACTACTGTTTATGTTTGTCTGTCAATCACAATAAATCATTGATAAAAAAATTACAATTGAAGATGACATACAGATTAAGAATTTTGTTTCAGAATCAAAAGAAAAAAAAAGACAAACATGTATGCAACGCATTCTGGATAATCAAAATTGATTCAATCGATTTGATTATAGATTGTGTGTGGATTTATTCTGTAAAACTAATCACCAAATGAAAAAGAGAGAAAAAAAATTGACCACAGAAACAAAATGTGATTGTCATCTATTTGCAAAATAAAATACCAAAGCTAATTGAACGGAACAACAAAAAAAAATTTCTGATAATTCTGCAAAAAAAAAGAATTCAAATTTCGAATTGAATACACTAATGATATAATGAGCTCCTATTCGAGGGGAAAAAATTAAGAGAAAGAATGTATGTGTTGAATATATTTTCAAACAAATAGATTGACATAATTGAGATGCAAAATGGATTTTAAAAATTTTTTTGTCGATAAGGATGAATCGTTGAATGAATGAATGATGAGGAATCAGTGATTTTTGATAATTTTTCTTTCCTGTTTCTGTTGCTTAATAATGAATGAATGAATGAATGAATTGATAATAAATGAGAAACAATCACTGGTAAATGACTATTATGTGTATTTTTTGAAAATAAATGCAGCAGCCACAAGGTAGACGATAATCCATCCCCATGTAGCGATGAAACCAAGTGTTACTTCGAAGAATTCTACACCCCAACCACGTGATAGTATGAAACGCATCGATTCTACTGGTAATGTTTGTGGTAAAAATGCCGCCAATGATGCCATCCAATCAGGCATAGATTGTATGGGCCAGAAAATACCACCCAACATGATTGTAGGAAAAAATGATCCCATACCTAACATGGCTGCTGATACTTCATCAGCACAAAGTGATGATATGAATAATCCAAACATTACACCAGCCAAGCCTAAAGAGATAATTTAAAATTAGAATAAAAAAAAAAAAAAGAATTCATAATGACGAACCTTGGAAGAAGGTAAGCGAAAAGACCCAAACCATTGGACCTCTGGATGGCACTTTGAATATGTAAAATGTTGTGGCCAACATAAATACTTCTTGTATGGTGAGAACAATTGTCTGCGTCATTATGTGTGAAATAAGAAATTCAAATGAATTTACACCAGCTACCAATGATCGTTCTAGTAGACCATCTTTACGTTCCAATACCAACGACAAAGCAGTCAATGCAGTCGTTGCATAATAGGCAATCAAAATAATAACACCAGGTGCCATAAATTCAGTCATAGATGGATTGACTGTACCATAGATAACTTTTTCGATTGTAATTGGCAAAGTTACAGTGGCCGGATTATATCCCAGAATCGATAGATAATCTTGTGCAAATGATTGGAATGCAAGGAAAAATGTTCGTAACAAAACAAATCCGATAACTTGATTGGACATGTCTAGATAAAGTTTTATATTCGATGATTCAATTGTTGCGTTATCTGCTTTTCCAGCCTTTATAAAAGCATCAAAAATTGTTTGAAATTGCATGTAAAAATATTGAAAAAAAATTGTTTACCATTATTCTTCTTTGATTCAATGATGCCGAATAATTATGTGAGAAATGTAATGCCGCCCAAGCTTTACCATCGACTACCGCTTGTCTAGCTTCTTCCAATGAATTATAAGGTACCTGTACGACAATTTCCGGATTAACAAATGACAAATATTCTGCACTAAGTCCGGGTGGATCTTCAGCATTATAAACAGCAACTGGGATATTTTTCGGATCCTGACCAATACATATACAGAACAATGCAATTTGAATCGAAGGTAAAAAGAAATAGAACAATAAGATGGGAACATTTCGTTTCAGACGGATAGAATTCTTAATAAACAATGCCATAACACGATTCAGATCAAACATTCGTCGTCGTTGTCCTTCTACACTGATTTGATTTTGTAATTGTGAAAAATCGCCAGTTGAACCACGTTCCGAGAATGACATTCGAGGACTTTGTGTGGATGGCGTAGCTCTTGCAGATACATCTTTGAACGATGTAGACATTGGAATCAAGAGGTTACCTATTGAAATAAAGTTAAAATGAAAACAATTAAATTTTCAATTTGAATTGAATTTAATTTGAAACTTACCAGCGGTATTTGGCGCAAGACTTATAGCATTTTTGGCAATATTATTATTCGCATCTTCATTATTATTAATGTTTTTCTCAATGTCACCTTTTTCACCATTCACAATGACCATTGGAAGATCATCTTTTTTCGTTTCGATTGTAACATTATTCTTTTCATCATCATAACGAACGGCATCTGTTTTAACACTTTCGGGAATTTGTGCTGAATCCAATTGACATAATTTCAAAAATACAGCTTCTAATGTTGGAAGACCATGTCTTACTAATAGTTCTTCTGGATTTGATTGTACCAAAAGACGACCAAAACGCATAAGGCCAACCGTTTCAGCTGTTCTAGCTTCTTCGATATAATGAGTGGTGATAATAACGGTCAAACCATCTTCACGGCATAATGCATCTAAATGTTCCCAAATAGCTTTACGTAACACTGGATCAACACCGACTGTTGGTTCATCCAGAATCAAAAGTGGTGGACGATGAACCAATGCAGAGGCCAATGAAACACGACGTTGTTGACCACCTGTTGATTGATTTAAAAATTAACGTTATCATTATATTTTTGACTATTTTGGTTATTATAAATCCAAAGAAATGATAAAATTTACCAGAAAGTTGTGAAACCAAACGATTTTTTTCAGGTAGATGAAGAAGTGTAATAAGAAATTTAGTTCTTGCTTTAATTTCTTTTGATGACATTCGATATAATTGACCAAAATATCGCAGTGTTTCTTTAATAGTGAAATCCGGGAATAATGCTAATTCTTGTGGCATGTAGCCAACACCAGGACCAGGTACTGGACTGTATTCGGAACCCGGTTCTTGTCCAAATACGCGAATCACACCGGATTGTGGTTGTAAACGGCCAAGAACACATCGTAATAATGTGGTTTTACCTAATTTTATAAAAACAACAAAAAAATAACGTGATGAAATAAGTGGAGAAAACAACAAAAAATAATGGTGCCAATTTTAGCATAAAAAATATAAATAAAGAAAATCAAGAAAATCAAAAAGTTAAAACAAAATAATAATGAAAAAAATAACATTGTCCTCGGGTAATAAACATCAAAAATATATGACATACTAGCACTATAAAAAATGATAATATTTTCTTCATCTTCTAATTATCATAAAATGAAAGAAAAAATGATGAATTAAATTATTCGTAAAGCTTCATCGATCAACAACAACATGATTAAAGCAACAATAACAACAACAACAACAACAACAAAGATTGAAAAGGAGAAGATATCCTTGATAATAAGACTTGAATATAGAAAAAAAAATTGCAAGATTTTGGATTTAATTAGTAGCAAGCATCATACTTTCTATCTATAAAAGTGTTTGTGTTCAATATTTTCTCACTAACACTAACTAGAATGGTGTTTATAATGTTGTTTTGTTATTAGTTAGTATGTTGTTGCAAAATTGGGCATAGTTAAAAACAAACAAGACACACTTACCACAACCACTGGATCCAAGAAGAGCATAGATTTTGCCTTGTGGCACTGAGACATTGATTTTCTTCAAGGTCAATAATGATTTTTGTCCAAAACCATAGGTAAATGTAACATCACGAACATCCACAGCAATTTTTGGTGGACGATTATTTGGAGTAATTGCTCCTGGTGTTGATTGAATTGATCGTTCATCCTCCATGACCAAACCTTTATTAACATAGACACCATTTTTGTCAGTCTTTTCAACCAATTTGGCCAACGCTAATGCAGGATCACGTTTAACTTTTTCATCTGTTTCGTTCACTGACGTTAAACGACGGAAACGATTGAGCGATGCATGTCGGTTATCGTTGATAGCGACAACATCCGCCTCATCCGATACATATGAATGATTGGTGAAAGGATTTTTTATCATTTTGGCTTGCTAATGTTTATTTTATTTTGTGGTATTCACACTATTGTTTGTCGTTATTATTTTTGCCCCTGGTTTGCGTTGAAAAAGGGAAAAAAATTGAGTGATTTGATCAATTTTTTTGATGAAATATATTTTGACGGCAACACTGATACAACGATATGATTGTATATGTGGTGGTGGTGGTAATGGTGCTGCTGCTAATGATGATGATGATGATGGTGATGATGATCAAAGAAGAAAATGAAATTATGCAAGTTGACGTATGGGGAAAATCAACAAAAAAAATAGCCAATGAAAAAAATGAATTTTCTGGTGAATATATGAAATTTGTACGTTGTTTTTATTTTACAATTATTGATTGATCGATAGATTTTCAATGTATAGCTTAGTAATAAAGTTTTGTTGTTGTTGTTGTTGTTGTTGTTGCTATATTGTACACTATAGCTGCATTCAATGTGATTGAAGATGATTAAATAATTTTAAACTGTGAATGGAGAGTAGACCAGAAAAAACCGGTAGAAAAATAAAAATGGAAAAAAAAGATTAAAAATTAGATTTAATCATTAGATTTAACTCAAACACACACAAAAACATTTATGCTGAATAATGAAGGAAATAAAAAAAGATTCATCAATTTTAATTATTGAAATTCTGGCTAAAAAACATTGCAGAATAACTTTTTTTTCCTGATTTTTGATTATGATAATGGAGCCTGAAAAAAAACTGATGTAAGAGGTACGCAAATATGGCTGGACATAATTATCATCATCATTATCCTAATTGATATGCAACAATGATAAATTTATTTATCGTTCACAAAAAAAACGAAATTCGATACACAATAATCTAACCTAAAAAAAAACATAAAGATCAATGCCGAATCACAATCATCAAATGAAACAAATAAATATCAACGTCATGCGGAAATTTCCCAAAAAAAAAAAAAAAAAAAAAAACATTAGCACAGCACATTTAATGAGAGTCGAAAGTCGAAGCCAGACCAAAAGAAAAAAAAATTAATAAATTTCAAATAATAAACAAAACCATGATGATTCACACATACATATTCACACATTACAACAAGTGTTTTTTAATTTGTATCAAATTTTATCGGTCAGTAATGGTCATCATTTTGGATTTTTTTTTTCATTGTCCGTATGATTAAACGGGAATAGCAAAACAAAAAATAGATAAATCAATCGACAAATGTCTATTATTGTCGTCGATGTTGTTGTTGTTGTTGAATCTTGTATAAGCAAATAATTCAGAACAAGAAAAGATAGCCAATGTGTTCAGCACATCATCATTATTATTGTTGTTGTTGATTCATATAAACAGAAACAGAAAAAAAAGAACGATGGACAGCAGCAATACAGCAATCGCAAATGAATAAGAACGAATAAATGGATGGATGAATGGATAGTATGAATCGAATCGTATGTTTCATGTTTGGAATGAGCAGGAAAAAAAAATTGAGCTCAAGGGCAGTTAGTTAGTTAGTTAGTTAGATGCGACTAGTGTTAACGAATACAGCAACAGAAGAAGAAGAAGAAGAAGAAAAAGAAAGCTTCCCAAAAAACATCGAACGAACAAACAACAACAACAACAACAACAAAAAGAAAAACAAGCTAGTCGAAGAAAAAAAAAAAAAAACATTTCATCCAAGTAAGAAATCGAAACCTTTATTAAGAAAGAAAAAAAAAGACTTTCTCTTTCGATGCTGAAAATTCATAAATTTTTTTTTTCAATATACTGCCTTTATCATTTGGTGAGAACATCTAGTATTATTCGTATGTTTGGTCTTTCTTAAGATAGAAAGTTGCCACCACCACCACCACCATGTTCATCATCATCATCACCATCATCAGAAATTGTCGTCATCACAACATTAGGATGTTAATGTCGATATATCGATGGTGATGATAATAACGAAAACTCTTCTCTTTTTTTTAAAATTCAATCCAAATCGATTAGAACAATTTTGGATTTTGTAGAAAAAAAAATAAAAGTTTCCAAATAAAAAATCAAAATATTTATGACATGAATGAAATGATGATGGATATAATTAACTACTACTGCTACAAAGAAAAAGAAAAACGAGAACAACAATCAACAATCATATGACCGTGAATTTTTAAAAATTAATCGATAAATACTGATTCAGTAGGGAATCGTTTGAAGGTTTTTTTATTTTGGATTCAGTGTGTGTGTGTAATCATCATGATAATAAAGATTAAGATGATGTAGTACAATGTGTATGTGTGTGTATGATGGATTGTGCCTGGATTTCTACAATACAAATGATTGCAATTCCAAGATTAAAATTGAAAAATTGAATGGTTACATCCCATCCAATGATTATAGTTTGAATATATGACTGATCGCTAGACATTTTAGAATTATTAATTATTATCTAAACACTTATTTTTTTGTGAATACCTCCATCATTATAAAGAGGTAAACAATTTGAAATTTGTGCACTTGTGTCAGAAAAAAAGACTATAAATAAAAAAAAAAAAAATTTTTTTGCCATCAAACAAATACTGCTAGACATGTGATGAATGATTTATTATTATTTGCACCGAAAACCTTTCGATTGATTAAGCATATTGATTAAAGATTATTCAATTTGCCAATGAACAATGATTAGCAAAATTGTTTATAGTTAGTAAAAATTATGATAAAATATCAATATATACATACAGCAATAGCCGAAAAAAAAAAAATTAAATCACAAGTTAACAACAAAAGCAAGAAATTCGTTGAAACATTCTGTTCATATCGTTCATATGAAATCATCAGATGAATTGAGAAATGGTAAATAATTTTGAAAAAAGGGCTGTAATTTATTTTCAGAAAACAAAACAAAAAAACTATGACAATGATGACTGAATGAAAAATCGATAAATGAAATGTTTTTGAGAATTTTTTTTTTCCATCTATGAGTATATACACAATAATTTAATGCAGGCAAAACAATCGATAATTTTGATGATGGTGATGTTGATGACAAATGGAAGAAGAAAATTTTTTTTTCTTGTTTCTTTTTGTTGATGATGATCATCATCATAATGGATGATCACAATTGTTGTTGATGTAAGTTGTACATATGTACGTGCAAAATCACACATACACATCCATAAACAGGTAAATCATTTTTTTTTTATTTCGTTTGAATGGACCAACAAACCAGCCAACCAACCAACCAACCAAACAGAGAGAGAAAAAGTGAATTTAATCATCAATAAGCATTAATCGATTGAAATGAATGGCAGATGATGATGGCAAATTGGATAATTCTTGTCAGAATTTGTGTTGTGTTGTGTGTGTGTGTGTGTGTGTGTGCGAAACAAATTAAGGGGTAAATTTTCCTTATTGAAAAAAATGAAGAGGATAAAATTATTGTCGATAATGATGAGTGGAAAAAAAGTAAAAGCAAAAAAAAAAAACATTTTGTAGTAACCAGAATTACAATGTTAATTGTCCAATGTTAATTAATGAACCACACCAATCACAACCAATTATGATTAATGTGAAAAACCAAAAACAAAAACAAATTCAATGATCATTCATTATTGACGACATTTTCAGTGATATAATAATAATGAAAAAAAACGATTACAAAATGAAAAGAAAAAAATTCAAAATAAGAAACAAAAAAAATTCATTTCATTGAGAATAATAATCAATTACACAATCATAATGTGTCAGATGGCAAACGAAATTGAAAAAAACAAAAATTTTTCCCCACATTTTCGATAACATCAAGTCATGTTTCAATAGAAGCAAAGTAAGCAAAGAAGAACACAAAATGACAATGATAATAAGAAAATATTTTTTTACAAACACACCCACACACACGTACACACGTTGATTGAAAATCGATACTATTGAAAAAAAACTATCGGTATATGATAGAGAAAAGTACAAGAAAGAAAGAAAAAAAAACTTTTCAATTAAGACAATCAAAATATGAAATGTTCGTTATTACGTAATAAGTATATATACTTGTAATGTTAAACATTCGTATATATAGTATATATGGTTTGTTTGTTTTCATTAATAATAATAAAAAATGATGATGGCAATGTAATGTGAAACAAACGTAAAGAAGAAAAAAAAATCAATGAGCCGAATCATTTTTGATCGTTTTGTTTTATTTATCTTTTTTTTTTCTTGTTCATGAAACATCTTTTTTTTCTACTTCTTTGCGCTGCCATTCATTCATTCATTCATTCATTTCATTAACTTTCAAGTTCCAAAGGTAAACTACTGTTATGCCATGCTATTATAACGAGTGTGTGTGAAAGACAGAGAAAAACTGAAAAAATGAATCGAAAGAGAAAGTAAAAAGTCTAAAAAGAGAAAAAAAAAATTTTTTCCCATTTTAAATTAATAAATATCGAGTGAACGAAAATGAAAATGAAATAATTTTTCTGGCATATATTTCTTTCTAATTATGAATGTGTAGCTTATCATATTTTTTATTGTTTCGGCCTTTATGAATTTTTTTTATTTTTTTTGAAACAAAACAAAATCAAAAAAAACAAAAACAAGGTGCATTGTTTCAGTATCATGTGTATAACATGCAGATGGCATTTTGAGATAATCTGTAAAGTGTGCATGTTCCACATTGTCACCGATTATTATTATTATTATTATTATGTTTTTTTTCTACTCAAGTTTCTCAATTTATCTTGAATTTGGAACTCAAATATATTGCATCAAAAATACAAGAGAAATTGGTGTGTGTGTGTGTGTGTGTGTGTGTGTGTTGCGGTACAAACAATTCAAAAAAAAAAAAAATAAAATAAAATAAAATAACAGACGTAACATATACACACCGGTTGTCATAAATGTTAAGGTCAATATGAAGAAAAAAATTTTTTTTTGTTCATTCGAAATTCGTAATCAATATTTATATTGGTATTCACATGGGTTTTTTCCCTTTTTTCAACATTTCGACTGTTTGGTGTTAAAAAAATTGAAAAATCTTCTCTTCATCAAAATCATTGATGATTTACAATAACAACAACAACAACGACGACGACGACAAAAACAGATATTTCTAAATAAATATATATTGATTGACAAAAATCAACATTGATTCGATTTTTTTTCCACCACAATATGGTTGATGTATGTGTTAAATATACAAATAAAAACTCCAATTGAATACACACACACACACACACACATACCTGCAATTGAATATCGCACGTAAAGATCGAAATGGAGACGAAAAAATGTCAAAAACAATGACATTTTTTTTTGATTGGTGTGATGAAAATCTGAATGATTAATAAATTGGATCGATAATGATTTTATTTAATTTGATTTGATGATTCATTCATTCATCAATACTATACGGAAATTGATAAATCTGACGTCAGCACTGTGTATAGGATGATGATGTAATTGATTGGCCACAAAACAAAAATATTTCATCAAGTTAGATTGTCATTATTGTCGTCGTCATAATGTAATGATATTTCACTTAGGTTTTTTTTTTTTTTGGTCATTTTCCAATGATTCAATAATAATAATAAATGGAAAATATGACCAAATTCAATGACGATAACAACTACATCAAGGTCAGTGACATGCTCTATGGTTAGCTAGTGAAAATATATGATGTGCTATATTGAAATTTGTTATTTTATTGATTCAATGTAAACCAATGAAATGTATGAAATTAAAACGTTTTTCTGTTTGTTGTCAAGAAAATTAACAAAAAAAAAAACGGAAACAGAATTTTTTTTTCGCACATTCAATTTATCACTATTGAATGGCATAAAACAAAATACAAATATCCGGCAATAAATAATTGTAATTAAGATGACTAATCATGGGCCAATCATTAATGAATTTTTGATACCCACAAAAAACATTTAAATATTAAAAATATCTTTAACTAAGTCATTGAAAGAAACGTGCAAAGAGACACGTGTTGCATGCTTCATGTTATAAGTACGTGCGAATGAATTTTTAAATTTTTTTTTCTCAAAAAATGCTCATTTGCATTCAATGAATAGAACAATAAAAAAAAATTCAATTTCACAAGTGAAAAATGAAACCAAATGACATCATCATCAAAATAATTGTAATAGATTACGGCTAAGATGCTCATTCTTCGGAAATTCCCAAACAAAACAAAACAACAAATTTCAATATTAATAATGATGATGATGATGATCATGGCCTATGATAATGATGAACAATTGGCTAGATTGAAGACAATTGAAGTTTGATTATCATTATGATGATCACAGATGATTACAAGAAAATGAAGCAAAAAAGGAAGTGATCATCAAAATATATCAGTAATATGTACAACAAAATGATGGTCAAAGTAAAAAAAAAAAAATTTAACCACACACACACGGTAAAGGTTACAACTAATTTGAATACATATATAAATGTGGTAAACATTAGATTTTTTTTTTGTTTCCGTCATTTTTTTTCATTGATAAAAAAAAGCCATTGACGCACGGACATACAATGATTACCACCATGTCCATGTGTTTGGATCATGATAATGATAAGATGGCAAACAAAATGAGAAGAAAGAAGAGAGAAAAAAAACGAAAAACATACCTGGATATCTCGATAACAATGATGAGCAATGATGACGAACACGGTCAATTTCGAGGTTAAAGTTTTTATTCGTTGTTCGACACACACACACACACACAGTGAGTAGTGAATGAAACAAAAAAATGGTCAAATAAAATCAAACGATATATCCGAAAAGGTCGATTTCATGTTCATTTCAATCAAGGTAACTAGTATTTGAGTTACAAAAAAAAAATTTACGGGATTTTCATGGACTGAAGCATACAAGCACGCAAAACATTCATTCATTCGACAATGATAATTATGATGATGATGATGATGATGATAATGTGGCCAAAAAAAATTTTTTTTTTATCTTGTGTTATCCAAGATAATTTTTCTGAAGTCGAAAAAATTAATCATACAAAAATGATGATGAATCTAAAAAATGATTGAAAAAAAAAAATTATTAATTTTTTTCTGACTTTAAATTTGTAAATGAATTATGAATTATGATTGATAATGACAATGTCCATAAATTTTATCGACAGAATTTTCATGTAAACAAAATTGAATACCTTTTGGTGATATATGGATGTGATTCTTGTCGTTGTTTGTTTGGTAATGAAAAAAAAAAAAAAATTTTTTTTTTTCATTCAAAATCACAATAAATCACACTATATATGTTGGCCATTTGACTTTCGTTTATTGTTATATCGAATATGAGTGTTTTCTGAATGGTTAATAATCACGAAAATAACAACAACAACAACAATAAATAATAATTCAAAATGTTGTGATTGAAAAAATCAAATAATAACACACACACTATTATTATTACCATCACTAGCAGCAGCAGCATCACCACCACCGATCAACAGGTATGTACGAATATGCAGCCATTTATTTTATACATGTAGAAAATTTTTTTTCCCACTATTCTATCCAGTAGTATTTGTCTCTCTTCTCTCTCACTATTTTTCCTCAATATACCTGAGAAAGATTCTATTTTCCATTCTAAAGAAGAAATGAAAAATTTCAAACATTGATTATCTCACATTCCCCGCCTATCATCATATCTGTCATATGGCAAACAAACAAAAACGAATGATGCTTAACTAACTATACACATAGAGTCATAAATTGAAATTTTTTTTTTTTTTTAATTATCAACAAAGAAAAACCAATTTTTCACTTTTTATCAATATCTGATTTACGTAAATATCATCAACGTCAATCAATACTACTATATGTATATATGATGATAACAAACAAATGAAATCAATGATTATCACCATCATCATTATTGTTCTGTCAATATTGTTAAAGAAAAAAAGAAATCAATAAATAATCAATCTGACAGAAAATATTGAATTAGTAAGTAAAATAATGAAATGATTCTTATTCGATCAAACTACTGTTGTTGATCCATCATTTATATATATATAGAAATCATTGTGTTTCATTCTGTTGATGCTATTTTTCTCTTTGGATAAATTTAAAAAAAAAAAAAAAATTTTTTTCGTTGTTCAAGAAGGAAATTTATCATTTCAAAATGCATGTTCTTCAAACTTTTCTCTTTTCTCTCACTTTCTATCTGTCTCTCTTTACATCAAATCACAAATATTTGTCCACGAGTATGTGTATGTTCAATTTCCGAAGGTCGAATAATAATTTTTTTCTCATTATTGAATTCTTGTTTATCCATCAATCAATCTTTATTATATACGAATTACGTCGTATATCATCAATGTTTGTTATATATAAATGATTGAAATGATATGGTGTGTGTGTTTTTTTTTTTTGAAAACCAGATCCAGATTTTACGTAAGAAACAGATCAAATAAAAAAAAAATCAAGTTCCTCCATCTCCACATTGAGTATATACGTGAAAACGTGATTTTGGTGAACAAAATTGTATCGATTTTTCTGTGGAAAAAAAATGACATTGGTATCAACTTACACACTAATATAAATTCATTCATTTTGGTTTATATGCATCCAATATATGCAACATTGTAATGAATTTTTTTCATTTTATAAACACATGATTCTCGTTTTTTTAAAAAACAAGTTTCACCATCATTTAATTCATCGATGTACGAATGGCCATCTTTTGAGCATTATCGTCAGTATTTTTAAAATGAAAATAAATTTCATTACTTCGAAACCTTTGATCCTCTCCTCTCCTCTGCAAACAAAAACAAAAACTTTCAGGAAAAACTATTGCTGCTGTTCCGGTATAATTAACTAAAAAATTATGTAAAAAAAATGATAATTTTTCAGTCACATTTTTGCAGATAAATATATCATTCATTTCAATTCAATTCAATTCAATTTGATGGCAAATTTTTATCAGCCAAAAAGATATATTCAAGTTAAAAATAGTTTTTCACATACAACAAATCTTTTTTGGATGTAAAAAAATATATTCAAATCGCTTTAGGCAAAACACATCCAGAAGTAGAAAAAAAAACAGAAAAGTAAAGGTCAAACCACGAGCCATCATCATCATCATATGAGCCATACATTGATCATGACTCAGTCTATCTAGTGAAAAAAAAAATTCATTTTTCCATGTGTTCAATGATGAATCAATTTTCGTATTTTTTTTTATTACTTGCAACTATTATAATTGAACGATGCAATAAAGATTTGATTGATTGAGCAATAAACGAAATCATCATCATGTATATATAAATGAAAGTGAAAAAAAAGTTTTCATGACGATACAAGGACCTGATTTTAATTTTTTTTTCCTACTGCTGAAATGTTCAAATGAAAAAAAAAAAATTTCGGTAAAAACACAACAAATTTCGGGTTCAAGGTTTTTTTTTGACAACATTGAATTGATAATTATGGCAATAATTGTTTCAAAATAGTTGGTACATAGGCAAACAAACAAAAAAAAACAAAAAAAAATTGTCATATCTCTCTCTCTTTTTAATTATCTAAATATCTTGATCGATTATAATTAATCAATGTATAATCAACTAATGTGATCAATCATTCGAAACCAAAAAAAAAAAAAAAAAATAAAAAATAATGGAAAAAACAAGGTGAAGAAAAAAAACATAAACAAAACAAAACCATTTTCAATCGATCATAAATGATGATTTGAACGAACAAAAAAAAATTCATCTAGACAAAATTTGAAAAAAAGGCAAAATTTTTTTTCTGGCAGCATTATTACCTACCTTTCTCTCTCTCTCTCTCTATTTCTCTCTTTATTTTACCGTATAGCCAATAAAACATACACACACATGTGAAAATGAAAAATGATTTGACAGATTTTCAAGGATATATTCAACAAGTTTTGAATATCGTATACACACACACACACACACACACACACACACACACACACACACACACAAACACAAACCTATCGACAAATCGGCCCAAGTTCAAGAATGAGGAAAAAATAGCGTTAAATTAATTTTTGATGAAAATTAATGGCCAGAAAAAAAATACCTGGACCATCATCATCAATTATATTCAAGACTGATGACAATTCATAGTAATAATAATTAATTAATTAATTAATTAACTTTCAATTGTAATCAATCAACATCAATGATTTAATTGAACAAGATCATAATCATCATCATCAATCGATCGATCGATCGATCAAAAGTGAGAATCTCTATTTAAATTTTTTTTTTCATTCAATTATAATAACTGTGTTGTATGGAAAAAAAATCATTTTTTTCCTTTTTTTTTCGTTTAATTTCGTCAATCAAAATTGAATTTTGAAGAAAAAAAATAATTTTCTAGCAATTGTGGCAATTTTCGTTTCATCTCAATCTTCATTCATTTTTTCATTAAATTAAATTTAAGAAAAAAAATAATTTAACCAATTTTTTTCGCTGTTTGTGTCTTCTACAAACATTGACCGATTGTATGTGATTATTGTATTGATTTAGACATTGAATTACCTGTCATATAATAAAAAAAAAGTACACACACACACACAATAATGATGATGAATGTAATTTTTGTTTGCGTATAAATAAATGATTCAGGGATCGATAATTCACATCGAAAATAACCAGTTTTAAACTGGTTATTTCCGTTCAAAATGATGATAGGAAACGTTGTGAAACAAATAGATTTCAATTGTATGGTAAGTAAATTTACACAAACAATATTGACGTCTTTGAAATTGAATTGACCACTACATAGATTGGATGAATTTGAAAAAAGAACAAAACAAAAACAAAATCACATGAAGCAATCAAAATTAAATACAGCATATATCTCCCTCTTTTTTTATGTGATTAGATAGATTTTTGATTGATTTCTAAGAATTTTCTTTTTAAAAATTTCAATTGAAAAAAAAAATTAAAAAATCATCATTGAAATCATATGTTGAAATGATTAGACAATTATATCGAAAGAAAACCCCTTTTTTAAAAAGATGGCCAAGGTTGATCAATTGGAATTTCCAACCATGAAAATGATTATAATTGATTAGATCATAATATAGATGTTGATGATTATTGAAAAATTTAATGTAAAATCCCTCTAATTACAGTAGCAATATTTTACGAATTACAATGTTTCTTGATTGATTTAAAAAATTTATATATATTCGAATTCGATACTATCGATTATTGTTTCGTATAATCACGTGAGTGACGCCGATTATTGATTTGGCACATTTTAAATAAAAAATAAACAATTTTCTGAAGCATGGCCTCAAATAATGATGATCATTTAATGATTCTATCGAATTTGAATCGTAGCTCTGGATCATCATTATATACTTTTGGTGATAATATTGTCCAATGTTCATTGTTCGGACCGAATCCAATCACTTCGAGTCAGAATTTATTAAAAAAAAATTATTTTGTCATTTTACTTTATCCATTGGGTCAGATTAAAAATCTAACCAAAGGTCTGTACGCCATATTAATTTGAATAATTCAATGCTAACGATTCTATGTATTCATAGATAAATCCTTGTTTTACTATGAATTCTTTTTTAAAAGGACATTTAGCCCAATGGTCTATCATGCATTATTACCTCGTTCTCGTACATACATCATATTGAATGAAATTGAAAAAGGAAGTTCATTCTTATCTACATCATTGAATGCAATCACATTATCATTGATCGATTCTGGATATCCATTAAATTATTGTATTGGTACATGTGGTCTAATTTTGGACAAAAGGGATAAGAAAATTTATCAAGAAAAAGAATTCATAGAGAAATGTACGAAAAATGTTCGTTCATATGAACCAATCACATTTACATTCGAAACATGTGACTTTATCAAAGCCAAATTTCATATATCGAATAAGAATACCGATTCAAAAACCGTATCAATTTTAGCTGAAGGTAAATTCTCCTTGAACGATGTATTCAAAGCTCAAGAACAATCATTGGATTGGACGGCATCATTTCTTAAATCGACATCACAAAAAATAAGCAAACGTTTTGTTTAATGTTTTTTTTTATAAATTTGTATCAAATTTATTTTTTCATGAAATAAAATGTTTTAAAACAATTTACAAAATTATTGTAATGGAAAAATGGATTCATTTACCATCTAAAGATGTTTTTGTTCGAACTAAAGCCATGACTAAGATACAGAGACCAAAAATAGAGCCAACAATCAATAATGGTTCTTGTAGAAGATAAAATGGTTTATAATTATAATGTAATTCAAATGGTTGTATATGCCATTCGACAAGATTCTTTTTGGATAATACGATTACTGGTCGGCCAATTGTATCAAGATAACTGTAGAATATTTCATCTGATTCACGTTTAACATCATATGGATGATTCAAACGGAAATTATTTGCACCTTCAGGCAGAATAATTTTAACGGTTGCCTGATCAATGATCATATTGTCATAGATGTGATCGATAAATGGCATACGTAGAATGTAATCACCGTTAGTTAATGTATTTGTATCCAATGCAAACAAGTTATTCTTGGCAGGTAGTGTATATCCAAGTATATATTTAGTTTTCCAACCACCAAACAATGGAAAACGTGGCTTTATATCAACATAAACAGAAGATGAGCTTACACGTACGTTACTAGTGCTAATGTTTCCAATTTCATCACGATAATAAATGTCATGAGCTCCGGCAGGCAATCGAGTTTTCCATGAACGAATCGATGAAACACCATTGGAACCTGGTTCTCGTTGATATTCATATCGAGAAAATGGTCCCTTAAGTTTGGCCCCCGTGTGAACGACATCCAACATTTCTTCCACGGAAATTGCTCCAGCCCAATGTGAAATCTGAATAGTACGGCTAAGATTTTCTACGGTCAAAAATGGTGTATTGTTTTCCACATGAACACGAAGTTCTTCATTTCCTGATGTAGCAGCATCGTTGGTTGGTGGAATCTTGTCATACGGCCCATAGTTGATATTTCGATCAGAATAAGTGACTGGCCGCAATTTAGTATACGATTCTGCACCGGTACTTGATGGCAATCGGACACGTGTAGTTTGTGTCTCGGTCATATAAGGTGTAGGAAAATAAATTCGACCATTATAGATGACCAATTGACGATCAGCCTGGTTGATTTCGACCGGGTATGGATCCAATAAATGAGCAAATGCTGCCTCAATTTCCAATGTAGCCGAATTACCCGATGGGATTGCATAATCATCTAGATGAATTTTATATGACGCAAACGATGAATCAGCGTTGTGATATTTGGAAACTTTCAGTACATCTTTCTTTTTAGTTTCAACTAGTGTAACCGATAGATAAGAAAGATTTTCATCGTGATGTTTATCGCCAAATTGTATGAGATATTCTTTCACTGCTTGACTACCCTTATTCAATACCACAACTTGTGATGTAATCGTAACCAATTGACTACTTATATCAATTGTTCGTTCAACTTTTGCATTGATGATATTGTCATTCGATGCTGATATGACCGATCCAAAATGGAATGAACAAGAGATTGACAATAAAATGCTTATAGCCAAAAATTTCGAAGAAGAAAACATTTCGGAAAAAATTAATTCGCTAAAATAGAATAAATTATCAACAATCAAATGTTCAAATATTTATTAAAAATATTACCATTCAAGGTGAAATCAAGAATCGATACAAAACCAAAAACATAATAATATTCCACGCCGGCAAAAAAAAACACACAATGACCAAATGATATAAAATGACAATCATCTATTTTATGAATAGCCCACTCTTTACATGTTCTGACGTGTCTTTGCCAGCTTTATAAAGCGAAAGTGATATTCATCAGATGTTTTGATTGTGTGGTTATAATACACGGCATTATTGACGAGAACATTTCAACTACGGTGAGTACTCGTTTATATTGCCACAAAATCCAAGTTTTACTGTATTTTCATACATATATGTGAAGCAATTCGAATAGCTGATTTACCTGTTCTCTGTAAGGTTGTTATTATCAAGGATATCTTCATTTTTAATAATCATGATGATCGTCGTTAAGAGTTTTGTTCGTCCATTTTTTTATTTATGACGCAGTAGAAAAATATTATTTGCAAATAATTTTCAAAAATAAACAAATATTTAAAAAATGGTCGAAAAACAAAAAGATCAAAAAGTTATTGATTTTATGTTTGACCCATTTTTGGTTGAATACAATTTTCCCGGTCCATTTGATAGAACCAGTGATGATGATGATGATAATGGCAAGAATCGTAAGTCATCCTCGATAAAATTGATCCAAAATTAATCCTAAATTATTTAAACAGAAAAAGAATTGACTAGCGAACAGATTGAATCAAAACGTTTAGAGATTAAAGCAATAGAATTGGCTGATAAAAGTCACTATGAACAAGCATTCGATTATTTTGAACAAGCTTTAAGCTATTGGCCAGAAAATGCATCAGTTTATAATAATCGTGCACAAGTTTTTCGTCTTCAGAATCGAATAGATGATGCCCGTCATGATCTGGATAAAGCCATTCAATTGAGCGATAGTGATGGAACAAATTTGGATCATCATGTCGCTAGACAAGCATATTGTCAACGAGCATTGATTCATTTGTTGAAAGAAAACAAAGAAATTGGTCTAAAAGATATGCAACGATCAGCCGACCTTGGCAATCGATTTGCCAGTGCCTATATGGCTAAAATGAATCCATATGCTGCTCTTTGTAATCATATGCTTCAAGATATGTTCAAACAATATGAACAACAGACGTCTACTTCATCGAAACCTTAATCGGGCATCAAACTTCAAAAAAAAGAACAAATTGGAAATCATCGAAATATCCATCCATCAATCCATTCATTCTATTTCTAAAAAATTTTACTTATTGTGTGTATTGGCTTTTATAATGATGTAATGATTGTCATTATGTCCTTGACATATGAAATCTATTAGAGATTTATTATATTTGTTTACAACAAAAAAAAGAATGAAAATTTATAGTAAATTTTTCCATTTTTCATTTTCGGTAAGTTTAGAGATGAAAATTTTATGCATTTATTTTCTGGTCCAATAAAGAATTCTTTATCTTTACATTTATTGTGAAAATTTTGTTGTTGTTGTTGTTTTTCCCATTTTCTAATTCGAATACTAATCAGTCAGATTTAAATTAGTCTTGTTTCAAGAATAAATGCGAAAAAATGATGTAAATCTTAGTGCATATTTTTTTTGCATAAAATAAAGAGAAAAAAGTTATTGAAGGCCAAAAAAACAAAACAAAAAAAAACATGAAGAGTCAAAAAGAATTGCATCACTTGTCATTATCTCTTTCCTAATATTCCTTCTTAAGAAATGTGTTTCAAACAAAATAACAAAAATAAAGTTCATTCATGGTTGATGGTTACATTGCCATTTTAGACGATGTGATCCAAGTAAAAAGTTGTATGTTTATTTTAAGTTCATTTTCATTCTATTGCTATTATGATTAATATTGAAAAGTTGGAGAAAAAATGGAAGCTTCTTGAAGATGAAGCTCCACGTATTAAAGGACCTATTACACATTTTAATCCGCTTCTTGAACCACCAGATTGGTATGATGTTGAACGATTTAAACGATCACAGAAATTGGCCAGAAAATATTTTTTAAGGTAAATATCATCATTAAAAATTATTTTTTAAAAAAAAATTTGAATGTTAATCAATACAATTTTAAATAGTTTGAATATTGCACATTTTATCGGCAATATTTTATTGATTCATCTACCTGATGTACTTGTTCCGGTTATTGCTACTGGTAATTCTTCAACACCATTCCGTGTATTCATGCGAATCTTATCGACTGTCATTCATATTTTATCATGGTACGATGAAGATCCATTTGATGCGACAACCAAAACACATCAATCAATGATCACTGTACGTCGTAATTGTCATATGGCCGTTTCACGATTAATGAATAATAAATATCCACGACCCAATCGATATTGGTTAAGTCAATTTGATATGGCCATGACACAATGGTCACTAATTGGTATTGTTGGTATCCGACCGAATCAATGTGCATTCTTTGGTACAACTGAAAAAGAATTTGAAGAATATTTCTATTTCTGGCGTGTAATCGGTTATTGTGTTGGCATTGAAGATCGTTTCAACATCTGTTTTGGTGTTGAAGGCTATGAAGAAACAAGAGAATTTCTTGACATTTGTTTTCAACGATGCTATAAAGTACATTTGGATAAACAAAGTGCACCGGTTGTAATGGGCATGAATCTTACTGAAGGTGTTTTCTTGGCACTTGAAGGAGCTGCACCAAGATTTTTAATTTGTTATGAAAGTTTCATGAAATATTGGTACGATACATTGGGTGTACGACATCCAATCAAATTAGATACATTCGAAAGAAAATTAAATTATGCTATTTTCATATTCGTAATGGAATATGTATTACGAATACGATTATTTTACATTATATTTTCATGGTTATTTTTCTATTTGCAACAAAGATTGTTTGGCCAAATTGAACAGGTGAGAAAACATTGTGAACAACATTATGTAAATATAAAATATCAACTTGATAGTGAATATTTTGATTACAATGATCAACAACAACAACAACAACAACAACAGCGAAATCATATGGATTTAGATATAAACGAAAATCCAATCGATTCTATTGATGATGAATCGTGCAAAAAAGAATCCATATCGGATAAAAAATATTATGAAATTGATAACTATTTTTATCGGCCAAATGTCAAAGAATAATAAATTTTCAGGTTTGTAAGATTCACATTCATTATAATCGAACGCTCATACTGTTATACAATTTATCTATTTATATTTTATTTATTTATTTATAATCCAGAATTTCAATACAAACAAAACAAAACAACAACAACAACAACAACAACAAAAATAAAATTGACAAAATACTTGAATAATAATAATAATAAAAAAATGTGTAAAACACAACGACAACAACAACAACAACAACAACAAAAATTGATGATAAAAATAGTGAATTGTTTGTTCCGCTTGCAAGTTGATTGTTGCATTGTATACATAAAAAAAATTCCATTGAATGAATGAATTTCTGATGATTTAGTGAATGATGATTATGATAATGATGATGATGATGATGATAATAATGTGGCTACAGAGCTACATGTCGATAATATTTGAACCAAATTTCAATGTTCGACCCATAATAATAAACCAAATATAATAATAATAATTTCCAATAAAAATCAATGAGCAACAGCGTAAATGGACAAAAAAAAAAATGGCTATTTTTTCATATATATATTCATATTATTATTGAATGTTGAGATCATCACCAATCTGTTGCTGGTAAACAAAAACAAAAAAAAAAAAAAATTATTTTTCATTGTTTAAAAAAATGAATGAAATAAATCACTTACCACGACGACCATAAATAATTTCTGATTTTAGATATTTTTTAGGAAATGATGTATAATATCGTGGTGAATATGATGATGATGCTGATGATTCAATTTTTTTCGTATTAAAATATTGATCAAATCGTCGTTTTCTTATTGTTGGCATTGATTCTTGCATTGGTGATCTGTATAATGATGAAACATCAAAACGACGATTATTTTCATCAACATCAACACCATCATCATCAGTGATGGTAGTGGTAAAATATTTTTTTCGATATCTAGGATCAATATAACCGGTTCCTTTGGTTTTAACAATAATACCATCTTCTAGATAGCCTTCATTATCATCACCAACAATTCTATAGCCAGCACGTACAGGTATATCAATGTAATCTTGTCCAGCTTGTAATTGATTATTGAGGCCTAAGGTTTAAGGTAACACAAAAAAAACAACAAGAAAAGATTAGAAAAATTAGATTATACAATGATTATCAGCAGTATAATTATTTTTATATAATGCTGACGATGACGATAATAACACCACAATTGAATCAGAGACAGAGAGACAGAGAGACAGTGAAAGAAGAAAAAAAAATCCAACAACTTGTTTTTAATCTCAATTTGATATTTTGGCGAACAAAAAAAAGAAGATAATTATCTTCATTTGGATTTTGCCATTGTTTCAAACAATCAAAAACAAAATTAGTTCATGATGATGATTGTAATGCTGAAAACAGAAATTTTATTTTGTCACACTTTCACACGCACACATCTATTACCTTCAGCATAAAAAACATAATACCTAGTAGTAGTAGTAGTAGTGACCTATTCAACTAAAATTAACGAAACAAAAGACAATGACATCGTCATCAAAAAAAAAAAAAAAAAAAAGTCACTTAATTGTCTTCGACCATAATGGTGTGTGACACCTGATCAGAAAAAAAGAGAAAGTGTTTTCCATTCAATTATGATTACCAGAAAAAAAACACCATAAAAATTGCCAAATAAAAGTTTCCAAGATAGATTGACAATCGATTTTTTTTTGTGAAATTCAGGAAAAAAACTATCGAAACAGAAAAAGAGAGAGAGAGACATTTTATATATGGTTATATATTGAAATTGTTTCGTTTTTTTCCTTCTGCCACTGATTTTGGTGCATTTTGGTTCAAATTCGGTTTCAAATATCTTGATTGTCATTTATGTTCAACTCATCATCATCATCATCATCAGGATCATGCTTCCGCATCATAAACATTCGTTTTTTTCCAAATCAGTCATTGCCTTTTATCCCAAAACATATATTCAAACAACAAAACAAATGAATGAATGAATGAAAAATTGGTGAAACAAGCCATTGTTAATGTTGCAGTATAAATGACACATATAACGAGTTGGCTATATATATAATTACAGATGAAATTTTTTTTTTTCGTTTCAAACAAATTTCAACGTCACTCGTCAATATAATTATAAATACGATATATATCAACATTTATTCACTAGTTTCTAGAGACAAAAAGGTTAAAAAAAAATCTGAGAAAAAAAGGAGAAAGTTTTTGGAAACCCTGTTTTGTTATTTTTTTTCGAAAAAAATAAATAATTTCAAATCATGATCAGCGCTAGAAGCAAAAACAAAAAAAATGTCAAGAACGATCATTTTTTTTATCGATGCTCCATATAGCGATTTTAGTTTATTGAGTGCTTTCAATCATTTCATCAATTTCAATCATCAATAAAGGTTATCCTTACCTTGACTACGTTGAGCCAATGTTATTGCCGTAAAACATGATGACAATATTGATAATAAACTGATGATTGTCGACATTCGTATCGATATGGCAGAATTCATTTTTGTTGATTTTTTTTTTGTTCGTATTTTATATGTGGAATAATTGAGAAAAAAAATTCCTCGTGTAACTCGTTTTTATCTGGAGAGGAAAAGAGAATAAAGTAAACTTTAACACCATTAAGATGGAAAAAATTTTAACAGCAACAAATGAAAATGAAAAGAAAATTAGACAAAAAAAAAAAATGAGAACAAATAACTGAAATGATGAAAAACGATACAAAGCGAAAAAAAATTCGGCAGCACCAAAAAAAACACACACACACTGAACAAAACACATTCAACAGGCATACATTTTTCTATTTTATTTTTCCTATTATTTAGAATGTAAACCCAAACTGATCGATTGGCTATGATCATCGCGTCATCATCTTCATCATCATCATCATTTCACTTGACGATGAAAATAAAATAAAAATAAAAAATGACAATAGAACCAAAATTGGTTATATTTTTAAAATTGCAATTTAGCCAATCAACCACTATTGGTAGTGGTGGGGGTAAAGGGGAAAAAAATACGAAAAAGAATACAAAAAACAAACAAACAAACAAACACCAAAGATACACACGAACATTAACTATTTTTGATGTGATGATTATGATGATTTTTCAATGATCGGACTATTATGGCATAAAATAAACACACACACACACACACACGTACACCTTAAAGTAGACAAAGAACTGACTGACCGAATTTGGAACTTTATTTCAATGATGATGATATTAAAGTTGATATTGATATCAATATCGTTTTCATTAAAATGATTCCAATATGAATGTAGTACAGTTTTATCCGTTTGTTGATGGCAAAATGTGACTAACCCGATGATGTGATGTTTATTATGATGATCAGTTTCGATGTTTTTCATTCATTCATTCATTCATCGCGACTAATAGTCACTATATGTTCGTTTGTGATTTTGTACAATTGTCGAAGCTCTATGACGTTTATTTAGTATTTTTTTTGTTGTAAATAAAATTTTTTTCTTTACACTATAGAAAATGAGAAAAAAAAGAGAGCGAACACGAAAGAGATCTCTCTCTCTATATTTCTCTGCCTTTGAACTGAATTGGGTTATTATATGTATATATGAATAAAAACATTGTGCACCAATAATAATATCATCATCATCATCATCATTCAATTTTTTTTTTCGTCGAAACGTTTAGATCTAGAAATGAATGGCAAGAAAAGAAAATGAAAACAGTGAAAAAAAAGACAATGCCCGATTGATGATGATGATGATGATGATGACGATGGTGAAGAGAAAGTATCTAAAAATGAGACTTTTGTCATCATCATCATCATCATCTGTATAGTTATGATGATTTAAAATGAGTGAAAGTTTATGATTTGAGAGAGAAAATTGCCATCCATTCATTTATTCGTTTGAATTTAATAAAGTTCAAAACCGAAAGAGCAAAATATAGAGATTTTGGTTTTTTTTCGGCATTTTACTGATCATCATACAATGTCTTGATCAGTAAATTGTCCCAGAAAAAAAAGAGATCAATTTCATTGAAAAAAAAATGAAATTTCGTTTTTTTTTGTTGTCACAAAATATCAATTATCATCATCGTTAATTTTTTTCACCTGATTGAATTTTATCACCTGTTTATGTAAATAAATCAATCAACCAATAAATTATGTTTACTCCTTAATCATTTTTTTTTGTTAATCATCATCAGGTAATTTAAAAAAATGACTTGTTGATGAGAAAAAATAAATGTTAAAAGATAAACAATCATAATGATGACAATCTGAATTTTAAAAAAAAAATTAATGCCTCGACATCTTTATTATCAAATTTCATTAACTTTAATACATCCTGGATCCGTTTTCTGATTTCCGATTAATTTATCAAACAAAATCTATCCATTCATCAAGTTTTGATTAGATTGACTGATATCAAAATAACAGGTAATAATCAACAGATGAACAATAACAAATAATCATTGGTGATGTTTTTTTGTTTTGTTACAAATATGTGCATATTTTTGTTATCAAGATTTGAAAATCCAGGATTTTTTTTCATGATTGAAATCTCTACCGCATCATTTGATATATATGAAGAGATGATTCGAATCAAATATCTCGATCGAGAGTTGCCCATGGTGATCGTAATAATGATTATAATTTGCTAGTGATCGCTTGATAATGAAGATATGTGCAATCCATGGTAATGTTCAATTCATTCAATGTTTTTTTTTGTAATCGAGAAAAAAAAATACTAAACGGAAATATTTTTCATGTTTTTTCTTCTAGCATTCGGTAATCATTTTAACCATCTTCATCATCATCATCATCATCATCAACATTAAATGTTTTTGAAAATGAAACTTGAAAACATACAACTTGTTGTTGTTGTATCCGTATCATATACACCGTGATCATCTTTGAATGAACGATGGAAAGATGATCATCAGTATAATGATGATTACCACGTATTAAATCATTTTGTTTGTACATGGATTTTATGTTGATTTTAAAACGAAACAAAACAAAAAAAAATCACAGAAAATTCAATTCAAAATAAAAAAAAGGAAATTAATTACCCAACAACAAAATGTTACGCTAAATGGATGGATTTTCCAGGAACTATTACAATAATATATATACGCGGAACACCAAACTACAACAACAACAGCAACAACAACAACAAAACTGACAAGATGGTCAGTATGTTTGTCAACAAACAAACAAAACAAAACAAAAAAATTATGACAAACAATTTTGGATTGTCCTGCAACAACAGGATCATTTTACAAATCAGTTTCTGTTTTACTGTTTTGAAAATTTTTGTGTATTATAACCACACCGTCATTGTATTCACGATGATGAACTAAAACATGTCGGTCATGGAATATTGTTTGACTGTTGGCAAAGATAAATGAAAGCATGTCTAAATTTATGATACATTCATTCATTCATTCATTCATTGTAACTTGTCATGGATTGGCAAAAAGAAAAAAAAATAATTCGCCAATATTAAATCGTTAAATATCTGTATATTATCATCTTCGTGTTTGAATAAAGTGAGAAACCGCAAAATGAAAACATTGCATGTTTTTTTTATGTTGAAAAAAACCCGGATATTATCATATTAAAGAAGAAGAAGAAGAAGAAGAAGGTGAAAATCTTTTCGATGGTTGCAAATGTGTTTTTTTTTATTTTCAGCAATTTACAAAATTCATTCATTCATTCATTTACCTAAAATTAGTTCGATAGTTAAATAAAATTTGATTTTCTTCCTCAATTTTTTTTTCTTTTCCATCTTTCATCATCATCATCATCATCATGATCTAAATCAAGGTGTGATCTATATAGAAAAAGATCGATATGATAATAGTATCGATTGTCTTGTCTATACTATAGTATCTTGTGTTTGTTGATTCGATTAAATTTTTTTTGTGGCAATGTGTGTGTGTGTGTATACACACCTATTTCATTTTATTGCATCAAGAAAAAAAATTGCCACAAACACATACACACACACATACGAATAAAATAATGGTAGCAACGATCATCAACGAACTGTTTTGTGTATAATGTAACATCATCGTCATCATCATCATCATTATCACATCCAATCTCAATTTCCTTTGGTTTTACTTTCAATGTACCACTGTACTACTTTTCTCCTGGATGAAAAAAATAACGTTTTTTTTTCCAAAGTTTCGATTCAATTCTATTTTCTATTATTATATATAAGAAGATTGTTTATAATTGAGTAATCTTCTTAGCTACTTTTTTCATGTTAATTTACTCTTTGTTTTGTTTTTTTTTACTACTATGTGTGTTGAATCAAAATCAAATTGGCTAAAAAAACTAAATTTATCATCTTGATTGGTTTTCTCTCTCTCTCTCTCTACCTCTCTCTATTCCTTTCTCTTGGTTTCAATGTTTATGATTGATTAGAGTTTTTTTTTGTTTTGTCCATAGAAAAAATAAAAATTCGTTTAGAATGACGTAACAAAATGCAAACTTTTCATCTTCAATCGGAACAATATGCAGGCTTTGTGTATTGGAAAACCCAAAAAAAAAAATTTAATTAAATTTCATAAAACAAAAAAAAACTAGATCAAATCCAATGATAGATAAATAATCGCCGTTGTGTGTTAATTGATTTGTCCGGCTTATTATTATGAGGGAAAAAAATTTTTACAGCTTCAAAAACACAAAAAAAACGAGATCAACAATTGTCGATTGTCGATCGGTTAATCTATTTGGAAGGAAAATGTAAATTATAGCTTTGCAACAAAAAAAAAAATAATAAAACGCAAAACAAAAACAATTGCCGCTTTTATTCGACATGAAATTGAAAGCTATGAACATATCACATACACTTGACACCTGTTCATATCCAAATGAACGAAAAAAAAGAAAGAAAAAATTCATCAATCAATCAAATGATGTTCGTCGTCAATAAATATTCAATGGTGCCAAAACACTTTTAATTGCTTTGGCTTTCGTTTTGGATTTGTGTTTTTTTTTTTTTTTGAACATTCAATTGATCGATATGCAAACTTATTCTTCAACCATGGAATGATTGATTGATTTATCAATCGAATTGAACTAAAAATGTAAATTTTTTCTTTTCTACACTACATGAGAAACGATAAAATGAGGAAGTCAGTCAATGAGGTTTCATTATAAATGATCATCATTATAAAAGTAATTTGTGGCCGGCTGTCGTTGTGTGATGATCATCATGTGATTTAAGTGAAGGGGTGTTGATTTTCGTTAAGAATCACCATTGAATGTTTATTATCGATTGTTTTTTTTTCATTCACTCATCTTTAGGCTAATTAGTTGATAAAAATTGAAAATGAAATTCAAAAAAAAAAACTTTGATGGATGATGATGGAAGCAACAAAAAAAATTTTTTTTTTCAACAACAACATTATTGTAAATGAACTGTATTATTAAGGAACAAAAATTATAAAAACACACATAAATGTTGCATTGCCATAGTGAAATAAACTCTTTTTTTTCAGATCATCAAACATACATGAGGAAACAAAAAATGTAAGGTAATCGCAAACAGACAAAAAAAAATGAAATCTGGCCATCCATCCATTTTCAAACATTAACAATAATAATCAAATTATTATTATTAACAACAACAAATGAATCATTGAAATTGAAATCATTAACTTTTTATTATATCATCATCATCATCATCATCATCATAATAATAATAATAAATGAAACTAAATCGAAAATAAATGGAAAAAACATTATTTTACATGTGAATATTGATAATGATAATGATAGAAATGGATTACCTGAAAAAAAACATTGCATTTTCCATTATAGATTATAATTAAATCTACAAACTAATCTAATTGATTCAACCAAAATCCACAGTGGTCGATAATTGAATTTTTTTTTTTCTAATTTAAATTTCAACGATTCACTGTGTCATACATTTGCCATCTTCACATCCAAACGGGCAAGCATCTTCAGGACTAGCCTGATAACGTCGAACCATTGGACAACGATAAATAATATCGGCTTTACAATCAGCACCTTGTAAATCGGATCCACAATATTTCTTTTTACGTGCCAATTGTGGTGGACAATAACATTTTGCATTCTGATAACAGGCATTTCCTTGAATATAATATTGAAAATGAAATTACAATAATAATAAAATAAAACATACATAAACATAAACTAACCTCCATTCAATCTTTGATCACAATTGACACCTGGTTTACAGGTTTTCAATAATACAGCAATGGATTTAAGATTTGATTTACCACATAAATACATATTTGTACTGCATTCATTGTTGGGATTTTTTTCATTCAATGTAATACCACAATATTGGCCAAAATATTTTACATCGCATATACAATTTTCTGTAGAATTATTCTGTGATGAAACATTGGTCAAATATTCATTTAGAATTAGAGCTGATATGATAATCAATATCGATAATAATGAATGGCAATGAAAAGCCATTGTTGACGTATGGATGATTGACGAAATTTGAAATGAAAAAAAAAATAGAATGAACACAACAAAGGAAAAAAAAGAAGAAACACAATTCCAAAAATCAGACTGAATAATAATAAATCTAAACTTTAAACATGCTCTGTGTTATTTTATGAATCGATTTTTGAGTTTCTGTCATAAATGAAGGTCGTCGTCATAAATTTTATTTTTATTTTTATTTTCATTTTATATATACGTCTTTTCGTTCGAATGAATGAACACAAATGTGTGTATAGAATAAATTGAATGGAATAGACCTGAAATGATAAAAAAAATGAAACAAAAAACAACCAATAATAATTTAGAATTTTTTTTAAATCACAACGATTATGATGACAATAATCATATAATCATCGATAAAACAATCGATTACAGAATTTTCATCATCATCATCATTATTTTTATGATGTAAATGTTTATGTTTTTTTTTATTCATTTAATTTTGAAGATTATTTTGTTCTTCAAAATTCAAACATTATGATGATAAAAACACTTGAACTTTGTCTATGATCAAACTATGTCCTTTTTTCTGACCATTGACAAACAAATAAACAAACAAACAAAAAAAACATGTTAAACAAACACAAATAATCTATTGATCTAGTGATCGATCCAGGTAATACAACATACAGTCATATATGATTTGCAAAAACATATAACAATGACCTTTGTTTATGCCAAATAAACATGAACATAAAATACAAACAAACGAAAACATGATTGATAGATGATGAATGTCGTGTACACATGGCTTCAAATTGATGGCCGATATTTTTTTTCTGATTTATGATATATCAATATCAATTATATGGCCACATAAGACCAAATTGACCGAGAAACTTGGGCAAATAAAAAAAAAATTTTTTTTTCGATTTTCGACATAAACTTACATAAATGTTGATGATAATCATTACTTTCGGTGATGAATTATTATTCAAATTGAATTAGTAATAGATTGACCAACTAAACTGATGAACTTATTATTATTATTATTATTTTTTGAATGGTACAAATCATCGTACAAATAAACATCTAAATCCATGCAATGGTCATCATCATCTTTATCGATAAAATAATAAATTTTAACAGCAAAATCATTCATTGATTATGGATTTCATCGATTATATAAATATACAGGTCAAATTTTTGATTTTCCTGATAATTTGGGATTTTTTCCATCAGTGTATTCATTCATTCATTCAAAAAAATGCTTAGGGAAAGTCCTTGATCATCACAATGTCAATACTATAGTGCAATTTTGTTAAGTGAAATAATCATCATCATCATAGATTTAATGTTCCATGAAATGAAATGAATTTAGAATATTTCAGCAATGAAAATTAAATAAATGAAAAATGCGTGCCGAATGGTCATCAACGATAATGAATAATCATAGAGAGAAAAAAAATCCTTGAAAATCCATCATTTTTGTGTGTGTGTTCACAAGCGCAGCAAAAAAAAATTTCGAATAGACAAATGACAGATTTTATTTCATTTTTTTTTTTCATAAAATCATTTTCTCATTTGAATATATTTAATTTTGTCATCAACGAAAATTACAGAACAGCGGTAATTATGGAAACATTTTTTTTCACCTGTACTATTATAATGATGACAAAGTGACTGACTGGTGAAACTGGTAAAATCTATGAAACATGTCAACAACAGAAAACAAAAGAAATCTGCTGTCATCAATTTTTTTCTGTCATTAATCCTCTCTATTGACTGGTATATTGTAGACGAAATCATTTCATGACATTTTAAATTTTTTGTTTTACTTTTGCATTGTTTGTAGCCATTTCTACCTTTGTTTTATATATTCCTTTGTTTTTTTTTCGTTATTTTTTTTTGTTTGTTTGCATCGAATTACTTTTTTTTGAGTTGATGAAAATAACAACAGTTGTGGAGCAAAAAAAAATCCCATTTTTTGAACAACAATCAAAAAAAAAAAGAAAAAGCTATCATCATTGTTCAGTGCTTTAATAAAATCAATGAATGAAAGTGTCAAATAAACACCGGGTAATGACAAAACAATTTGGCTCGATAACAGATGAAAAAAAAAAAAAAACAAAACAAAACCAATTTGGCTTTCATACAAATTAGATGAATTAATTGTATTTGTAATTGTAATTTTTTCCTCTCATAATTGCCTTTAAAGTGAAATATCAAATTGATCTATTTATCGATATGATCATTTTCGGTGTAGTGAAATAAATTAAAAAAAAGTTTACTTGGCAAAAATTTTTCAATGAAAAATTACAATTCTTGTGGAAAAAAATAAACGAGTCACGTAATAACGTTTTTTTTTAAAAGAAGAAAATTGACTTTCAATATTGGAAAAAAAAATTTTTTTCCGCTGTTCTGTATGTGTGACATTCATTTATTCATATAATATATCTGGATAGTGGATTTCAGTAGAATGATCGAAAATTCAATTCCCAAGAATGATAAAAAGAATGGTACGTATATGGTGGAACAAAACAAAACAAAAAAACGTTGCCATTCTATTTATTTATTTATTCTTTAATTTTCAGCCAATTCTTGTTTTTTTTCCATAAACAAGACGGAAAAGAGAAAAAAAAATATTTTCAACTTTATGTAAAGTCATCAACATCATCATTTTTTTATATGTTGAATATATACAGAATATTCTGGTGTATATAAAATTCATCATACAATACAATATATAGTCTTGTCCTAATTATACATATATAAAGAGAATAGTAATAGAAAAAAAAATGCAGAATAAGTTCTGTTTTTTTTTTGTTTTTGATTGGACAACAACCATCGGTTTTTTTTAGTGTATTTGTATTTGTATTTGTGTGTGTGTGTGTGTGTTTGTTCTTTTTTTTGGTTTTTTGTTAAAATTTTCATATATATAAAAAAACATATAGAAATTTCAATGGAAAAGGAATATTTTAAATTTCAAATTTGATTTTCATGGTTAGTTTAGTTTAGTTTAGTTTCAAGTCAAATTCTTTTTTGTTTGTTTGTTTGTCTTTTTTCAGTTTTTTCTTTCATCTCTTCTTCGTTACATTACAACAAACAAAGATGGTGAAGAAAAAAAAATTCACAACCAAAATTGCAAAGTTAATCAGATTTTTCTGTTTTTTTTTCTAGATTAATGTCGTCGTAAAATTCTGTAAATATATGAACGGGAATAATTGGGTTTTGTTTGTATGTGTGTGTGTGTGTGTGCGCGCAATGACTAAGTAGCCAGCCTGAATTATTGAATGATGACACTTTGTTGGTATTTATTTTAAAATTGGCCAAATTCTTAAAATTGGAAAATTTTATATTTCTGGTTTTTGTGTGGTTTTCATGGCTTTACAATTGGACACATTCTGCAAACACACACACACACACACACACACACCTGCACTTAGATATTTATTTATTTTGTATTAGTAAGCAGTTTTTTTTCATTTTTGGAAACCTTAACAAACATCTAGCAGACTAATGGACATTTGAAATCATTCGGAATTTTATCACACCAATGTTCCACAATTTTTTCGGGTAGTATGTGAAGATTGGGTTTCTCTTTCTCACTCTCTCTATATACGGAAAGAAAACTGTTCAGCATCGTATTTTTTTTTTGCAAGCACAGCATTTGATAAATTAATCTATCTGATGGAAATTCTGTACTAGTTAGTTTATGCTGTATGTATGTTGTTGATTTTTTATGGTATTTTTTTTGCTAAATTTTTTTTTCTTGTATGGTTTTTCCATGTGGTTGGTTGATTGGTTGATTAACATTAGGAATGATTATCATCATCATACACATTGATGGATCCTGTTTTTTCCCGATATCTAAATATGAGAGATGAAAATGTACAAAATTAAAAAAAAATGCAAAAAACACGTAACATATCGAGTAACAACAGTTAACGAAGATAGAACGATTTTGATGAACGATTTTTTTAAGGCAAAATTTTTGGTCCCAAGATTTTTTTCAGGATAACATCAAATAATCAAGATTATTATCAATCGAAATTGGTTTCTCGTGTTCATTCGTTGTCATTTTGATCCAATTCAAATATTTCGGTACATTCGTATAGATTCCAGGCAATTGTGGTTGTGCACAATTAATACCCCAAGAAACAATTCCGGCAACAAACCAGCTTTGATCTTCATTATAACATAATAAAGGACCACCACTATCGCCTTGGCAAGCATCTTTTTTGCCTTGTTCATAACCAGCACAAACCATCGTTGTTGGTATTGGATGATACGGTAATTGTTTGGCATACCATTGGATACATTTACGATGTGATACAATAGGCACTTCGACTTCATGAATGGCTGATTGATAATCAGCATAGTCGTCGTGGATTTTTTTGCCCCACCCGATCACCATACATTTTGTACCTGTATTTTATTTATTATATGCATTAATGCACAAGCACAATAGAGAAACACAAGAGAAAAAAAATTTGAAAACAATGATGAGATATATAATAATAATTATTTGGAAAGAAAAAAAAATTTTCTTCAAGATGACGATCATCATCATCATCAAGATGATTATTATGATTATAGTCAACATACCTGGTGCTACTTCTACACTGGAATTAGCCGGAAGACATACAGGTCTTAAAAATTCATCAAATTCCACCTTTTCTTTGAGCAACACTAATGCAATATCGTCCGAATAATAATAATCGACAGACATTTGAAAACCAGGATGTTTAATCAATTTGGCTACTTGTCGTTGTCGTACAAATAAAGGTGTTGATGTACGACGTGTCACTCCTAAATTTATCGTCCATCCGGAAGTGTTGTTCTTACTAATGGTTAAATTATCACACATTAATGAAAAAAGTCATTAAGAAAAAAAGTAAAAAAAGCACTCACGTTCCAATACAATGAGCGGCTGTCAACACCCACCAATCGGAGATTAAAACACCGGCACAAAAAAATACTTCTGCTGGTCCACCATGGAACGACACAAGCCAAGGCCATTTACCAGGATAAGATTCTTCACCACCAACGATTCTTGTATTACGACGTCGTCTTTGATGAAAATGTGATGGCCTTCCACATTCAAAATTATGGCATTTAATATGAACACTTGTATCCGAATCTCTACATTTGTCATCTCTATTCAATAGGCTAGAAAAACGAATTCGTTTTGGTGAAAAATTTGATCGACCATGATTGAATTTTGGTGGCAAATATCGGCTACGGATAACCGATGTCTCATCCTGTAGTCTAGTCTCGTTCGATGATTGATATCCCAATAGACGACAAACTTCTTCACTTTGTTCAGGAACTTGCCAATCTTCACCGCACATTTCATCCCATTGACTAAGCAGTGGATTCCAAACTTGTAACTTTCCTTGGCCATTCAAACCCATCGCGTCACTTAAACGAACTATTTTTTTTTATCGTTATCATTGTTTCAATTTGGTTCGTTTTTTTGTTGCAAAAAATAGAACATGATTTTCATTGTATATTTGATTCCCAAAACAAAAGATGAAATAAAAAGAAAAAGAAAAAGAAAAATTACTTGTCGAACAAAAAACAAAATCTATGATAATGACACATACAGCATTGTCGTTCGTCACGACCATCTGGACAATCAGGTTTACCATCACAAATATTACTACGATTGATACAAACACCATGACTACAATAGAATTGATCATCTCGACATTCATTACAATGTCTTTCATCTAATGAATCATTACAATCCATATATCCATCACATTTCCAATTTGGTGGTATACATCGTGTCTGATCACAGCGGAAACCATTCTCTTTGCATACTGAAAAAAAAACAAAAAAAAAAATGACAAGATATTGAGAGCGAAAAAGAAAAAAAAATTACCGGTCGTTTGATTATTATTATTATTATTATTATTATTATCATCAAGACTTTAAAGAAAAACTAGAACAAAATTGAAAACAAAACAAAAAATGATTCGCTAGACTAAACAAGCAAAGAAAAAAAAGTATAGAGAGAAAAAAAAACATTATGCATGCACATTTGAGATTCACTTTCATTGGCATAGTATTTTTTTTTTATCCATTCATCCATTACAATTTCACTTACTATGTCGATTTGCCAATTGATTTAGTTCCATTGCTTGACGATTTCCAACACATATATCCGGATCATTACTATCCGGTAATTTGTCACAATCAATTTCATCCGGCCATTCAATATCAAATATATCCAGGAAGAAGCTACATCGATGTATGGATTCTATTTGCAAATCAGAGCAAAAGTAAAAAAAAAAACGAAAAATGAAGACAATACTTGTTTCAGGAACAATTTCAACAACAATATAAAAACAAATATATATAACAAACCTTTACAAATTTGTTTACACATTGGTACAGCATGTCCACTGCTATTACATCTGGGCACCAATTGTGAACATAAAAATAGAGGCAACAATGTAAAACATTTGATACCCAAAATGGTTGAATATGTTGATGTTAATTTATCATTTATAATAGATTGATCGATTTGACCAAAACGATTCGGTAGTTTTGTATATGAATATTGAACATTGAACTTTTGGCACAAAGTTACTCTCATCGGTATGCAGCTGTCTGTAATTCATTCATTCATAAAAAAAACCTTAAGGTTAAGATAGAAAAAAAAAATAAAAACAACAAACTCACCGGTATCGATCGAAATAGCTTGTCTATGATAATAAATGGTCAATATATAATAGATTACAATCGCTACAGCAAACAATACAGCTAATGATAGAAAAATGATAAGAAAATATAGGCTACAAGATAATAATCGAGATTTGATACGTAGATAAGCGACTAGACGTTGATGTAGGGGTAATTTTGCACGATCCGAAGAATCAGAATAATAACTTCGTCTTGATGATTTAAGATTATCGCCAGTGTTTGCATTTTCAATCTCATGTGTATCATCACCTCGTATATGATGATGTGGAGGAAGTTTTGCAGACATTCGTGGTTTTAATTGAATTGATTCATGTTTATTATTAGTAATTATTGTTGTTGTAGTTGTGGTTGTTGGCTGATTGATCGATCCATCACAACCACCGCCACCACCACCATCACCAGTAACTGGCGTCGAATTTAATATGGAGCCACATTGTTTTTCACTCATTAGAATATCATTCGATGCTGTTGCTGTCGCTGCTGTTGCCACTGCTGATGATGATGATGAGGCTTGTTGTGGTGGTAAAGATTGTGTTTGTTGATCATTAGTTTTATCCGTTTTATCCATACTCATCATCTGTATTTTTTGTCATTAATGAATTGTTGAGCAATTTTCTTCTTAAAACATTATGTTCCACGTAAATTCATATTCATTTAATTCTGTATTAATTCACACATTTATTATTGTCAAGTAGAATGGTTGGCATTCATCGATTTGGTTCTATTTATTATCAAATCATTACTACTGCCATCATTTTTCATTCATCATCAAGAGAACAGTAACGAGAAAAAAAACGTACATTTCCTTATGAATAATTCGTTCGTTAGTTAGTTAGTTAGTTAGTTGGCACGCACACACACACACTTCGGAAAGTTGATGTCAGGTTAAACTCAAATGAAATTCTTAACGATAATTTAATAATCCAATTTACCAATTTGTGATAAAGGTCAATTATTACGTTCCATTGAAATTACATTATAATTTTTTTTCATCAATTATGCTGCTGATATGATAATATCTATCATATCATGAGTTGATTTTTTATTCATTTTTCATGCTAACTCTATGGCAAAAACAATGCATTCATTTTGCCGCCTAAAATTTCCAAGTCCAACTAATGAGCAACTGCGCATAGTCAAGCAGTGGTAGTGCAGCTAACTATTTTCAATGCAAATACTGCGCGCTTCTATTCCCCATACAAATTTGAATTTGATCGTTGGAAAAATCGAACATTAAAATTCAACGGTCGTCGAAGACGGTTGTCCTCACTCAACTTTGCGCTATTTTTCGTGATCATGTCGTGATATTTTTTTCATTTTTTTCTATTTTAATCGTAGATTTTTGCACTAAATTTTGGAACAAAGAATTTTAACGATTCGAGATTATCGTTGTTAAAACTTATTGTGGTCTAATATCAAAAATTGGCCCCGAAATCGATGAAGATCGTTTGGTTCGGTCATCATGTAATCATGATACAAGTTGGCGAAAAAATCCCATTTTCGATGACTTTCAAATGTATTTATGACATTTTGTTTTTCAGCAAATTGTATTCAATCATATCCTTTTCAAGTTTTCTTTTTCAGAGTCCATTATATCTAATGTATGATAATTGGAATCCAGATTAATATATGAAAGCTTGGTCAATGAGGTAATTTGCAATATGCTTTACATTGAAAATGCTAACAATTTTCTTTGTCTTTTGAAACATAAAATTTTCATTGATGATCAATGATCATCATTAGACATATAATTGGTGCCTTCTTTATAAAAACGATCATGGTAATGATGCCGAACATTACAAATTTATTGGTGGATATCTGTTCACTGACATGGTACGATGTCCAATGAAACATCATGTTCATCATCAGGTAACTTTGAAATTTCGCTATCAATCAATGATTCTAACACTTAAATTTCTCAAAGGCCTGCATTGAATTGAATTGTTGGAGCAACTTATTCGGTAAGTCGACATATTCATATATCTAATAAAGATTGGTCTATCTTTTTTTATTAGGTTTGTTCCTGAAATTTTACAATCATCAAATTGAAATTCGATTGATGATTATGTTCGAGATCAATTCGGCGGTTCCATTGATCATCAGCATTCAATTCAAGAATAGTTTGGCCATGTTCAACACATGATAACAGGTTAGGCTAGGGTTAGATTAGGCTTAGGAACACGGTCTGAGCTATTTCCTATTGAATTGGATGCTGATTGAATCTTTGGAATCAATGAAGCGATCGAAAACATGATTATAAGTTGAAGATTCATGGGATGGAACACATACTTGAAAATGATCATGGTAAGCAAATGAATAGATTAATTGAACAAACAACTAATATTTATCTTTACTTAGGATTGCCGGCGAGTGCACACACACACAATTTTTATATTCTTTGGGCGTTTTATTGTAGATCTTGTTCATTAACTATATAAATGTGAAAATATTGATTTATATTGTATTGTTGGTTAATGGCGTGTGGCTCAAAACATCATTTAGTGTTATGATAAGCAACTTAAAAGAATCAAGTAAACCGTTACGTGATTCAATGGTACGGTCATTTTTCCGTTTACAACGTGGTCAGGGTCAATCATTGGATGAGTTGGCCAATAAAATCATCAAGAGCGTCAATGAATTGTACGCCGATATGCCTGAACAATCTCGAGAAAGATTGGCACGTGATCGATTTTATGCAGCGTTGGACGAACGACTAGTTGTTGCATTGATAAATTCATCGAATTTAAAAACTATCGAAGAGATAAAAGCATTGGCTAAAGCGATCGAGATTAATTTGCCTTCAAAAGCGAAACAATCGTCATCGAATCCTTCGTTTAGTGGTGGCAATGGTAACAAACAGAAACGTTGTCACAATTGCAACAGAATGGGTCATATTGCAGCTGATTGTCGGTTAAAAAAGAATGCAGCAAAGAAGAATAATTCATCGGAATTATCATCAAACAAGTCATCATCATCATCATCGTCATCAAAAACTGCATCTAACCAGACAATTCCAAAAGAAATTGCATCAATTTGTGATGAATCTAATCGTATCATTCCGCGACAATTTTTAAGATCAAAAATCAATCGAAAAACTGTCTATTGTTTAATTGATAGTGGATCAAAAGTATCGGTATTTCCATCATCGTGGCCTATTGAAAAATTTGGTCAATCAGTCCTTCATACTGCGAATGGTTCGTCAATGTTAGTGAAGGGTGAATCGATTGTTAAAATGAGCATCGATAGTTGTGTTATTGAGCACACTGTTTTGATTGGAAATGTTACTAAACCGACACTGGGTCGCGATTTCATCAAGAAAATTTCAGCTACGATTACTTATGACGATATTATGTATTTTACGTGGATGGGCAATCGTCGTCGTGTTAATCTGATTTCGGAAGATCAAATCGACAATGTCAATGATCACGATCTAACGGATGCAGAAGTCTGTGCACTGGCGGTCGAACATCTTACTGTGGATGATGATGCGGACAATGAAAATGTTTGTGGTGAATTTGAACAATCGGGTGTGGTGAATGCATTAATCAATCGGTACATGGATGTGTTCGAAGGTATCGGACGTACAAATTTGGTAGAGCATTCTATCGAATTGAAAACAAATAAGGTGATCAATGTCAAACCTTATCCTGTGCCATATGCATATCGTGATGAAGTCCGTCGAATGTTGGTTGAAATGGAGCAAAATAACATTATTGTTAAATCTCATTCCGAGTTTTGTAGTCCATTGTTGGTGGTTAAAAAGAAAGATGGATCGTTACGGTTGGCAATTGATTATAGAAAGCTGAATGCTATTTCGAAATTCGACGCACAACCAACACCAAAAGTTCAAGAAATTCTGTTTGGTCTCGACAAAGCGAAAATATTTTCAAAATTGGATTTCAAATCTGGGTATTATCAGGTACCGCTTCGCAGATCAGATCAAGAAAAAACAGCGTTTCGTTTTGAAAACACGTTATATCATTTCTTGGTGATGCCATTTGGGTTATCAACTGCTGCACAAACTTTTTCTCGTCTTGGTAATATATTGTTTCAACTACCGTTCGTCAAGATATACATTGATGATGTTATTGTTTTCTCGAAAGACATGGACGAACACGTGAATCACCTTAAACAGGTTTTTGAAATTTTGAAATCAGCTAATTTAACGTTGAACAGAAAGAAATGTGAATTTGCTAAACAACGTATTGAATATTTGGGTTTTGTTGTTCAAGGTGGATCAATTCAACCATCCTCTGAAAAAACTAAATGTATTCATGAATTTCCGGTTCCGAAATGTAGAAAAGATCTTCGATCATTTCTTGGTTTGGTTAATTCTTATCGTTCATTAGTTCCGAATTATGCTGAAAAATCATTTGATTTGTATGAGTTGTTGAAACAAAAGAATCGTTTTCAGTGGAAAAACAATCATCAACGTATGTTCGAAAATTTAAAAGTATTGATGTCATCACAGCCTATAGTCAGAATAGCCGACTTAAACCGTGAGTTTATTGTTCGCACTGATGCAAGTGATAAAGCTATGGCGGGCGTGTTACAACAAGTTGATGACAATGGCAATAGATACGTTGTTGAATATTTTTCGAAGAAATTCACAGATTGTCAAAGTCGTTATGCCACTATTGAAAAAGAGGCTACTGCTCTCAAAACGGCGATTGATAAATGGTCAACATATCTAAAAGGCAAAAGTTTCAAATTAGAAACTGATCATCGTCCGTTGGTATGGATTAAATCCATGGTTAATCGTAACAATAAGTTGGCAAGAATGGCAATCGAACTGGCTGAATATGAATTTGAAATCAGTCATGTGAAAGGTAAAGATAATTGTGATGCTGATGCATTATCAAGAATCGAAATTTCTGCGATACAATTCGACGAATTGTCATCTGAGCAAGAATCTGATCAATTATTATTATTGGCTCGTAACAAGGATCCGAATTCATTTATTCAAATCAATCATTTGTGGTATTTTCGTCATGCTATGGAAATTCATTGAATTGACTGTTTTGTCGATATATCCACGCTTCAAGTATATATATAGAAATGAATTCTGCTAATGATGAACTTTTTATTGTTTCATTTCCAATATCGAAAAGGAACAAATATAAATGCCTTTCAGCGATTCCGAATGAATGATAAAAACTAATATGGATAGAAGAAGAAAAAAAACCAATTAATTAGCATTAAGCGTGTGTGTGTGTGTGTGTGTGTGTGTGCGTTGATTGAAATTTTACCACGACCATGTAGAAAGGGGTGAAAAGTTTTAAGCGATCAAATTCTTCGAAACCGGATTGGTTTCCATTTTTTTTGTTGCAAATTTATGCTATTTTTATGTGATATTTAATATTCACACTCAGCCAAATGTTAATAAACAGGATGCAAACACATAGGATGAATGCAGAAAAAAAAGTTTCGGATAATGAACAAGAACAACCAAAACAAAACAAAAAAATCTTATTATGAATGGTGAAAAATTCTTTGGTCTAATTTTTATTAATCAAGAATGATGCTTTAAAAAAAACAACTAACGATGCAATTTCTCCGATGATTAACGATTATTATCGACAATCATCAGGAATGAAAAAAAACATGAGTTTCAAAAATTCTAAAGAATCTAAAAATCAAATTTTAAATGATGGTAGCAAGTCATCAGTGTGTATGATAAAAAAAAGTGTAAAAATTATCGACAAAAAAAACAGTGTGTAGATAGTTATTTGGAACAAAAATTTTTCTTCATATATTATGATGAAAAAAAAGCAATAAACAACAGAAATAATGGTGATGATGATGAAAAAAAGGAGATATTATCATTCGTGATCCATATGAAACATAAT